TTAACGTTTGGCGTGCAGCGCAACTTCATACACAATCAAGGAACAGAATACAGGTATAAGAACATGCCTTTTATTTTCAAGCTCGAGCAATATCCCCGTTATAAACCCAAAATAAGTCCTTGGCAGAAATGGTCTTGCAACAAACCTGTATGTGCCCGCTTGTCAGTGTAACTAATAAATAAAAAGTACTGAATATAAAATACATGTACGATTCTGAATAAAAACTTTAAGAACGTGGTTTGCGTTATTCATTTATTTATTTAAACAAACGCTCTCGTCTTTTGAACTTTATGAAGAGTAAATCCGATCTGAGATTTGAAATCGGGAATAACAGATACATACATACATAATAACAAAAGATATACGTTCCCAAATAAAAAAAATAGGAGAAGAATCTAGATTACAATCCAATAAACAATATCAAGTTTAAAATCCGACAATACACTCCGGCCGTAAAAGTTTCTGAATTTAATAACAACGTATGTGACTGTGTAATTATATCCATTGATGTTGTAAACTATACTACGGTTTAAGCAGAATTTGCTCCTTGAATAATTCCTGCCTCGATAGTGTAGGGATCGCTCACATCAGGTAGGCCATCATAAGAGGGAGGTTTTCACATAAGTCAGAGAGTATGTTAAAGGACACTCTTCTTCTCACTGACCTTGTAAAATTGTTCTATAGTTAATACCATGCACAATTTAACAGTACCATATAATAAAAAAACAACATATATTAAAGGTGCAACAATGAGTGCAAAGCGGCCATTAAATGATCATGGACCATTTATTAAAGTTTGGATTGCCCGCCCTATTTTTCCCATTTTTTAATTTTTGTATAATCTCTCATTAGGCCTATAGCTCAAAATATCACTAGGGACCAAGGGAGAAACCTAGAATTGTGTCATGGAATAAGCTGTTCAGAATGTCAGTCGCTTGCCGTTGGGAGACCGCATCGCTCACTGGAAGAGCGTACCAATGTTAATAATAGCCTAGTGTCATTGCTATAAACTGCTATTTGATTGGTCGATTCAGTACCATGTGATCAAAAATACCATAACATATATTAAAGTTCTATTTGGATTTTAAAAGACGTATTGCCGGGCGTATTTTCCGCCCGGGAATTCTGACAACTGTACTGGACGAAAACATCGGGAGACCGCTCCGCCCACTGTCTGAAGCCAATGTTTTTGCTATAAATCAAACCACGGGGATCTACACGACCTGTGATTTAAATACATGTTAGTAAAGTGATCATCAAAATGAATGTCCTTGCTTGCTTTTAAAAATAAGTTTTCATGCGTTATAGGCCTATACAAATTGAACGGGGGGGGGGGAGTAATGTGTCTAAAGACATGATAATAATATGTTACTTCATTTTATTTCATATAATTACTCCAAATTTTCCCATTTCACTCTTCAGAGTTATTGAATTCCTTTTTAAAATATACGAATTCGTGAATTTGTTCCATCGTATGTATTAGTCCCCCTTCCCCGTTCACGGCAACCGCATTCGTATGGTACGTGTACATGTACATTAAACTAACAAGAAAGCAATAACATTAGTTTTGTGATAATAACGTCCTTGTTTTCGGCTCGTGTAGATCACTGATTTATAGCAAAAACATTGCCTTTTGCACGTTGGTGACGATGAACCCTTTTATTAGATGTCATGATGTTTGCAGAGCCTACTGTATTCTTTAAGCAATTCAAGAGTAAACTTTCTCTTTATCTTGAAAAAAATCTTCTAGATTTGTTGAATTTTCTTGCAGAAATCGACGCCTCATTTTATCCGATCAAAAAGCGTAATGTTGCATTTATACAGTTTCATTTTACATTCTATGGCCGAGATCTTAACTTTAACTGGTTACAGCAACTGCTCAACGGACGCTCAGCGTTATGTTTTAGGCATCTTTACGCGATTTTTATTGAACCGATCATTTCATTAAAATATTTCAAATCATAAAATATATTTTAGTTACATAAAATGAGGTAAGTGGATTGAGACAAAATATCCTTGTATCTCTTTTGAAAGGATCGGGCGGTGGTTAATAGTCACAAATAGTTTATTCCGATTAGCTAAACATTTTACATAATGAGTTTTATTATGTCACCACCAAAAGTGGTGACATATTGTTATGGTCTCCGTTTTTTTTGTGACGGCGGTTGGTGGTTGGTGGTTGGAGGTTGGCGTCCGGCGTCCGGCGTCCGGCGTCTGTAACAATTTCTTACAACTTCCTATGACTTTACAAATACTGTTTAGACTGACTTCAATTTTTTTCTAAATCATCTACATGTTCTCAGAAGTTCAAATCTGACTTTAGATTTGACATTTGACCTTCAATGACCTTCTCAAGGTCAAAAAGGTCTTTTTTCAACTTGCTTCACATTGACTAAATTTTTTTCAAAATCATCTACATGTTCTCAGAAATTCAAATCTGACTTTAGATTTGACATTTGACCTTCAAATCTGACTTTAGATTTGACATTTGACCTTCAAGGACCTTCTCAAGGTCAAAAAAGGTCAAAAAGGTCTGTTTTCAACTTGCTTCAAATTGACTAAATTTTTTTTTCAAAATCATCTACGTGTTCTCAGAAATTCAAATCTGACTTAAGATTTGACTTAAGATTTGACATTTGACCTTCAATGACCTTCTCAAGGTCAAAAAAGGTCAAAAAGGTCTGTTTTCAACTTGCTTCAAATTGACTAAATTTTTTTTTCAAAATCATCTACGTGTTCTCAGAAATTCAAATCTGACTTTAGATTTGACTTAAGATTTGACATTTGACCTTCAATGACCTTCTCAAAGTCAAAAAAGGTCAAAAAGGTCTTTTTTCAACTTGCTTCAAATTGACTAAATTTTTTTTTCAAAATCATCTACATGTTCTCAGAAATTCAAATCTGACTTTAGATTTGACATTTGACCTTCAATGACCTTCTCAATGTCAAAAAAGGTCAAAAAGGTATTTTTTCATCTTGCTTCAAATTGACTAAATTTTTTTTTCAAAATCATCTACATGTTCTCAGAAATTCAAATATGACTTTAGATTTGACATTTTACCTTCAATGACCTTCTCAAGGTCAAAAAGGTCTTTTTTCAACTTGCTTCAAATTGACTAATTTTTTTTTTCAAAATCATCTACATGTTCTCAGAAATTCAAATCTGACTCTAGATTTGACATTTCACCTTTAATGACCTTCTCAAGGTCAAAAAAGGTCAAAAAGGTCTGTTTTCAACTTGCTTCAAATTGACCTTTAGGTGGTGACATTTTGTCATGTTAATGCCTTGTATTGAAATTGTTTTGAATGGCGATGAATTCTGATAAAAAAGAGAAAACTTGAACTACTCGCATTTTTGCGTTTAGTAATCAGTCACAATCAAAATATTTACCGTTCATGTTTAGGTTCCAGACGCTTGGCGCCCGCTAAGTAAACAATTAAAATATCAGAACAGGTTATTTGCCGAATAATAGGTTACACACTCTCAGAACCGGTTATTCGCCGAATAATAGGTTGAAGTCCTAGAATAATGTATGAATAATATTTTTTCTTGTAGAATATAATACAATGCAATCTTAGTTGATAAATTATTATACGCGTTTAGAAGAAGTATAAGATGCAAGAAAAACGTTTATATTTAATTATTTTCTTCTATACTTTAAATAAGATGTTATATTACACCGATTTATTCGGAAAAAAAATATACCAATATAAAACAGCTGGTAATTATAGGATATATTAGATTACCTCACCATCTATATTGCCATATCTACGGTAATATTTCCTATGATTTTCATAGTTTTTTGCAGTGATAGTTGTACAAACACTGGTGATCCTCTCGATTACGCTGGTTACCGAAACGATTCGTTTTGGTAACAAAATGTCGGAACGTCGAAGGTACGATTTTTCTCTTTTCCTTATTTCAAGCGTTTTAGGCAGAATCCCAACGACGTTTTTTCTCACAAACGTGTATCAGCATTATATGTTTTAGAAAATGTACATGTTTGCGAAAAAAATAGCTCAGAAGACAACAGAATCGTCGATTTAATATCTCACTTAAGTTACATAAACGGTTTGGGTTAAAAGTGCAGATCTTAACTGTTTTTCGAAAAAACCGTTTATGTAACTTAAGTGAGGAATTAAATCGACGATTCTGTTGTCTTCAGAAGTATTTGTTCGCAAATATGTACATTTTCTTAAACATATGATACTGATACACGTTTGTGTTAAAAATGTCGTGGGAATTCTGCCTACAAGGTGTGAAATAAGGAAAAAAGAAAAATCGTACCTTCGATGTTCCGACATTTTGTTACCAAAACGAACCGTTTCGGTAACGAGCGTAATCGAGTGGATCACCAGTGACAAAGCAGTAAATATTTGTAATTAAAAATGAAATATGGAAGGGGCACTTTCACTCCGATTCTATCTTTCACTACGACTACTATGTAATTGAAGCATAGCTTTTTAAACGGAACTACTTGTTGCTTTACTTTGTATCAGTTTACCCCAAAAAGTTACCATTCTTGTTTTAATGTGTTTTTCTGAAGGGTAGCGCCATTTTTCATGAATGAGGGTGTAGTTGCTTTAACTCTGAGTATGTATTTACAAAATTTGAGGTGTAAGACTTCACAATTTTTTATAGCATTCGAAAATCCCCATATCTCACAGCCATAACACAAAATTGGTTCAAACAATTATAATTGAACATCAATTGGTGAATCCATTTCTGTACACTTTCCTAATACTCCATACATGGCATTTCCAGCTTGTTTCTTCAACTGATCAAACCCTTTTTAAAATTATATGAAAATAAAACTCCCTAAATACTTAAATGTGTCATTAATTTCAACATTTTCTCCATTGCATGTAAATCTAAATAAACACTTGGGTTTTCTTTTTGAGAAAATAATAACTTTTTTTTTTGTGTTAACAGACAAATTGTTGATATCACAGTATGATTATATATATTATATGATTTTATCATAATGTAACCAACTCACCTTCTTTGATGTTATTTATGTTTTTCTTCGCCTTCGTAAGATTAACTAGAATGACTGCAATGGCTATTGTCTTGAACAATTTAAGACTCATCATCTTGATTTTTACAGTGCAGTACCACCTTCAGACCTTAATTTTGTCTTGTACATACAGTTTATTTGTACCTTTGCATACAATTGGTTTTGCTTCTTAAATAAGAGAGGTTGTTTGTTTGTTACTAGACCTGCAATCAGGTTGGTCTAACAGCAATGCTGCATTTTATGGCTTTCCCTAATGTTGCAAGATTATGTCTTTCTACCAATTTATTGTATAACCCTTGAACTTTCACTTTTTCACTGCAGATAGAGATTCCACAGACTGAGAAATGTTTACATATTGAATCTCACTTCTCCATCATATTTCATGGTAAATAAACCCTTGTGTCCTTATACAGAGGATGACCTTATTGAAGGAATGTGTTTTAAGGTTTTATTTGAAACGTAAATAGTTCATTCAAGTTCATGGTTTATGGTTTGAGTTGAAACAAGCATGGGCTTCTAATTGACCTTTTGCGATCAGAATTCAGGAATTTTGTTTATGGATACTGTTGTCACGTATTTAGTCTTATTGGTGTGACGTCATATAGAAATGATATTAGAAATGATGGAATCACGAAATGGCGGACACGTGGCAGTTTTGAGCTAAAAATATTGTTGTTTCTTTTATGAAAACCATGGGTCGGATATTTACCAGGTATGCCTATTTGACTAGATCATGAGTTTATCTATATATGTGCGAAGTTTGAGTGAAACTCATATTTAACATTGATGCCTATAAGTGCCCCCCGTTTTTGTCAAAATCGGGGGGCTCTTAACCGCTATCTAAATCATGTCAGTAAGATCTTAGACTTGGTATATGCTTAGCATGAATGTTGATCTAGTCAAATCAAACGCTTTCGTGAAAAATTAATCAATAAAGCATGAAATATAGAAGATAATCTCTTAAAATCAAGCATCTAAAGCTTGCTGGCCTAATTGTGACGTCACTAAAAGATAGAATCCATTCGGTGATCGCAAATCATCAATTGAAAGCTCATGAAATAAGTAAGGTATTCACTCTGTGTCTAGCATCCATCCGATGGGCATCAGATAAACCAACACTGGTTAATAGGAGGCAGCACTTTTCCACTCGGGCTGTCTACTATATAATTGACTCATTTCTTAAGAAATTGAATATAATAGAAAAGATACCATATAGATACAAAGCTGTTCACTCACTTGGATCACTGATTTTAGTTTAGACATTTATACAGTATGTAATGTATATTTAAATTACATACTGTACTAGGTCCAGTGAACAGAAAGTATTCAAATTACATACTAGGTCCAGTGAACAGAAAGAATTTATTGATAGAATGGAGATTTGATTTAGTGCAGTTTGAAGCCGTATACAATACGCATAGTTTAGAATCATATAACAAAATATGAATGTGAATTCTAAAATCAAGACATTAAGTTCAAGTTACAAGAATATTTTTAAGTGGATTCATAATTCCTCACAAAATTCATACAACAATTTGTATTCTTCCATTAACTGATATCTGTTTTGTTTAAGCTATGTTCACACCAACGGCGAATGCCACACTTTAAATCGGCGAGCAAAGCGCCGTCATTTTTGTTCATACCAACGGCGCTTTGATGGCGCTTTAAAGTGGCTTGTAAAGCGGCACCAAAGCGTAACAAAGCTTGATTAAAGCGTCGGGGTTGTAATAGGTCGTAGAAAAGCTCGGAGTAAAGCGGGATATTCGGCAAGAGCGCCAAAAAATTTTAAACTGTTTAAAAATTTTGGGCGCTCTGTTACGAATTGATTAAAGACCCGAGAGCGTATCAAAGCTTAACAAACCGTAACAAAGCTCAGAAAAGCTTGATGCAAAGCGTAGGAAAGCTTAACATAGCTCTGATAGGTTCCTCACGCTTTGATCCCGCTTTGACCAGGCTTTGTTACGCTTGAAATCACGCTTTGATAAGCTTTGATAAGCATTATTGCGCTTTGATGTGATAATGACGCATTAAATCAGGCTCTGATACGATTGCCAAGCTCTGTTGTGCATTGTTACGCTCTGTTAAGCTCTGTCACGCATTGGAAAATGTCGAGATCGCCGATTTCATGCCGTTTTTGATCCAATGACTATATTAAGATGCAGAAGATCCATAAAACCATTGCATCTTTGACTCGAGAACACGATGGCAGAACAACAAGATCCAGAAATTCCAGATGGACCCGAGCATGACCTATCTGAAGAAGACATGACGTTTGTCGCATGGCGTGATATAGCGTGTAGAAACTTCTCAAGCGTAACAAAGCCTAGCAAAGCGTTTCAATTCGTTGGAAAGCTTGAGAGTCCTTCATGAAAGTGTAACAAAGAGTGTCAGATATTGATGAAAGCATCTGACCTCGTGTCAGATCTTCATGCCAGATCGTAACAAATCTTGAGACATCTTAACAAAGCGTGTCAAGTGGTAACAGACAGTGAAGAGACTGGGGTCCCCGCTTTGAACCAAGTTCTGTAAAGCTTTCCTACACTTTGGGTCAAGCTTTGCTGAGCTTTGTTACGGTTTGTTAAGCTTTGACACGCTCTCATCGCTTTTATCAATTCGTAACTGAGTGCCCAAAATTTTTAAACAGTTAAAAAAATTTTTGCGCTCTTGCCGAATATCCCGCTTTACTCCGAGCTTTTCTACGACCTATTACGACCCCGACGCTTTAATCAAGCTTTGTTACGCTTTGGTGCTGCTTTACAAGCCGCTTTAAAGCGCCATCAAAGCGCCATTGGTGTGAACGTAGCTTTAGAAAACAATTTTACCAGAGACATATAAAACATTTTTATTTGTCTCTGTTTTAACTTAAATATATCATTTCATAATGTAAGTCATTTGCTTTCATATAGTTTGGAAAATGTATAATGTGACAGCTATAAACTAATGTTGAACTTGAGTGGTTCCTTTGAGATGGGGGAGGTACATACACTTAATTTCATGAATGGACCATTATATAACTAGACTTGAAAAGAATTGTCTATTTTACTGATGGGACCATTCTACACGAATAGATGCAAGACTGTCTGAATGGTTTGACCTGAAATTCATGATAACGACTACGTTTGGATGTTTTTTTATTAAAATTTATAATTCAAAAATATTTTAACATATCTAGTTTTCAACATTTTTTTTTAATAGAAAGCTAATATGTTTCCAGTTTTCTTTTGGTTATTATTTGAATTACATAATATTGCATTTTAATATCAGTTCTTCTGTGATGCTTACTGTTGCTTAATGATTGAATTTATTCTCGTTATATTATTCATTTGACAGTTAAAACCATTGTTTTCAAATTAATTAAAAATATAATGCTTGTTATCAACCATTGTTAAACAGATGAATGCTCTTATGTATTGTTGCTTTGTCTGAAAACAACTAACAGAGAAATGACATTTACAGTATATGGCAATGGCCATCTAGTTGTGTTCCTCACTCTAGAATTGATTCAAGGATATGATGACCAGAAGGACTTTCAGTATAGGGGTTATTTTATGGGAGGGATGGAATATGAGTTTTGTTTGGAGGAAAATATGATATTGACCAAGGAAAATGTCATATTAACCGAGGGCGATAGGCAGAGTGTCAATATGATATTTTCCAAGGCCAATATTATGTTTTCTTGAGGAACCCTTTGTATTTTCACAGGTTATCTTGGAATCATTGGTCCAGTGCTATTACATGTATTATGGTATATATCCATGATGTTACCCTTTGTGTTTTCACAGGTTATCTTGCAATCATTGGTCCAGTACTATTACATGTATTATGGTATATATCCATGATGTTACCCTTTGTGTTTTCACAGGTTATCTTGCAATCATTGGTCCAGTGCTATTACATGTATTATGGTATATATCCATGATGTTACCCTTTGTGTTTTCACAGGTTATCTTGCAATCATTGGTCCAGTGCTATTACATGTATTATGGTATATATCCATGATGTTACCCTTTGTGTTTTCACAGGTTATCTTGCAATCATTGGTCCAGTACTATTACATGTATTATGGTATATATCCATGATGTTACCCTTTGTGTTTTCACAGGTTATCTTGCAATCATTGGTCCAGTACTATTACATGTATTATGGTATATATCCATGATGTTACCCTTTGTGTTTTCACAGGTTATCTTGCAATCATTGGTCCAGTGCTATTACATGTATTATGGTATATATCCATGATGTTACCCTTTGTGTTTTCACAGGTTATCTTGCAATCATTGGTCCAGTGCTATTACATGTATTATGGTATATATCCATGATGTTACCCTTTGTGTTTTCACAGGTTATCTTGCAATCATTGGTCCAGTGCTATTACATGTATTATGGTATATATCCATGATGTTACCCTTTGTGTTTTCACAGGTTATCTTGCAATCATTGGTCCAGTGCTATTACATGTATTATGGTATATATCCATGATGTTACCCTTTGTGTTTTCACAGGTTATCTTGCAATCATTGGTCCAGTGCTATTACATGTATTATGGTATATATCCATGATGTTACCCTTTGTGTTTTCACAGGTTATCTTGCAATCATTGGTCCAGTGCTATTACATGTATTATGGTATATATCCATGATGTTACCCTTTGTGTTTTCACAGGTTATCTTGCAATCATTGGTCCAGTGCTATTACATGTATTATGGTATATATCCATGATGTTACCCTTTGTGTTTTCACAGGTTATCTTGCAATCATTGGTCCAGTGCTATTACATGTATTATGGTATATATCCATGATGTTACCCTTTGTGTTTTCACAGGTTATCTTGCAATCATTGGTCCAGTGCTATTACATGTATTATGGTATATATCCATGATGTTACCCTTTGTGTTTTCACAGGTTATCTTGCAATCATTGGTCCAGTGCTATTACATGTATTATGGTATATATCCATGATGTTACCCTTTGTGTTTTCACAGGTTATCTTGCAATCATTGGTCCAGTGCTAGGACATGTATTATGGTATATATCCATGATGTTACCCTTTGTGTTTTCACAGGTTATCTTGCAATCATTGGTCCAGTGCTATTACATGTATTATGGTATATATCCATGATGTTACCCTTTGTGTTTTCACAGGTTATCTTGCAATCATTGGTCCAGTGCTAGGACATGTATTATGGTATATATCCATGATGTTACCCTTTGTGTTTTCACAGGTTATCTTGCAATCATTGGTCCAGTGCTATTACATGTATTATGGTATATATCCATGATGTTACCCTTTGTGTTTTCACAGGTTATCTTGCAATCATTGGTCCAGTGCTATTACATGTATTATGGTATATATCCATGATGTTACCCTTTGTGTTTTCACAGGTTATCTTGCAATCATTGGTCTAGTGCTATTACATGTATTATGGTATATATCCATGATGTTACCCTTTGTGTTTTCACAGGTTATCTTGCAATCATTGGTCCAGTGCTATTACATGTATTATGGTATATATCCATGATGTTACCCTTTGTGTTTTCACAGGTTATCTTGCAATCATTGGTCCAGTGCTATTACATGTATTATGGTATATATCCATGATGTTACCCTTTGTGTTTTCACAGGTTATCTTGCAATCATTGGTCCAGTGCTATTACATGTATTATGGTATATATCCATGATGTTACCCTTTGTGTTTTCACAGGTTATCTTGCAATCATTGGTCCAGTGCTATTACATGTATTATGGTATATATCCATGATGTTACCCTTTGTGTTTTCACAGGTTATCTTGCAATCATTGGTCCAGTGCTATTACATGTATTATGGTATATATCCATGATGTTACCCTTTGTGTTTTCACAGGTTATCTTGCAATCATTGGTCCAGTGCTATTACATGTATTATGGTATATATCCATGATGTTACCCTTTGTGTTTTCACAGGTTATCTTGCAATCATTGGTCCAGTGCTATTACATGTATTATGGTATATATCCATGATGTTACCCTTTGTGTTTTCACAGGTTATCTTGCAATCATTGGTCCAGTGCTATTACATGTATTATGGTATATATCCATGATATTACCCTTTGTGTTTTCACAGGTTATCTTGCAATCATTGGTCCAGTGCTATTACATGTATTATGGTATATATCCATGATGTTACCCTTTGTGTTTTCACAGGTTATCTTGCAATCATTGGTCCAGTGCTATTACATGTATTATGGTATATATCCATGATGTTACCCTTTGTGTTTTCACAGGTTATCTTGCAATCATTGGTCCAGTGCTATTACATGTATTATGGTATATATCCATGATATTACCCTTTGTGTTTTCACAGGTTATCTTGCAATCATTGGTCCAGTGCTATTACATGTATTATGGTATATATCCATGATGTTACCCTTTGTGTTTTCACAGGTTATCTTGCAATCATTGGTCCAGTGCTATTACATGTATTATGGTATATATCCATGATGTTACCCTTTGTGTTTTCACAGGTTATCTTGCAATCATTGGTCCAGTGCTATTACATGTATTATGGTATATATCCATGATGTTACCCTTTGTGTTTTCACAGGTTATCTTGCAATCATTGGTCCAGTGCTATTACATGTATTATGGTATATATCCATGATGTTACCCTTTGTGTTTTCACAGGTTATCTTGCAATCATTGGTCCAGTGCTATTACATGTATTATGGTATATATCCATGATGTTACCCTTTGTGTTTTCACAGGTTATCTTGCAATCATTGGTCCAGTGCTATTACATGTATTATGGTATATATCCATGATGTTACCCTTTGTGTTTTCACAGGTTATCTTGCAATCATTGGTCCCGTACTAGGACATGTATTATGGTATATATCCATGATGGGAGTGTTTGGGCTGACCATACAACTAAGTTTAGTCCAAGATGTTTTCTCTATGATGACTCTACATATCTACTGTTTCTACGTCTATGCTGCAAGGTAAGTCATTTTTGATACTATTTGGCAATATTTCTTTGAAAAACGAAGACTTGATTTTGATGAATCAAGGATTTTTTTTATTAAAATGATGAAAAATATAGTGGCATGGCAGGACTAGGACTGGTTTAACACAAATCAACACAAAATATGTCTCCACATTCATTTTTATTTGTTTTTATGTCACCACCAGAAGTGGTGACATATTGTTTTAGTCTCGTACTTTTTATGGATGGTGTTTGGCATTCAGCGTTCGGCAGATGGTGACATTTTGCATGCATGTTAATGACTTGTTATTTACCTGATTATAATGATTATAATATTAAATATTTATAAAACGAAGTTTTACATTTTTAATATGTTATCATAACTAATGCTGGGAGTATAGAACCTTAATTTTTATTTTGTTAGTCAGGTTAATTAGAATATCATTGTAAAACCTGATATTCTACAGTTCATTCCCTTGTGTGTTAACAAGATTTATTTTAGGATTGTCGGCATTACAATGAATAATAATGATGACCCTTTTCATTTTATGTATTAGACTCTACAGCCTACAAATATATGGCTTAGCCTCTCTTTGGAGGTTATTCCGTGGGAAAAAATGGAATGTTTTACGTCGCAGAGTTGACACAGCAACATTTGATGTAGACCAGTTGTTCCTTGGGACGTTACTCTTCACGATCTTGTTGTTCCTGTTGCCCACTACTGCCCTCTATTATGTTGTGTTCACTCTATTGCGAGTAGTGGTACTGATGATACAAGGTGAGATTCTGCCTTATTTCTCTTTACTTGTAAGCAGAATTATGTGTTTCTTTAATCAGGGCCCTTTTTTAACAATATGGCACCACTTCTTGTTATACAGCCACTGTTTTTTGTGACCAGCAATCAGCATTTTGTGTTTGGTGTCTGGAACATTTATTACAAATTTTTTTTCACTTTTGTAATCATTTGCCATAGCTTAAGTTTTGGTGACATTTTGTCTTACTAAAACATTGTAATTACACTCTTACCTCAAATGATAACAAAGAAATTAACTTTAATGCTTGGCAATGAGATCTATGATAAAATAATCCAACTTTATGTAAAGCTTCATATATGGAGAGGCAATTTTATACAAGACATATTGTACACAGCAGTCTGGAATATTTCTTCTGTATTTTTGTTTGTTGCTACATAGGTACCATTCATGCTGTTGTGAGGACATTGAATAAGCTTCTAGCTTATATCTTAGTACTGAGGCTTATAGGGTCCAACACACTTAGTAACCAGACACATCTTACAGTGTTACCTGTACTTCAAGGGCGCCCTCTATATCTCTCTATGCAGGTACAGAATGCCATCAACATATGTGTAATGTACACACCCATTCACATTGAATTTGACAGAAATATGTTTATGAGGATATGAGAAAAATAGAGAATAATTTACTCCAACAGAATGTGTACAGAACATCCCGACACTGAGACTCCATTGAATGTGCACATATGTATTTTTTAAGCATTTCTATCATGAAGAGATGCTGTAGGATTTGCCAGACGTATTGACTATTTAGCCTAAGATGTATGAACAATTTACAAATTTTTTATAGTTAGTTTAAGAAAATAGAAAACAATTCAATTTATCATAATTTTTATTCAAACTGGTCAATTTGGAAATGTGCATTTTGATACGTTAAACTCCAACTCCAAAAATTTGAAATCGTGAGGAGAATTACATGTTAAAATAACTTTCATGAGTGAGATCTTATTGGTATATTGGTTGATACTGTAGATATTTGTTTAACATCTTCTCTATGTTCCAGGTGGGGCTCCCCAGCTACAGTGAACTGCTAGAACAGTTCCATATAAGTCCATACGAAGATGACACAAGTGATTCATGGTCTATGATTGGACAAAAACTTATCCACGGGGATTTGATATACCCTTGGATTGATCGAATAAGGACGTGATGCTATTACTTATTATGTTAAATATCAATGGAGAAATGAACTATTTATTCATATAGCGAGATATGAAATGAAAGATGAATTGACTGGAGTAGGCTTTTAAACAGATATTATAGTGAGATCTCATTGCGAGGGATCGATAACATTTCTGAGACATCAGTGGTTCAACAAGGCTCAAAATTTCAAAATTATGACAGAATGTTTTAAGAATGAAAATACACAGACAAAATTAGGACTCGGCGAGATGAAAACCAAATACAGTAAGCCCAAGTAAGTCTGATAGATAATTGCATGAAACGATAGATCAATAGATAAGAATGTTTTATGTTTTTATGTTGCTTTATTTTATATTTATGTACAGTACATTATGCATTACCACTAAATAAATGGTATATTTTAATATACACAATTATTTTTATCCATTAATTAAGGTGACCCAGTGGTGACTGATCTTTGGTCAATGTATATATATATTTCTTTATTTTATCCTCATGAGTGATTCTCTTGGTCACAATGAGCCATCAACCACTGAACTAGTTGTAGCTAGCTTCTAATGAGGCAGGAGGCAACTGCGATTCTAAAGTTTCGTAGAACACTATTTATTCAACTGAAATTGAAATCCTCTTTGACTTCAAGTTTTGTCACAACGATTTAAAATTGCCTTGACCATTTTTGAAACTTGGCTATAACCTTGCCAAAGGTCACTTTTGATATGGACTTTAGATTTTAATTACATTTCCATAAGTTAAATCACTTTAGCACCAAGCTCAGATACTTTTGATAAAGTCTAGTTGATGTTTTCATTTCGCTTCCTACTTGAAAGGCAGCCCACTTGCAATTAACAGTACAATTAATTTGAATGTACTATAACCTTTCCCATATCTTTGCATAGTATGGATAGTAGATAATAAGTTATAGTAACTATATCACGACAGCAATGGTCTTGCAAGGAATATTCCTTTGAGGACTAGTTCAGAATGTCACATTGACCACAAATTATTAGCTCAAGCACTGATATATGAAGTACTTGTACAAGATTCTGCCTGTTGTTGTGGTCCCCCTGGGGTGAGCTAGAGGGGGTAGGTCAAGAGGGGTGGGTATTCCAAAAGTTCCTGTTACCCTCTAATATTATTGAACTTAGAACCTTGTTTCTGGAAGTGACCTTCTTGCACCATAGTCTTTTTCTGAAATAAGAAAACGCCATCTTATGACTATGATAAAAAATCATCTGTTTGGTATTATTTTTTCTCATTTTTTATTTAGATAACGCTCATACAGTTTCTGAGGACTGTGCATCAAACTGTACTGTACGGGGGATGATCCAAAAGTTCTGCACCGTTTACCCTAAAAATCTTGATACTTTATGAATCTACATGTATGTATGAATGTTACATATGGAGAAGATCAACATGGTAATAAGTAGCTTAGAGTAAAAGGCTGTAAATGACTGTGTATCCAGATGGTAGATGTAGAAAATACCCAAGGGGTCATATACTTTTCATTGCTTTAAGGCAACTCAATAGATATTTTCCAAAGTCGCCTAAAAAAGCACCCCATCACTGTGAAAGCTGCAAATCACCCCGTTATAAGAGAATGTATGAAATACCTTCATAAGACTGCACAACATCATCTAAAGCCGCAAGAGCATCCTCCATCATTGTGGATTCTCCTTTATGTCGACTTAAGCCTCTTCTGGGCTCCATATATCCACCTGAAATGGAAATAATATGGACAGATTAATAAGCATTTGGATGACCTCTACTTTATGTTGGGTTTATTAGCATGATAAATGTTTTTCTTCTGAAATCTGCAAATCTATTATTAATTATATAAAATACAAAGAACATTCAAACATGGCTTTTCTCAAAAAGGATCCAAAGAAAAATAAACTTCTCAGCCCACCTGTAAATTGTTAAATTGTTCCAAGCCAGGATATTCATGATACTGTCCTACCTAATGTTTAATATATAGAAAATTATCACCTACCACTTTGTATCCTTCTGTTCGCATCGCTTCCATCATTTTCTGATGTTTGCCGTCTAAGTAGATTTTGATTGTCATATTGAGGAAATACTCCTGTTGGAAAGATATACAAGATAAGTTATACAAGTTCTTGTACCAAGACAATGCAAAGGGCAACATTTGATAAAGAATTATAACCTCTATAAATCATACAAACCACTAAAGTGATCTCCCCAGTATTGAAGCAAGTGGGTACAGCACTAATTTGGGATTTTGAAAATGGGGTTGTGGTTACCCAATTGCAAAGCCATTTATACATATTACCCACTTGAAAATGAAAAGAATCATGAAAAAATGACATATATTTTTGGTCAAGACCATGAAATAGTGTGAATTCTGAGGAAAATTGGAAGAACACTATCTGTGAAAGCTGTCAACTATTTTGAAATTTTATCAAGTAACGGCATTAAAGAATGAAAAATTGACTTCCTATAGGAAATCCACAAACAATAATGCAGTCAAAACACATACATGTTTATGAATAAAAATCATTATATCCTAACAGATAATGATGTAAATAAAAAGATATACACTTGAACACTTCTAAAAAGAAACACTCAAATCGCAACACTATAATCTTAACATAAATCATTGACTAAATAAACATGTACTAAAAAACTTGAGTTGTTTCATAAGTGGAAGAGATACAACGATTTTATTATTGTTTTTTGTTTTGTAACAATTTTATCTTGTCTTGTACATAACATTTACATTTAGTCATTCCCAATCTGAGATAACATACGTTGAATGTATATGTATATACAGTATAGGCTGCAATAATTTAGTTCTCTTTGAAAAAGATTTACACAAAACTAAAAGTGAAACTGATCATTGATCTGAATGTTGTAATTAATGTATCTATTGTTTTGTCATATATTTGTGAATAGTTGCTGCTTTGCAATAACAAACAAACAAAGAAACAAACAATTATTTTATAAGATCAAATCAAAATCTGTACAGGATTATGTAAATCAAGTCAAACTTATCGCAGAACACTGCATAAGGAAATTTAAATATGGAGAACATCCAAATATAGCATTTCTATTTCAAAACGAACTAGAAATGATTGTGAAAATTTTTGTATTTTGTTGTATTTTCTTCTATTACTCCTGCTGACTTATAACTTTGTATTGTAAAATGTTGAAAAGGAAATAAAAAACAAAAAACAAACCTGGGCTGTGTGGGCTATCAATGCTACTTCTTTTCCTCCTGACAATACCCTTCTTATTGGCGACTAGTTCATGATCAAGCTCAAGCCTCGAAGGTCTGTGTGGACCGTCCATATTATCTCTGTGACTTGACTGTCAAACATAAGTACATTCATGGTTTTTAGGGGTTTGGATTTTTTTGTGTATAATTGAGACTTGAAGTTTTGCTGATTTTAGTACCATGTTGATAGAGCAATCAGATTGGTAAAAGATTATTTTCTGACAAAGGATTTTGTCCAAACGGTAAAAGTTTATTGCATGGAGGGGGCGGGGAGTAAAACAGAGTGGAGGGGGTGGGGGGTAAATCAAAATGAAAGGCAAATCAACATTTTCAAATTACATGATTGGGTAATGCCATGATAAAATTATGGCCTTCTATTCTCTTGGCACCTAAGCGAACACTGAATTTTGGTATTTCAAATATAATATAGCAATATAACTTCTGCTTTAGATTGATTTAAGTTATAGTGGAAAGTTTTGACTACCTGTGGTCTATCAGGAGCTGGATAGTCTGGCACATTTCTGGGTATACAACCTTTGTATGCATCATTGTAATCCAGGCCATCATCTATCCAGCTGTCCCAGTCACCCTCTCTCTCCCTGCCCTCAGCTGTTCTCTCAAATTCAATCCTTTCAACCTCTAGTGGCTGGCCTCTCATCATGCGACTCTTTTGCTCCAACCAGCTTGACCAATCTGAATTCACCGGATCCCCATCATCGTCGACTCGCTGAAAGTCAATGTCTTTATTTATGAGGGGTTTATCACGATATCTCTTGTTGAGTTTTCCGGGTGATAATTCCTGTTCGAAGAAGTGTCCTGTGTCTTCTACAGTTCCTTCAGGCATGTTAAGATCCTCCACATCTGATTGCTTTTTTGAAGCTGTAGATTTAGATGATACTCGACGTAAAGGTGGTTTGGAAGATGAAGATGATGCTGGGGGAATGGTTGAGGCAACGACTGTGTCTGTTGGTGATACTGGGACAATAGAGACATTGTTTCCCAGTGCAGCTGCCAGAGAATTGTCTTCTGGAAGTTCGATTTTAATGTCAATTTCAGGTTGTTTACCATCATTGGTTTTCTTGAATGAAGACATGGCCTCTGTAATAGATGCTATCACAAGGGCATCAGATAAATTGTCAACTGTTTTAGGTTCCTCAGTCACAGTTTGTTCTTTAGCAACAATGACGGGAGGCTTTTCTTCTTTCTTACTGCTTTGTCTCTTCACAGGTGAAAGCAAACGTTGTTTTGTATGTTTATTTTGGGGTGTCTGCTTCAGGTTGGCTATAGCCTGTGAAAGGTTTTCTTTTGTTACTCGGGGCTGTTGTTCATGGGTTCTCAGGGAATTTGTACGTCGCACAGGACTAACCAATGGTCTTGGAGACAATTCTGGTAAACTATCTCTATTTTGATTTTCTTCCTGGCATTTCTGTTATAAGAAAAGAACAAATGACAACATTAATACACAGAAAACAAACCAAATCTCCATAATATTCGATATGTACAATCACTGACTATGTAATGTTGACAATTTAAGGAAAGTAAGATGATCAGCTTGTGCTCATAATCATAAAACGTAGTTACATAAAAAGCTAGAGTTGGCATAGATACTTTGAAAAAGGAACATTAACATTTATAGTATATCAGACACAAAATAACTTCATTACTAGCCTTCAAATTTGACAGGAGTGTCGTGAAATATTGGAAAAATTCATCAGGTTCAATCTGTTTGCAATTCTCTCCGTATTTGACGCAGACTTCTCTATAAGCCTCCTCCATCTTCCTAAAGCCTTCACCTACTCTTCTCACAGGTTCTGTAGCATTGTCATAAAATTTCTTGAATCAGTTAAGGAATATAAACAAGTAAAGGACGATTCTCGGTTTGGAGAACGAAGTTCATCAATCTAAATGAGCATTATCCCTGCTTCGGACAAATTTGATTTTTTACATAATATAGATTTGAATGTCCTCTTTTGAATAGTCATAATTTAATTTGGGTAATATTTCTAGATTTTTCGCAAAAATATATTAGCGCAGTACACTGATGAACTTCTTTCCCCAAAATCGAGACTTGTATTTTATTGAATCGGTCTAATTGAGCGTTATCCCTGCTTCAGACCAATTTGTTATTTTTACATCTTGTAGATTTAAATGTCCTCTTTTGAAAATTCATAGTTTAATTTGGGTAATATTTCTATATTTTTCATGAAAAAAATTATAAGCCCAGGAGACTGTTCTCCAAACCGAGAATCGTCCTTTAGGTCCCATTGATAACTTACCTTTATTATTGCATCATTTTAATACTATGTATTCATTTCAGTTTTCATTTCGCTCGTATAATATTTTAAAAACAGCACCCATCAGAATATTCTAATAAACATGTAGTATTTTGTTCTGTAGATTGATAAGAGTTCTTGAGAGTTGTCAAGACATAAGAGTCAGGTTGACTTTGTGAGATACAGTACCTTTTGACTTTATTTAAATATACAGGCCATGTAGATAAAAAAATAAATGAGATATTTCATAAAATTACATGTTGAGGAAAGGTTCAGCTGGAAATAAAATTATTAATACATGTAAAAAAGAATATTCACTGTTCAGCTGAGTTCTTTGTCATAACATCAACATGATTGACAGTCCCGCAGGGCGGTTCAATGGGTTGGAGCGAACCCCCCCCCCCCCCCCGGCCAAAAAATCTTTCAAAATCATGCAGTTTTTCACTATTCTGAGCACTTTTTAAGTGATTTTGGCCATTTTTGGAACAAAATTGTCACAAGTGAACCCCCCCCCCTTGAATTTTTCAAAAAGTGAACCCCCCTTGGCAAATCCTGGCTATGGGCCTGATTGACACCTCCATATGTTGAAATATCAGAATATATATCCCCTGACTGACACACCTCTGTTACTCTTCAAAATAACCTAGCATGTCGTTAATATTTAACTTATTTAACTCATTTTTAGCTCATCTCTACCACATGTTATAACTGATTGAGTGTTTTGTGTAATTCATTGTCATCAAAATTACATGTTGTTCAGGGGCGGATCTGGGAACCAACAAGGGGGGGGGGCAAATTTCAAGTGAGAGAAAAAATTACTTGCGCGGAATTTTGTTTTTGAAATTTTGAAGCCCATTTTCTTCAAAACTTTGCCTGGAATTCAAAAATAAGGCATTAAAGGCCCAGTAATGACCAAAAATACCCACTTTTTGGGGCCTTAAGGCCTTTTTTGGCCTCAAATGTTTTTGGACCCAATTCATTTTTTCTGGGCCCACCCAAGGGCCAACAGGCCCCCCCAGATCTGCCAGTGTTGTTGCTTGTTGTAAACATTATCTTTTACTTGGTATGTTGTTTCTGTTTGGCACTTATGCACACAGGGATTGTTGAATGTATTTTGATGTTGTGTTTATCATGTATGTTTTAAGTTAAATTGAAAAAATCTCTGATTTTTGGTTCACATGGTGAAAGTCAAAAGGAGTTTTCAAAAAGAGATAATGTGCTAGCTGCAACATATATGATTATTGTAGAAAATCGTGCAGTAAACACTGGGGAAAACAAAATACCTTACAAAAACCTGTTACAGGAAGGTCGGCACTCTTATTACAAAGACACGATGTCTTTATGCCACATGTATGTTGATTCCCAGTGTATGCTTGCCAAATTGTTGGTGTGTTACCAGTGAGTAAAGGCATTAGCATTATGTGACTCCATCAATTGGTGTCATTTTTTTTATTAAGGATACTTGTAGGATTGGATTGTTCTGCTCTTGTTTGTCAATTTCTGTTCTGACCATGTCCAATCCCTTCCTTAAGCCATGTATATCCTGTGTCATTACCTGGTAGGACACTGAAATTACATAGACACTGATTACAATGGAGTGTACACAAGTAATTTGGATGGTACGTGGTGCAGGGGGTAGCCAGCTTTCAATCAGGGGGATGCGATTGCCAAAAGAATTTCGGTTTTCATTCGGGGGGGGGGGGGGGGTACGTGGTGCAGGGGGGTAGCCAGCTTTCAATCAGGGGGATGCGATTGCCAAAATAATTTCGGTTTTCAGTCGGGGGGGGGGGGGGGGGGGGGTGCAAACTACTGCCCCTCCAACTTTATGACTTTATGAACATTACTCTCCATCAAATACTCACCTCCTTTGCCCACATGGAGGATAAGTTCTTGATCAGTAGTCATCAGCTCAGGATATTGGTTCTCAATCAACTGTGCAATATGATGCAACACTGTGACTGACCTATCCTGGGGGGACCTCACTTCCATTAACTGAAAATGGTCAATTCCATCATTTACTGAAGTATGAATAGATTTTAAACAGAATATTCAGGGAATGCTGAGTTTTGAAAGATTTATTTTAGTTTATTATGTCACCACCAAAAGTGGTGACATATTGTTATGGTCTCCGTTTTTTTGCGACGGCGGTTGGCGTCTGGCGGTTGGTGGTTGGCGTCCGGCGGTTGGCGTCCGGCGTCTGTAACAATTTCTTACAACTTCCTATAACTTAACAAATACTGTTTAGACCGACTTCAATTTTTTTCTAAATCATCTACATGTTCTCAGAAGTTCAAATCTCGCTTTAGATTTGACATTTGACCTTCAAATCTGACTTTAGATTTGACATTTGACCTTCAATGACCTTCTCAAGGTCAAGAAGGTCAAAAAGGTCTGTTTTCAACTTGCTTCAAATTGACTAAATTTTTTTTTCAAAATCATCTACGTGTTCTCAGAAATTCAAATCTGACTTAAGATTTGACTTAAGATTGGACATTTGACCTTCAATGACCTTCTCAACGTCAAAAAAGGTCAAAAAGGTCTGTTTTCAACTTGCTTCAAATTGACTAAAAAAAATTTTCAAAATCATCTACGTGTTCTCAGAAATTCAAATCTGACTTTAGATTTGACTTAAGATTTGACATTTGACCTTCAATGACCTTCTCAAAGTCAAAAAAGGTCAAAAAGGTCTTTTTTCAACTTGCTTTAAATTGACTAAATTTTTTTTCAAAATCATCTACATGTTCTCAGAAATTCAAATCTGACTTTAGATTTGACATTTGACCTTCAAAGACCTTCTCAATGTCAAAAAAGGTCAAAAAGGTATTTTTTCATCTTGCTTCAAATTGACTAAATTTTTTTTCAAAATCATCTACATGTTCTCAGAAATTCAAATATGACTTTAGATTTGACATTTGACCTTCAATGACCTTCTCAAGGTCAAAAAAGGTCAAAAAGGTCTTTTTTCAACTTGCTTCAAATTGACTATTTTTTTTTCAAAATCATCTACATGTTTTCAGAAATTCAAATCTGACTTTAGATTTGACATTTGACCTTTAATGACCTTCTCAAGGTCAAAAAAGGTCAAAAAGGTCTGTTTTCAACTTGCTTCAAATTGACCAATTTTTTTTTTCAAAATCATCTACATCTTTTCAGAAGTTCAAATTTGACTTTACAAGTTCTCAGAAATTCAAATCTGACTTAAGTTTGAACTCATAATATCGTGAGCAACTAGGTGGTGACATTTTGTCATGTTAATGCCTTGTGTTTTATTTATTTCATAATACTAATCAAAGAATAAATGCCGAAGCATTGAAAGATTTTCTCATAAGTTTTAGTTTTACCTTTGGTAAGGACTCTAGTTTGAAGCCACTGGCATATCCTCTCTTACTGCTGTTCATGTAGTTGCCAAATGCGAGGATGATCTACAATAGCAAGAAACATCTAGGATTATGTCAAAATCAAGAATAATCCAAAACAAATACAAGAAATGTCTATGAAATACAAGTCAAGGATCTAATCTACAACAAATGCGAAGATAATCAAGATCAACGAACTAGTGCAAAAATAGCAAATACATGAGAAATATAAGGAAACACAAACAGGCAACATTGGATGAAAGGAAAAATTACAAGATAACTCCTGATAAATTACAACTAATCCACAAGATAACTTTACGTAGCAAATATTTTACCTTTGGAACATCCATGTAAAATGCATGTAAAATACATGTACTCACCTGGAATATTTTGTATATTACATGTACTCACCTGGAATATTCTGTATATTACATGTACTCACCTGGAATATTCTGTATATTACATGAACTCACCTGGAATATTTTGTATATTACATGTACTCACCTGGAATATTCTGTATATTACATGTACTCACCTGGAATATTCTGTATATTACATGTACTCACCTGGAATATTCTGTATATTACATGTACTCACCTTGAATGTTTTGTATATTACATGTACTCACCTGGAATATTCTGTATATTACATGTACTCACCTGGAATATTTTGTATATTACATGTACTCACCTGGAATATTCTGTATATTACATGTACTCATCTGGAATATTCTGTATATTACATGTTCTCATCTGGAATATTCTGTATATTACATGTACTCATCTGGAATATTCTGTATATTACATGTACTCACCTGGAATATTTTGACAAGCTTGGCACTTTTATAGACAGAGGCAGATCCAACCATTACTGCTTCAATTTGCTGTTACAGTAAAAGAAATAAAAAAATGAGACTGTGCTGCAACAAAAATGAAGTATTGAAATCTATGGTGAAACAGAAGTCAATAATTACACTGATTACCGAGGCTGAAATTGATCCTAGTTTTAAGAAACAAAAAACTCATGAAAAGAAAGAAAGAAAATTCATGAATGATGAAATGAAGATATCAGATCTATCCATGGGGTCTTAAGGAATATGTGGAAGATTTGTGTAGTAGGTGAAGATCAAAATATTTAGTAAAAGGTGAGAAAAATATCTTACTGGAGCTACTGTAGTTATCAGTTCCTCAAACATCCCCATAAATGCCATCACCCCCAGCTTAGACTCAAGCCTCTCAATCTTATTCATCTGTAACCAACAGAGAGGATTTACAACATAGAACATTTGCAGTACATGTATATAACATTTGAACCATAGAATCTAGAACATTCACATCATAGAACATTTGCAGTACATGTATATAACATGTGAACCATAGAATCTAGAACATTCGCACAGAGAACATTTGCAGTACATGTATATAACATTTGCACCATACAATCTAGAACATTCACAACATAAAACATTTGCAGTACATGTATATAACATTTGCACCATACAATCTAGAACATTCACAACATAAAACATTTGCAGTACATGTATATAACATTTACAGCATAGAATATATAACATTTACAGCATAGAATATAGAACATTTGCAGCATAGAATATAGAGGATTCGCAACATAGAACATTTGCAGTACATGTGTATAACATTTACAGCATAGAATATAGAACATTTGCAGCATAGAATATAGAGGATTTGCAACATAGAACATTTGCAGTACATGTATATAACATTTACAACATAGAATATAGAACATTTGCAGCATAGAATATAGAGGATTCGCAACATAGAACATTTGCAGTACATGTATATAACATTTACAGCATAGAATATAGAACATTTGCAGCATAGAATATAGAGGATTCGCAACATAGAACATTTGCAGTACATGTATATAACATTTGAACCATAGAATCTAGAACATTCGCACAGAGAACATTTGCAGTAAATGTATATAACATTTGAACCATAGAATCTAGAACATTCGCAACATAGAACATTTGCAGTACATGTATATAACATTTGAACCATAGAATCTAGAACATTCGCAACATAGAACATTTGCAGTACATGTATATAACATTTGCACCATACAATCTAGAACATTCACAACATAGAACATTTGCAGTACATGTATATAACATTTGAACCATAGAATCTAGAACATTCGCACAGAGAACATTTGCAGTACATGTATATAACATTTGCACCATACAATCTAGAACATTCACAACATAAAACATTTGCAGTACATGTATATAACATTTGAACCATAGAATCTAGAACATTCACATCATAGAACATTTGCAGTACATGTATATAACATTTGCACCATACAATCTAGAACATTCACAACATAGAACATTTGCAGTACATGTATATAACATTTGAACCATAGAATCTAGAACATTCGCAACATAGAACATTTGCAGTACATGTATATAACATTTGCACCATACAATCTAGATTATTTGCAACATAGAGCATATGTGGCTTAGAATATAGAACATTCCCAACCAAATCCCCCGACACTGTCTTTCAGTTTTATGTACCTATTTTTCAAAAAAATGCAACAGATATATAAAAAATATGAGTTGACTCACCTCATGCATGTAAAGCTCAGCCTCACCAAACTTTGCATATTCTTTACTATGTCTTGCCAAAGCTTTACGCTCTTCTTGTGTTGGTACATATTTCAATAAGAGTTCAGCATAATCACCGGGAATCTTTTCAATGTCACATTGATCCAGGTACTCGGCAATTTTCTCAAGTGGGAACTCAATGTTTCTTCTTGTTATTACTGAAATATACAGGAGTTTTTATATGTAGAAACAAAGGTGATAAATATGTATGGGTTCATGCATTTTGTGCCCATAAAGAGTCACTGTTAGCTAATAGGTAAAAATTTGGTGCCTCTTTATATTTTCACATTTGGATTAGTGATTCCTGTTTGTTTCTTTATGCTATGGTGCTAAGTTGGCAATTAGTTTTTTGTACAGAGTATTTTTTGATTTGGAGGTAAAACATCCTAAAATTTGCTATTTTATTCTCGAAAGATACAAATAAGATGCACAAATTATTTCTTCACACTGATGTTTTTCAATGCTCATTACTTACATAGATTTCTTGCTCTGTCATTTTCTACGAATGTTATCTTCCCAGAGTTCCTCTTCAGGACTGAAAAAGAGATGATAATATGTAACAAAAATAAGGCATTTTGAAGCAGAGAACATTTTCAATGTGTCTAAAAGTTCTAGGTCTCTAGATCTCTTAATCTAACTTCTAAATTACTTTGTGGCTGTAACTGGCTGTGCAAGATCAAGCTTTTGATCAACGTGTTTTTAAAACTAGGTGTACAAATGTTACCTTGGTCCCTTTTAGCCTTTGAAGTGGTATTTAGATCAGGAAGTTGGAACTCATTTTCAAAGTCAGCAAAGTTTACCTCCTTAAGAATCTCATCATCTGTATGTTTCTGGAATAAAGTTTTTGAATAGATATTACCATGCACATGGAGAATAAAAGAGAATTGATTATTGTATCCAAACCTACTGAGGTTCTAGGTACAAAGACGGACAAGGCAGATATTCTCTTGGACTAAAAAAGAACAAAAAAGCACTGTTCACTACCCATACACACATTTTAGTATTTACCTTGAACACTGTGTTTCCAGGGTGGTAGATAGGGGTCCAGTTTAACATGGGGAGGTTCACATTAGGAGTAATGATCTTGGTGGTGTTCCACATAGGTGTGGGGGGAGGCAGCCCTGGAACCATTGGAGGAAGGGGAGGCGGTTCTGAAATACATCAAAATAAATTAGTAAAATCCCTTGGGCATGGGGAAAGGGGATGTGGTCCTGGCGAAGCATCTCAAAGTAAACTAGTAAAATCACTGGTGCCATGGGAGGAAATACATCAAAATGAATTAGTAATATATCGCAAAGATATTATACCCTCCAGTTATTACGTTTTGTGATTGTGTACGGATTTCACCTTCAGCATCTTTCACAAATGGCAGATGGTGACATTTTGCATCTTCATGCCTTGTCTTTCTTAAAATAGTTTGATCAGAGGGTGAATCATATTTAGAGTACATACGTGGGAGGCTTTTGCGAGAGAGAGTGCCAGCATTTGAGAGGGTCTCGGATGATTCACCAGTCCCTTCATTCTCTATGTCAATATAGATAGGTTTCATAGCATCATCTACAAGTTCCTTGACTTCTTGTTGTTCCTGACCACTGGCTTTCTCGTCGTATAGTTTCTGGAAAGGTATGTGATATGTTTGTCAAGTCATCACTAATCAGAGAAAATTTTGATTGCTCTTGAATTTTCTGCATTTTGGGTGATAAATAGTTACTTTGCAATTCAATTGATGATGGGATATTATGTAAAAATATCAAAAGTAATCAAGTGATAAGATGTGAATTGATAATGCTGTACACATATTTATATTACTAGTTTTCTCACCTGTAGACGCTCCACTGTACTCTGTAGTTCTGAAGCTCTGTCTTGCCATTGGGTGCTCTTCTCTGTCAACTGGAATATGATTAATACATCATATGTAATTTTCATTTGAACTTTTTAGTATTTAATTTGATCTATTAGGGGTACCTGCTATTTTATTATTTCATGCCATATTGTAAATCATACTGCAGCATTGTGTTTTATCGTGGTGAATTTAAAATGTAGCCTGTATATTTTCTTATAATATATATCTGATGTTACAGTAGGCCCATTAGTATACTGTGGTATGTGAATTGGCTTATTACTGTGAACCATTTACTCAAATCATTGCAACATCCATTTCTTCAAGTTTTTCCACTATGCACTCTTTATATGTATAGGGGACCATAAGTCTCTTTAAACTATACACATTTTATTGTGGAAGACTTTATTGAACACCTTGTACTTTACTAACCTCTTTTATAGATTTCTCAAAGGTTGTCTTCTGTGTTTCTGCTGTCTTGAGTTTCTTCTGAAGTAAATTCACTTCATCTCTCAGAAGTTTACTTCTGGCTTCTTTAGTCATCAGATCATCTTGGATCGTGTCTACATTAATGTAATGCTTCTTCCATTGGTCTATTTCAATTTGGAGCGCATCAAAATCGTGTCCATCTCCTATTGCATTCTGGGATAAATAGCACATCAAAGATTATGCAAAATATTAACGGTAATTTTATTTAGTTTTTCTCCTTATTCATTGCACTTAACATTATGAATCTTTGGAGATTACTCATCTTCTGGATGCTCTTTAAAAAGAACCAACAGTAAGATTTTAGAATTAAAATAGATTTTGTTATCAATAATAAAAAGTTAAGACTTTAATTGATTCTGTCAAAAGTTATTGTAATGTACATTTTCCAAGAAATCGTGTTCACAATAAATTGGGAGATAAACTTTCTTGTTTAGATACTAAAGATGTGAGAGCTATTTGAATATTGAATCTAGACAGTGCAGAGGTGTGACCAGGGTCTGGAAATAGGTGAGACAACTTTTTTTGTGAGGAGCAAACACAACCATTTTATTACAGTTTCAGTTTAAATATTTACTGAAAAAAATTTGGAGAGGCAGTTGCCTAACACCTGCCTCATCCCTGGCTACATCAACTTAAGTTTGAATGGCTACACCAATGCTTATGGGATAATGATAAGTCAATGGAGGGTATCTGACCTTTTGTAAGACATCTAATTCAAATCCTGCGTGAGTCATCTCTTGTTGTAGGAATACTGTGGCATTAGCCCCCTCTGTCATAGACACCAGTGTGTTTAGGAACTTCATACATACAGCCTGTAAAGGATGGGCTTTAGGTTTTACTATTTTGAGAGATGGTTGGAAATTGTTTAGCCAAATCATCATATTAGTTCCTATGAGTATTTGGACGTGGAAAAATAAAGGATCGTCTAAGGAAACATGTCGGTAGGAATAGGAACTCAAACATTGTGTGTAATAATATGATTGTTTCAAAAAGTCACAAAATCTAAGATCTGACCTGGAAAGGCACATAGATTGGGCCTTTGCTTTGTAGCATTCCTACAAGCAGTTTGAATCTAACTGGTTCACTGTATTCTGCTCTCATTCTTGTCATGGCATCCAAGACAATGTGGTAACCTTCCTTTGTGTCGCAGCTCATTGTTAGCAGCTGGAAAGGTATTATCATTGAGAATAAAATGGCGCCTTAGCCTGGATTGATGACTAGGGGCTTATCTTGGCATCACTATAAATGTAACCAAACTACATGTATACTATAATGACACACCTTTATGTTCTTTATACCTTATATATTTGCCTCAAGATTAAGGGCGTAGATTCTCACATAGTTAGTTAATCAATGAAGTAGTAGTAATTCGATAAATTTGACATACTTGAAGGGAGAATGTGTTAAGTAGCTAGCTACATTCCAAAGATTATAAAATATATACTCTTTACTGATACGTTTGCTGACCTGTATTGCCACAATTCTTGCTTTACTCAGGTTGCTTAGTAGACAGCTGGTGATAGCATGAACTGCACCCTTGCAGCGGACCACCTTTAGGGAGCCACCCTGTAATAGAAATGTATATTGTTTTATAGTTCATCACCTTTAGGCAACCACCCTGTAATAAAAATGCTTATTGCTTTATAGTTCATCACTTTTTGGGAGTCAACCTGTAATAGAAATGTATACTGCTTATAGTTCATCACATTTAGGGAACCACCCTGTAATAGAAATGTATACTGCTTATAGTGTATCACCTTTAGGGAGCCACCCTGTAATAGAAATTTACATAGCTTTATAGTGCATCACATTTAGGGAACCACCCTGTAATAGAAATATAAATTGCTTTATGGCACATCACTTTTATGGAACCACCCTGTAATAGAAATATATATTGCTTTATAGTGCATCACATTTAGTGAACCACCCTGTAATAGAAATGCTTATTGCTTTATAGTGTATCACCTTTAGGGAACCACCCTGTAATAGAAATTTACATAGCTTTATAGTGCATCACATTTAGGGAACCACCCTGTAATAGAAATATAAATTGCTTTATGGCACATCACTTTTATGGAACCACCCTGTAATAGAAATATATATTGCTTTATAGTGCATCACATTTAGTGAATCACCCTGTAATAGAAATGCATATTGCTTTATAGTGCATTATATTTCACTGAACCACCCTGTAATAGAAATGTATATTGCTTCATAGTGCATCGCCTTTAATGAGCCACCCTGTAATAAAAGTGTATATTGCTCTATAGTATATTCCACTACATTCAAGTAAACCATGCACCCTGAAATATATATTTCATTTCTTTGCATTTACACTTGGTAAGCATTCCTGTAATATGAGATGAAATAAATGTCACTGTTATACTTCTGTAGTACTATAATCTTATAATATAAATATATAAGTAAACTGGTAATAAATGAGGCCATTATCGAGGTCAGACATATACAAGGTCAAGTCAACCCAGAGGTCAAACAACAACTCTTGATATTTCTCAATACTAAGGTCAGTTTTGCTGAGGTCACAGAAGGTCAAAGTCACAAAATCACTGAAAAGGTTGGTTCATGAACAACTTACCTCAACTTTACAGGCAAACTTGATGCAGAGGAGGCAATCCAGTTCATCAGTCTGAAAAATCATTTTATATCAATTCTTGCCAGGGATATAATTTAGTCTATTGTACTTATATGGTCTAATAAAGTGGTCTATCATGTAACATGTAAATGACTGTGCATATATTTAAGGCAATTGAGAATTAATGTTAATTTGTTTGTAAAAGTGAATTCCTCTTAATCTCAAATCATTAAGTATAGTATGTTCCTCATTTGATAAGATTAAGAGTTTATACTTGTGATTATAGTATTCACATATATGGTAAGCTGATATGAAAATTCTATTGCTTGAACTTTGTTCAATCACTTTTATTCATATGTCACATTCTCAAAAATATTCCTATAATATGTATCTATTTTAAGGTAGTTATACACTTACGAAAAAAATTGTAGAAATGTTTAAATGCAATTTTTACAAAATATTTTGTGCTAAAACGATGATTTTTATTCACATACAATTTTGAAATATATTGCCCATTTCATTAAGCATTGATAATTGTTTACCTTCACACACGAAATACTGTAATTCGCCCATTAACCCTACTACTTATTATTCTATATTTCACTGTTCTCCCCAAAACCTTTAAATATGTGCATGCTACGATTTTAACAATTTTCATATTTTCAAGAACATGCATTTTTTCATATGAGAGCAAACCTGTAGATGCTATTATGTTATATGACAACTGCAACACTTACCAGTGCCCTCTGGTAGACTTTCATCTTCTTGTTACTGCTGGCTGAGAGGGAATCTAGAGACTCATCTTGTTGCAGCTCATTTAGCAAATCAGCCAATAGCACAACACCATTATTTTGGGGATTTAGAAACTCTTGAGTGAAGCTAGAATAAATAAAAGTTTAAAATTAAATTAATGTTTAAGATAATATTAAGCAAAAATCTGAGGTGTCTATTTTGGTACAAATAACACCATATGAATATTCTAGAGATCAATTTCATGGAAGCCATTTATGATTGGGATATTATGACCCCTTTCCTTAAAAAGTTTAGAATCAGAAAGCACGAGGGGCAATACCAGGAAAACCCAAAGAACAAAAACTTAGTACTATTCTATTTTAAGAAACAAGAATCATACGAGATTACATCAAGTTTTCAAAACAGTATAAGCTCAAACATATGTTTAAGCCAAATAGCCGCTTCCTAGTCAACTCGTACCCAAGACAACTCGTACCCAAGACAACTTGTACCCAAGACAACTCGTACCCAAGACAACTCGTACCCAAGACAACTCGTACTCAAGCTTATTTTCAGTATTATGGGTGCATATTAGGGAAAAAATTTAGTTTGTAACGCTTTCATGTTATAATGTGAATCAAATAAGCCTCAATATTTTTTTGAATTTAGACGACATTTTTTCTCAATGGATCAGTAAAGCATTTTTTATTAAATAAAAGAAGTGCTTGAAGCGCTTGTTCTCAACATTTTTTTGTCAAACATATATATAAATAAATATAATTACAACATTAGATCTGACACTTGTTCCAAACACTCATAAACATAGAATATTTTGAAAAATGATTATAAACATACATATGTATGTCTCTTCACTCGAACATCCTGAATCTGTGACCAATATAAAATAATAGTCAATATAAATTGACACTCAGCTCAAAATGTCACAAAATTAAGTCAATTTCTTCCGAAAATTCTTCTTCAAACTTAAAACTATTCTGAACAGTATGTTACAATTATAATATGTATATCTATTCACATTCCCAGTCCAATGCTTGATTCAAAACAAAATATATACTTGGGTACGAGTTGTCTTGAGGCTTACGGACAACTCATCCCCTAGACAACTCATCCCTGGACAACTCATCCCCTAGACAACTCATCCCCTGGACATCTCATCCCCTGGACATCTCATCCCCTAGACATCTCATCCCCTAGACAACTCATCCCCTGGACAACTCATCCCCAAGACAACTCATCCCCTAGACAACTCATCCTTTATCACATGAAGCCAAATTGTAAAGTTTTTTTGGAAAATAAATATTTAGCAGTTATGTCCCTATCATTGAATATATGCCTGAGGTCTGTCATCAATATAGCCCGAGCTTGCGAGGTTATATTGATGACGGACCGAAGGCATATATTCAATGATATGGACATAATTGTTGTATTACAAACCTAAAGTACATTTACGTAACATTTCATGAAGAAAAAAGACCAAAGTTTTACACGATTCCAGTTGAAATCACTTTGTTTACATGTTATGACATCGTAAAATTGTTATGGTAATAAAGTTTGACCTTCAGCCCCATTGACTTCCATACAAATGCTTCGCTAGGTATGTAATACTTATTAATTACACCTTGAATCATTCTAAATATTATTTTTCACTTTATTGAATGGTCAAATGGTGCCATTAATACTTTCATATTTTGTCCTTATATTACATGACTTAATATTTCATGACAAAAAATAAAGTTTTCTCTCTGCATAATTTTGAAACATGAACTTCAGTTACTTCATCTGTGACTGCAGTGATAAAATTATCTTTGGATTAAAGAATATTTGAACTATGAACAACACACATATAATGACATCAAAGGAGCTTATGACATCAAAGGAGCTTCAATCAATGTTAACATAATATTGAAATTGTATATTAAAAGTAAAATTAAAGGTAAATATTTACAAAACAAATTACAGATTAATTGGTTGATAATCTCCTTGACAATACCATAGTAGTACCATGGTATATTTTTTAAACTATTTTCCAGATTTCCCCTCAAGAAAGTCCATTGCAATTGTTCACTTGTCAGTCAGAAGACAACAGAATCGTTGCTTTAATACCTTACTATTGTTATGTAAATGGAAAGAGTTAGAAGTGCAGATCTTTTTTTCCATTTTTGAAGTTCTGTTTATGTAACAAAAGTGAGGTATTAGATCGACGATCGTGTTAATCATTTGAACAATATATGAATTAATAATATTACATTAAATTACTCAAACATGCCAAAGGATGAGTCGTCCAGGGGATGAGTTGTCCAGGGGATGAGTTGTCTAGGGGATGAGATGTCTAGGGGATGAGTTGTCCAGGGGATGAGTTGTCTAGGGGATGAGTTGTCCAGGGGATGAGTTGTCTAGGGGATGAGTTGTCCAGGGATGAGTTGTCTCGGGGATGAGTTGTCCGTTTACCGTCTTGGGTACAAGTTGTCTTGGGTACCAGTTGTCTTGGGTACGACTTGTCTTGGGTACGAGTTGACCACTTACCAAATAGCCCAATGATACTGGTGTGATATAGACTTTATATTAATACAATAATTTGATATGTCTTTCTGAAGACTTAAGTAAAGAAAAAGACCTCTATCTTTAAGTAAGAATTCAAAATATATTTGTTCAGCTCAAAAATGTAAGTTATTTCAAAGATAACCTATGACATAGGATTGGTTTAATTTATCATACACTGAATAAAACCCTGGTGTATATTTGGATTTATATTACTTTAATCAAGACAAGTAATGAGCCTTGATTTATGAACCCTAAACATTGTAATCATAGTGACATTTCAACATTGCACAACAAAATTATACACAAGGTTATGAAGACTAATTTATATTTGGTTATCGTAATCTTGTTTACTTCACTCGGAACTTCGAGTAAGTTCACCCAAATATATTTAATTCCGCATTTTGTATCACATCAGCGTTTTTGTCCTCTTGATGGTGACTTGATGGCATCCCTCTTTGTCATTTTGATTTCAAGAAAGCAATCATTGGATTTTCTTCAAAGTATATTGGTAGGACAATTAATATAGAGTTTCAGAACTGATAAATATATATAGGCAGCCATCTTAAATTCCCATGTCCATTTGGGTTACTTTCTGATATAAATATAATAAGGATTTTAGGAAAATTACACATCTCATTTGTTCAAATGTTAGATGGGATCAAAATATATTACATGCGTTTTGATAACCGTTTTTGGATACATTATAATATGGTGTTTCTAGAGGCAATGAACTTTGTTGCTACAATTTCTCATCATTTAATTTTCAAAAATAATTCATATGGAAAACTTCACATTTTTACATATATTTAATGGTAATATATCAAATGGGCATTTTGGATTCTGGTCTTTGTCTTCTAAGAATAATGTTCTAGTACTCATCAAGATTTGACACTGATTTTTGTCATCTGTCAACTGGTGTCTACTTGGTGATGTGCTCTTGTTCATACTGTGCCTTGTTGACATTTTTTGGAACATGCTCAATAGGCTGTCTATCGGAATTTATTTTTGACAAAATTTTTAATGAAAGTGAACATAGATTATATTAATCATAAAATATATTAACTTTCACGGTTGCCAGACACCTTTCAAGTGAACAAAGAACACCTTTACATTTTGTGACCTGATCTATAAGAATGTAATAACATGTGTCATGATGTGTCAAATGTGTCAATGTATGACACTTCAAGGAGTTGAGATTTGATAAATTGACTTGAATGTAACCTTTTGTATAAAATATAATACTATGCTATATGAATGTGAATAAACACTTAAACATGTATGTAACCTTTTGTATAAAATATAATACTATGCTATGAATGTGAATAAACACTTATACATGTATCATAACATGTTACCATGTAATCAGGATATTATTTATCATTTGTCATGACTGAACTTCAGGTTCACACTACATGAACAAGGAAGTGATTTGCTATTGTTTACAAGAATATGAATACCTTCATATATAAGTGAGATATTATAGATCAAGCAGGATGATTGTGACAATTATAATATTTGTGCCAATTTTGAAAGTACTTGTGCCAATTTTGACAGTATCTGTGCCTATTTTGGCAGTGTTTGTGCCAATTTTGATAGTTGATATTGATTTTTGTGAAAATTGTTCACAGTTATATGACAATTATAACATTTGTGACAATGGTGAAAAGTGTGACAATGCTGACATTTATAGCAGTGATGACAGTTGTGACAAAAATGATATTTGTGACAATGATGACATTAATATAATGATAACACTTCCCAGATAGCACAACTCTGATGGGCCAACGTTGGCCCAACAACTACGTATCTGTTGGCCCAACGTTGGCTGTCGTGGTTGGCCCACCGTCGCTATGTCCATCGGTCCAACGTTGGTCCACCGTCGCTATGTTCATTGGCCCAACGTTGGTCCATTGTTGGCCCAACACGATTTCAAGCTACGTTGGCCCATAGTTGGCCCACTAATAGTAAGAAGACTGGTTGGCCCGACGTTGGTCAACAGTTGGTCCGACAATGTTAAGAGGGATGTTGGCGCATTGGCGGTCAAAACTGGTTGGCCCAACGTTGGTCAACAGTTGGGCCAACTTTGGCCCAACGATTACGTATATGTTGGTCCAACGTTGGCTGTCGTGGTTGGCCCACCGTCGCTATGTCCATCGGTCCAACGTTGGTCCACCGTCTGTCCACCGTCGCTATGTCCATTGGCCCAACGTTGGTCCATTGTTGGCCCGACACGATTTCAAGCTACGTTGGTCCATTGTTGGGCCAACCATATTTTCTTTCGGTGGGCCAACGTTGGGCCAATGGACATAGCGACGGTGGGCCAACCACGTCAGCCAACGTTGGTCCAACATTGGCAGCCACCACAGAACCAACGTTGGCCCACTGTTGACACAATTTACTTTTTTGTACAGCCATTGTTGGCTCCCTGGGCAGCCAACGACAGGCCACATGAATAATTTGCCAACTGCAACCTTGAGAACCAATGGTCACCGATAGCGACGTTGACCCAACGTCTTTGTGCTATGTAGGCATTCAGTACTGCTACTTTAAATGTGTTCACATATTATATCCGTTTTTCATCAATAAAATATGGTGGCTTGTTTTTCCATACTAAATATATTTGGTAGCCTTATAAGTGGTTTCAACTGTATTACAAGGCGAAAATCCATATTTTTAAGGTGAACAACATTATCAGATAATTTTGAAAGAAAATATTACAAAAATTTACCTTAATTTTTTTTAATGACAACTGGTATGTTTTCTTCTATTTTTAAGCATTTGCAATGATTTATCGATAGGTGGCTTCCTGGTATTAGCGGCAGCCAACAACGGGCCAACGTTGGCCCAACTACAATTTGCCAACTGCAATTTTGCACTGATCGATAGGTCCCAGATAGCACATCGCCAATGGGCCAACGTTGGGCCAACAACTACGCATCTGTTGGCCCAACGTCGGCTTGAGCGGTTGACCCAACGTCATTTTGTCCAGCGGGCCAACGTTGGTCCAACAGTGGCAAAAAATTATATTGGCCCAACGTTGGTCCAATGTTGGCTCGACAGTGCTTTAGTGCTAATGGCAATGTTGGCCCAACGTTGGCCTTGCAGAGGGAACAGATAGGTGGGTGGCCCAACGTTGGCCCAACAGTACTTTAGTGCTACCCAGATAGCACAACGACATTGGGCCAACGTTGGTCCAACATTTGCAGCGTCTAAAGAACCAACGTTGGACCATTGTTGGCCCACTATTGACACAATTTACTTCGGTGGACCAACGTTGGGCCAATGGACATATCGACGGTGGGCCAACCATCTCAGCCAACGTTGAACCAACAGATATGTAATTGTTGGGCCAACGTTGGCCCATCAGAGTTGTGCTATCTGGGATTGTTGGCTCCCTGGTATTAGCGGCAGCCAACGACGGGCCAACGTTGGCCCAACTACAATTTGCCAACTGCGACTATGCCAACCAATGGCCACCAATAGCGACGTTGGCCCGACATCTTTGTGCTATCTGGGAAGTGTGATTTGCCGACCTGAAAATAACGTCGGCCCAACATTATAGTTCCGCCCTAAAATTGCTAACTTCGGACCTGATATCATTGTCGGCCCAACGTTCTACCGACCCTAAAATTGTGTCAATTACCAACGTGGTACCAACGTTGGTTATAGTTCCGCCCTAAAATTGCTAACTTCGGACCGAAATAGACACGCTGCTTGCCAACCTTGCACCGACATCGGTACAACGTCAGCGTACAGCCGTAAAATTGCTGACTTCAGGCCAACAGAAAAGTGTACCTTGACGACCTCGTACCAACGTCGGCCCAACGTCAAAGTACCGCCCTAAAATTGCTAACTTCAGACCGAAAAAGATGTGTCATTTGCCAACCTTGTACCGACGTCGGTACAACGTGAGCTTACAGCCGTAGAATTGCTGACTTCAGGCCAACGGAGAAGTGTGCCTTGACAACCTTGAACCAACGTCGGCCCAACGTCAAGGTACCGACGTAAAATTGCCGACGTAGGGCCAACAAAGACGTGCTATCTGGGTTGTGACAATAATGACAGTCAATGATAGGTTTATGCAGTAATTCTAGGGTGTAATACCTGGGTGGGGAATGCTTCAAGTCTGTCTTCAGTTGCTTTAGTAGTGTAGAAAGGGGAACCAGGGCTTTGGGAATCTTTTTCGGTTTCACCTGGTTGAGGGCCTGTGGGGCCATCCTTAGCTGCTGCACGTAATACTGTACGGGGAATTCAGATTCTCTCGGCCGCTTGAATAAAAGATCAGCAACATTTCAGAAACAGATACAGGGGTTTCATTAGCAGCAGGCAACAGGCGATTTTCACCAGTTGTTTTCACAAAATCGCTTGTTGATTTTAGGGACTTTTCAACTTTTCCATGTTAAATTTGTGATTTTCAGTAATTTTGCCTGTTATTTTCATTTATTTAGCCTGTTGTGAGAAATTCTAGTGAAACCCCTGAGATATATGTATAATATTTACTGACTCAGTATTGCCAACAATGTTATGTTTTCTTATATTCCATAGCTTAGTACAAGCTTGAGGGCATTTTAGAGGGTGTGATTTTTATGGTCAAAAATGTGGATCAGCAAAATGATAAGGGTATTATTATGACATACCTGTTTGCTCAAAATCACTCTCTTTTCTTCTATAGGTAGAAGTCTGAGAATATTTTCCTTCTCCTCTGATATGGGAGATATCGTCTCCTAAAATGTAAAATATTTCAGAAAAATAATTTAGAAAAACATTTTAGATACCATGATACCATCGTAGGTAACATATAGTAATTGAAGTAAACAATTTTGAATTCAATAAAATAAGCAAATGGTACCTAATGATATACATGTAAGCTCCAACTGATATTATTATCTCATTTTTGATTAGTTAACGAATGTTGTCTATTTACGTACTGTGAGTTCTGTACTTACAATGTATTCTTCAAATTCTTTAAATATTGCAGCATCTTCTGGTTTAAAAGAAACAGTTTGACGACCTCTCTTTGTGTTCTTTCCAGATATTGCTCTCTGTATAGAGGGCTCTGATGTTTGCTGTGAACTAGAAGGGGGCCTTGGTGCCCGACCTTTCCCAACAGATGATAACCTGTCAATGTCATGTTGAAGCTTCTGAGCAGGTATTTCATCATATAATCTCTCTTCTAGTCTCTTACGCCTTAATTCTTCGACATTGAATTTATCATGGTGTTCATCATCATTGTGTGTTGTTTCACCATTCTGTGTGTGGAGATAAGCCACAGGGCCTCCATTTTGTTGACTGTGATCTATTGTGGTTTGGAAACTCTGGGGTTGTTCAGCCGAATGTCTTTGTTCATTTTGAACACGAGTCTGTTTTGGAATGAGATGGTTTGAAAGTTCAAGGTCATGGGGTTGTTGTGAAATGTCAAGGTCATGAGGGGTTCGTTGCCGAGGTGGTTCCAGTTGAGCAGTTGTCATTTTGTCTCTGCCATTTATATAAGCAGGTAACTCTGCAATAAAGATTTTAAATCTTGAGATATTATTCAAATTATGTCATTGGTATTACTTGTCTGCATTTTTATGAATGCTACACAGGACATACTTCATTGTATTTAAAAGCAGCAAATAGAAACAAACCACAGCATTCTATCAAATAATCCAACAGTCAATGATAAAACCAATAATAATTTCCAAAAGGGAACATCAAATTACAGAAGATATCATCATAAGAATTTGTGCACTTTTTTATGCAAAATAATAGAAATCATTTAAATTAGCAATATTGTTTATTTATAAAGAATTAGTCTCTATTTAAGAGAGAAAGCCCCATCCAAAGTACTATATAGATTTAGTTTCTTTCAAGGTCAATGATCACTTGGATTAGGCCTTGTCAATGTTTTGTATGTTACATTATCACTTTAAAGGAACCATAAAAACTAAAAAAGCCACATAGTAAATCAATGTTAGTTAATTTAGTGTAGAGGGAGGGGGTTAAGTTGAAACAAAATTAACTTTGTGGGTTGGCCTGCTATGGTGCTTTGATATGGTCTCTAAAGCTATCAGACATTTTACTGAATCATTCTCATCAGATAATAACATTTAACAAGCAAAACTATATTTTTGATTTGAGTTTTTGAGGTGCTCATCAGATACTCAGGCCATATACATTTACATTTAGAGAGGCATAAATTAAACCCTAGAAAGTTTTCGTTCTATGAAGTCCAAGGTGAAGTGCCATGATACTTGGGCTGTTCATAATGAATTGAGTATCTTAAGTTCTATAAACTATAAATTTACCTCATCTTAAAATTATCATTTTAAATATTTTTGATTTGAAGATGACCAAAATTTCACTTTTGGTTAAGATAAAAAATATATCAATCAAAATGCTCTAAAAATGAAAAATAATCTAATTATTTTTTATTCAATCCTTTACATGATATCTTTACAAAAAACGGTTAGTGATAAGATATTATTCATTCAGATTAGTTTATGTTTTTCATAATAAACTTTGCTCTCATTGTATCTGTAAGCCACACCCTTGAAACCAGATTAAAAATACAGTATGTGTTTTATGACTAACATTAATCTCATTGAATTGAATTGAATAAATTATAAAGATAAACATTCACTTGATGTGTACATGTATAAAGCAATAAATATTATGTTGAAAAGGTATGTCTAGCATTAAGATTAGGAAACTTGTTGAGAAAATATTCCAGTGCTATGGACATTTTACTCAGATTTGATTTTTCATGAATCTTTTGTTTATCAATAAATGATATCTCGTATAAGAACATGATAATAAATATTGCAATCCCTTCCATATTGATGTTTCATAAGAAAGGTGATTTTAATAGGAAGTTTATTGTATAAAAACTATTTTGCCAAATTCCATCCATAATAAAGTGCATATTTTCTGTGCAAAGTGTTACTAACTAAAAAAATATTCTTAAATACTACTCATTGAAGCAAATCCTGAATTAAGTTAATGCTGGAATGACCAGCTTCAAGTGTTCACTTTTAGATATAAATGCAACTGAAAAAGTGTTCACTTTAGGGATGATTTGCATACAGTAAAACCTGTGAACAGTTAACACTTTTTTTTCAAAAAATGTTCAGTGTTGGTAGGTGTTCATTACAGAGAGGGTAATCAATACAGAAGTCAGTAGAGTTGTGCGGAGGGAGGGTGTCTACTAGGGACAGTGTTCATGAGACAGAGGTGTTCACTAACACAGGTTTTACTATGAAGATTGCATAATATAAAATAGCTCCTTCACCATTAGTGAAGAATGTCGATTTTTAAAAAAGCTCAAGTGATAAACAAATCAACTTGTGGACATGATCCCAAAACCAGATAGTTACCCAACTTTTGAGATAACAATATACTTACTTGTCACAATTCTACATAATATCTGACTTTGACTTTACCGGGTCATATTGAGCATACTGTACTTCAGTCTTGTTATGTCTCATCTTATCATCCAGATGTGTCTAGCACATACTAGTCATATATTGAGTAATAATTTTAGTAAAACAATGAATGAATCAAAATATGAATATAAGCCACTCCCAATATGCATGAATAATAAGTGTTTTGCCAAGTTTTAACGCATATAGACCTCAATACACTATATCTTTTGTTAATACATGTATATCTCTATGTATATTAACTAAAGCTTATTTAATAGTAACTTCGGAAGTACCATATATGGTTTACTTATTGCAAATCATTTTTTCAGAAAGTAGAAAACCCTGATTTGACGCATTATCTGACATTTATGGCAGGATAATTTTACAAAATCCCATTAGAATTTTCATAAAGGAGTGGTATCGATAGGGAGAACTTATTGAACACACGTTAAACCAGTCATAAAAAAATTCTGAAAATTTTACACATTGTCAATTTAATGGTTATCTTTTGAATGGTAACAATATAATTGGAAGTATATATATATAATTTCATCTATATTGTTTTAGAAAACACATCAAACACTTGTTTTGTTCTTGGTATCACATTTCCAGAGTGAAATGAAACATCTTTCCAAACCTCATCGGAACAAAACGACATAAACGCAACATGTTTAGGTCTCTCAATATTGTAATTGTACAAAGGAAATTTTGGTTGCTTTTAAAAAAGTATCTTGTTAATGAAATAAAAGGTTTATCTTGATTTTTATCTATTTTGGGGGGATTTTGTTTTAATCTTTTGAATACTTTTTTAAAATCAACCAAAAATTCCTTTGTATTACTATAATATTGAGAGGTCTAAAAATATGTTGTAAATGCTATTTTGTTCCAACAAGGTTCGGAAAGACATTTTATTTCATTCTCAAGAAATGGTAGAAAGGAGCAAAAACAATTGCACTAAAAAAACAAAAAATGTTAACAAAAACAGTTAAAATATTTCTAAATAATTTTCGCATTAAATTGTTGTCAATCAGTCAACAATACATTACATAAAATAGCGTGTTTTTCCAGAATGTTTTCAATGATCGGTTTAAGAGAAAAACATTGTTGAATTCAGTTCTCCATATCGATATCACTCCTTTCTTTTATTTAATGATATAGTTGACAATGTACCTGAATAATCGGAATGAGAATTTGAATGTTCTTACAATCCCATCTGTATAAATTTGAACAAACTCACTATCATTTTTATCCTTTCATACAAAAAACGTTAAAAAGAAATAAGATCTTTGCCAGACTGACCTTGATATACGGGATCTGGAGGTTTTTCCATGTCTGGGAAAACATTATCATTATCATCCAAATCCTTATACTGGGCATAAGGATTCATGGCTAAATAATTTGGGGTCTGTCTAATAACTGATTTAATTGCAACATTTCCCTGGCTCCGGGTCCAGCTTCCATTGATTCCGGGAATATGTGTAAATCCTGTATCGGCAACGGAACTCTTGTTGTTAAACAAACTGTCATTGTCAGTCCTCGGAAAACCTCTTGTTTTCTTACTTGGCATTTTGTCGTTGAAAAATATTTTATTTCATATAAAACAGCATCATTATGTTTACACAGTATTTATGTTTTGTCACTTAAGGGTGTGTACCTTTTGTAATCGCCTTATCTTAATTTCCTCATTGTTTTGCGTTTGTTTATATCATTATATTAGATGTATATGCTGTTGTTTGTAGCACTTAAATGTGTCTGTATAATCTTGTTAACTCCTGACGACTATCAATAAGGGCCCTAGAAATTCTTTCGTGTTATTTCTTTAGGTTGTATCTATTTTCTTAGAACTGACTCTAATTACTTGTGACCTACACAAGTGAAAGTTTCTGTATGACATAAAGCTTATTCATTTTTAAAACATAAACTTAATGAATCTGAACAAGTTAAAGGCCATGTGTGCTTTTTAAGAGAATAAGGAACCATTTAGTATAAAGACCATATATTTGTTTACATATTTTTAAACAGCTACCTATTCATTTAAAACAATAATTAAAAATTAACCCAGTATTTATAAAGGAAGTCCAAAGTTGTTGGGTATAAGTTGTAAATGAAAGATAAGAAACTGATTAATTATTTATGTGAAGATTTTTATTGCAAAGATATCTATTTTTAATTGCCTTGGAGATAACTCAATTTTTTAAATACCGATTGCAAAATATGGATGATATTGAATCAGTATGTTTTAACTAAATATTACAGTATTGATATCATTCCCTATTGGAAATAGAGGTTACAGAAGTCACATTGTAAATCAATAAAGTAACCCACAAGTGTTCAAATATACTTGAATTAAGCACTATGGGTTGGGAATAGAGGTTACAGAAGGTGCATCATAAATCAATAAAGTAGCCCACAAGTGCTCAAATATACTTGAATTATTAGCCCTAAAACTGATACTGGTACAGGGTGTTGTCTCTTCATTCAATGTCCGGACACAATATGTAGGTCTGGTGAATCCAGAATGGTAGGATTGTGTTTATCAATTGTCTCTAATATTGGCTAATATTTGCCAGTACTTATGTTACTTGCTTTCAACCCCTATTTCAACTATTTTTATTGTCCAGTGGAGTGAATATAGAACATTAATTTATTTATTAGTGACCGAGTTATCCACTGTACAGAAAACATCAATCTTGCATCACATTTCTACCCCTTACCCCCTCTACCCCCACCCAAAAAACTGTACATTCTCCCATCACTTCAAGGCTTGAAAAATAATAGGCGAGGACAGATAGGGGCAACAGGGGATGAAGCAAAAATTAATATAAACAAAGTACGATAGCACTTTGATAGTAAGATATCTAAATTGAAATTCAAAAGTAGCACAAACACCTGAATAATAACCAATAAATTCGAAAACAATAAATTCCTCAAATATTTTTAGATTAGCAAGAAAGTTCATGAGTACTTAAAAGTTATATAGAGGGTGTTCTTTCTATTGGACAGTTGGGTTTGCCTGAAGGGTGGGCATCCCACTTAACTTTGTTTTGTCTTCGTGTTTCCAGGCAAACCATTCAATGGATTGTTTCAAATTTTCTAGAAAGTTAATTGTATGAGAATCTATAATTAGTTTTTGGGCATTCTAGGTGAATGTTTAAGTTTGGCATAGGGCTTTAATTTTCATGGTCGATATGCATGAATAACTAGGCTTTCAAGTATTATGTAACAGTTTCCTTGAATTACTATTATACAACATTTCTTAACATGATTACATTAAGGTGGGACTGGAGGAATATGTTCAGAATGTCAAGATTATATGCCATAGTTATTACTCATTATATTCTGGCTACCTGAAGGATGTCCCCTGAATAAAGTCGTAAATAATAGACGCTTAGGGATGATATCAAATTATCAAGTCATGGAAAAATGAAGTCAATTTCATTATGGTTTGACCCCGTCTGCTCCCCTCATCTTAAGAAATTTTAAAATGTTGATTTGTCTTTCACTTGGATATTAAAAAAATCAACACTATTTACAAACAAAACCATTTACTCCGTCCCCCTAATGAAATCACCTCCGTTTAATAGTGGGACACTATCCCTAACCTAGACCATCCACAGGCATTGAGTGACCTCTATGAATACAAATAAAGTCTACTCTATTTTAATATTTTAAAATGATAATATTTGTATACAAATATAAGCATAAATGAGTGACATCTTTCAAAGTCTAGAGCAATACTTAGTCTAACTCTATTATACTTTGCCAATATTATCAAATATGTTGTACATCAACTCTGAGATAAAATTATTGAATTCTAGATAAGAGTCCAAAGTCTGTGAATGATTAGTAGTAATGCCAACCTGTGACATTAAATCATACGGTTCTCAGAAGTTATTTTTAATTAAATCAAGTCATTAGAAAGGTAAGATCTATAATTAACAAGATGGAATTTAAAAAGACGGTTTTACTTTTTGTTCAGAATAAGTGATCAGAAAAATACAGAATGCTCATACTCTTGTTCTGGAGCTTGTTCTGATAAACATATATTTTGTGACCTTCATTTTAAAAGAATTTTTATGTTTTATATCAGACTATGATTGCAATTTACATGTGCATATTTTATATATATTTTCTTCAATGTCAATAATATAGCATTTGAGACTTACAATTTACAGTGAGAGAACAAGAATTCATGTACACATAATAAAAAAAATATTGAAATTAAAACGTGTTATTTTTAAAAATATGCTTTAAAAGATCATTTTTAATTTTCAGTTATAAGGATGAGCCAGCCTACACAGCTCCCTAGCCAGCCGGTTGGGCCCAGCTCAACTGTTGTCCCCCCTCCTGATTATGACACTGCTACTGGATCTCAGGGGGGATATACAAATCCCACATCACCCCAAGGGGGATACTCGCAATACCCCGGTCAAGGTGGATATACCCAACAGGAACAATATCCTCAGAATGCGTACAATACCCCCAAGCAGTTTGCTCCTAACACAGGTTGTTATGTGAACCAGGGGTCTACTGCACCCCCAGGCGCATATGTGCCACCCCCAACAGAGTTTGTCCCACATGACGCTGAGGCAGGTTTAACAGCTGAGGAAGAAGAACAATTCAGTTCATTTACAGATAAGGCTGTTAGACATGGCAAGTCGTTGCTCTTTTTGCACTTTTATGTTTTTTCTCAAAACATATTATTTACTTTTTGACTATCTCGTTTTTTTCAGAATTTGTTTTGATTTTTCAATTTGATGCAGAACCTGAACTTATTGTTTATCTTTTCTAGATCTTTGTTTTGTATTGGCACAATGGGAAACATTTAAGCAAAATACTAGAATGTATATAATTATCACAAACACCCAGCCTTGGCCATCTTTTCTCTGTGTACAAGAGAGATGTTTACTAACTGATTTTATGTCAAGGTTTGGCCTTAGTAATATTCTTATGACAGTTCAATTTTGAGGATTTTGAAATCCTATATTGATTAAAAAATGATCACTGATCCCATGTTGGATTCAATTTCAAGTGGAAATCTTCAAAATTATCTGAATATGTCAACAAGTGCCAACAAGACCGAAAAGTATTATTGAAATAACACTGGTAAAAGTAACATTGAAGAGTTACTACATATACCAGTCATAAGGAAAGAAACCAACAGGTTCCGTTGCATCATAAAGATTCAAGATTCAAGATTTTATTGTATACCAACGGTTTCCTCACAAAATCAATTACAACACATTTACATATAATGATACAGTTATATAGTAAAATGCATTGCTTAAAAAACATTTTAATATGACTATCATACAATCTAGTTTTTTCTTTTTTTCAAAGGATCATTATAAAGATGTAACCCCTCTTGCCAACATTCAGAAACCATTACAAAAGTTGTCCCTTTTATTCATTCCATTTTAATGTTTCATTTTTTTCTTCTAGTAATCATTTTGTTCCGCTTTTCAGGTTTTATCAGGAAGGTGTATGGAATATTAACATTACAGCTGCTTGTTACAATGGGAATCATGGCCCTTTTCATGTTTCAGTGAGTCTTATTATGTTTTATTGAGTATTACATAGTTTCAGTGAGTCTTATTGTGTTTTATTGAGTATTTCATAGTTTCAGTGAGTCTTATTGTGTTTTATTGAGTATTTCATAGTTTCAGTGAGTCTTATTGTGTTTTATTGAGTATTACATAGTTTCAGTGAGTCTTATTGTTTTTTATTGAGTATTACATAGTTTCAGTGAGTTTTATTGTGTTTTATTGAGTATTACATAGTTTCAGTGAGTCTTATTATGTTTTATTGAGTATTACATAGTTTCAGTGAGTCTTATTGTGTTTTATTGTGTATTTCATAGTTTCAGTGAGTCTTATTGTGTTTTATTGAGTATTACATAGTTTCAGTGAGTCTTATTATGTTTTATTGAGTATTACATAGTTTCAGTGAGTCTTATTGTGTTTTATTGTGTATTTCATAGTTTCAGTGAGTCTTATTGTGTTTTATTGAGTATTACATAGTTTCAGTGAGTCTTATTATGTTTTATTGAGTATTACATAGTTTCAGTGAGTCTTATTGTGTTTTATTTAGTATTGCATAGTTTCAGTCAGTCTTATTGTGTTTTATTGAGTATTTCATAGTTTCAGTGAGTAGTTGTAAAGTTTTAGAAAAGTCAGTCAAAAGTGATGAATCCATGATTCATTTAAGAATTATATAAACTATATTTTGTAAAATGACCAAAGATATTCTGATTGCTTTACTAATGAGATACTAATGATAATTATCTTTGAATGTTACAGGACAACAGTGAGAGAGTATGTTCGTTACAAGGGGTCTTGGCTGGTGTGGACTGGGATGTAAGTTTTAACCATGAATGTTTAGAATAATGTTCAGCAACTCTGTAAAGTTGAGCACCTCCATAAAAAGAGGAGTTTCTATATACCTTTGAAATCTCGCTAATTTCTGTTTTTTCATGGGATTCTTAGAGATTTGCAATTTTAACCTGTAATGACTAAATTTTCTTTCTTTTTGATAGCATATTTCAATTTAGTAAAGTTTTCTATAATAATAACTTTGATTTACACATTTATGTCATTTTCCATGACTTTTTCAACTTTTCTAAAAAACTTGAGCCAAATCTCCATTGATGCAATGCTAAAATTCTTTAAAACCTTGGTTTATTTGTTTGACAACCAAAAATTTGATGATTAATCACATTATGTACATCGACAGGGTCATCCCATAGTATGTCATTTGAGTTTCAGACAGATTCAGCCCAAACTCTTTCATAAATCATTAAATTAAGTGACTATTGCAAGTTTATAACATGGAAGTCAATGGCAGTTGCCCAACTGAATGAAGAATAACAAGGGTGACATCTATTATGTCAGCTTTATTCAGCTATATATAGAAACTATACTATTGAACACATCTAAGTGCCATAACCTAATATAATGCAATCTGAACCCTTGTAAGTGAACTCCTAGTTTGGGGTACCAAAGAATTCCTTTCACTCACTCACTCACTCACTCACTCACTCACACATCTTTTACTGTATTTAAAAAGAGGTTGTATGAGAAAGGAATATATATGTACAAAAGTATATAAGTGTCAGGTAATGGAACATACTGCTATACAGATTGAAATATAGACAACCATGACTACCTTTTACATTATAGATTGTATTTTACACATAACATACACATTGTAGTCTCATTTGATTTATCTCGTTTACTTCAGGATTGGCACAATAGTATTGATACTAGTACTGGGCTGTATTCCCAATGTGAGGAAGAAGTTTCCTGTCAACTTAATATGTCTCATTATATTTGTGAGTATACACTTGTGTGTACCTTTTCTGGAAAGTCTTCTCCAGGAGACATTTGAACTTTTAACACTGACAAATTATCTCTATAACAATTTAGTACAATTTATGTTTATTTAAGCCATCCTCTGTTCACAGGACTTCAAAATCCATAATATCTTCTTTCTTTTTACACCCTGCTATAACCAGTTAGTATTTCCCCGATTAAGAACTCGTAATTTGATTCGCTGTCGCAACATTGCGACAGCAATTATGTATATGTCATTGGTGCATAATTAGATCAAGTGACTCAGTTTAATCGGGCGCTTACAAATTGGTTATAGCAGGGGGAAGAAGGAGGTACGGATTCTGGACACCTGTCTCGGAGGATGATTTAAGCATACTGTTTTAATTTTTGAATCATAATTTGTTTTTCAGACCATATTCTTCTCACTGATGTTGGGCACTTTGTCCACGTAAGTTTTTCCATAATTTTAAATTACACATATTGATGGTCTTCACCCATTGTACTTACTGTACTATTATTAGTTATTTTCTTAACACTACCATTCACATAAGTATATCATCAATTTTTATCTTCAATGTTAGACTAGAACCATGGATCAAAGATGTTCATGTATTTTTATGCATCATGGTGGATCTTACCACTTGAACTCAAATTCATGGAAAATGAATATCAAAAAATATTTTTAATCATTTGGATTTTGATGCTTTATTTCTGTAAAATAAAGTATGCATGTATGCACTTTTTGTGCAAATTGAAGCATTAATAATTAATCCATTATAATTTATATTTTCAGTTATCTAAGTGTAAATGAAGTACTTATGGCAGTGGGCATATGTGCTGTGAGTATATTTTATGAACATAATCTTATTACTCATTTCTTTCTTTCATGAAAAATGTCACATTGAGAATATCTTTATGAGTGAGGTGATTGTGCTCAGGGTGGTAATATGTTTTGAAATTTCAAGAGATTGTGCTTGGGTGACGATATGTTTCGATTATCTGATTAGGTTTTGGGCATGCTGGGTAAACTATGTGACTGCCATTTAGCTTTTAAAAGTGCATTATTTATCGCTGTGTGTCTTGTTTATGCTTGGGGTGACACTATGTTTTGATATTTTAAATGAATATATTTTGATATTTCAAGTGATTGTGCTCAAGATGACAATATGTTTTTATATTTCAGGTGATTGTGCTTGGTGTGACAATATTTGCTGTCCAGACAAAAATTGACTTCACAATGATGAGTGGCTCCCTCTTTATGCTTCTCATCTCACTCCTGTGTTTTGGCGTTCTGTGTGCAATCTTCAGAGATAGGGTATGTAATGTATGGATTTTTGGCTAAAACTTTTTTCTTGCACCCTTGGTACTATATTGGGATCAGCTTACTGGGGAGGCGGATTGGCGGTAGGGTGTTTAACTTGTCTCAAGGCGAACATGTTTAACAGATTGATTTTAATCTTTCAGGGATGTTTTTTAAAGATATGTAATGTATATGTATTTTGGGCATTCTGGGTAAATACTCAAGTGGCCATTTTGGACTCTCTGTCCACAAAACTGTATTTTCTATTCAAATGCGTGATATTGTTCACGCTTGTCTTGTTTTCCCTTTTGACCATTTCACTTATATATATTTATGTTTTATATTGATGATGTATGTTCTATGTTTCAGTATTTGTACATGATGTATGCTGCACTTGGGGCTTTACTATTTGGACTGGTGAGTTATAATATGCTGTATGGCTTGGCCTTTGAAATTCATGACAATAGGTAGCGATCTGAGGCACTTCGATCAGGGTGTTGTCGGGACAATTTCTCTTGTGACTTAGGTTATGTATTTAGGTCTATCTCAACAGATTATACTGGTCTTATGCGCCGCAAATGGTGCGAAAGATGTTAAAATTGCATTTTCGACCCTAAAATTCAGATTTCTCGGGGGTACATTATTATCTAGCTATAAAACAAAAACTAAACAACCAATGCTTCTTTCTTTTGGTGTTTCTGTTAAGAGTAATCATACTTACAATGCATATGTAAAAAAATTGAAGAATTTTAACTTTATTTAAAAACAGCAACATTTTTTCACCTTAAAATCATAGAATTTAGGGGGGTTGAGAGACACTGATTGGTATTGATTTTTTAATTTCTCAATCAATCTCAGTTTAATATTAATGGAATTTTCCTAAAAGTAGCACCAACATGTCCCCAACACATTACCATAAAGAAAAAACTCAAACTCTAACATGTTTTTTGCCTATAGGGGTCAATTTACCTCTCCCCTCTTTCCCTTTTTAGAAGGGCGTGGCCATATTGGCATGTTCATCTAAAAATAAATACTTCATGTTCATATCCATCCCCTGATCACAGGGCTTCAAAATCCAGAACATATTCTTTCTTTTTACCCCTGCGATAAGCAGTTACCATTTCCCCGATTAAGAACTCGCAATCTGATTGGCTGTTGCAACACTGCGACAGAAATCATGTATAAGTCATTATGCATAATTAGATCATGTGATTCAGTTAAATCGGCACGTCCAAATTGGTAATAGCAGGGGGAAGAAGGAGATACGGACTGGACACCTGCTTAGGATGGTTTATATCAGGTTATCATTTTTATGTCACCAAAAAAAGTGGTGACATATTGTTAAGGTCTCTGTTCTTTTTTGACGGTGGTCAGTGGTCGGCGGTTTGTGGTTGGTGGTTGGCAATTGGGGTCTGTAACAAATTCTTACAATTTCCAATAATTAACAAATACTGTATAGACTGACTTCAATTGTTTTCAAAATCATCTACATGTTTTCAGATGTTCAAATCCGACTTTATATTTAAGATTTGACCTTCAATGACCTTTTCAAGGTCAGAAAAGGTCTTTTTTCAACTTGCTTCAAATTAACCATTTTTTTCAAAATCATCTATAAGTTATCGGAAGTTCAAATCTGACTTAAGGTTTGAGATTTGACCTTCAATGACCTTCTTAAGATTTAAGAATATAGATTTGATCATTAAATGACATTCTAAAGGTCAAAATAGATTTGACCTTTAGTGACATCCTCAAGGTCAAAACTATATTTCTTATCTTGTTTCAACTAGGTAGTGACATTTTGTCATGTTATTGCCTTGTTTTACTTGTACCTAGTGAATGTCTTTAAAATGACATAAGCCTAATTCAGTGGGACCTGTATTAGTGAACACCTTTCTCTAGTGAACACCTGTGTAAAATGAACACCCTATTTTCAGCACATACCTTGATTCCAATACAAATTGTCTTTCTGTATTGAAATCTACCAATAGTGAACACATTTTTGTGGCTCTATAGATGTTCACTGTACACAGGTTTTACTTTATACAAAATACCTTTATATTTAACTTTAATTAATAAACTGAATATCTGATTGCAATTATAAATTGCTATCCATTATTTGCAGGGAACATGTAGCAAAACAATAAGGGAGAATAGTAAGCTATTCAAGGCTTATTACTGTCTGATGTTCTATTATTAATTAATTTGATTGATTCAATTGATGGCTTTCTCAATCCATTCCAAATTGAGGACAATGATCATTTATACTGTATATCATCTGGAATGCCAACACCCTCTAATTTAGCAAATGATCTCTTAAATGCAGCATCCAAGGCCAATATATTCAAGACCAATTTGTGCAGAAGGGAAGAAGTTTTCATGACCCCATAAAAGAATGAAACTGAAAACATCTGAATTCAATGCTGGAGTCAAAAAGGTGAAAAGCTCTGGAAACAAACTGATTGAGATTAGAGCTGAGCGCAATATATTTGGCCAGTTAGTCATGTTATCAGAGCAGCATAGTATCAGTCTAAAGCAAATATTAGAATATCCCCTGAGTCCAATACCCTGGGCTCTTGGAACACCTGATGGGCTCTTGGTTAAAACAGAAAAGTCAAAATTATTACATGATCTGGAAACATATAATATTGGACATAGACCCAAACCAGAAAAAAAACAATTATAGTCTATGATGGCAATGCATTGTTCCATATACTTCCTGAGCGACCCAAAACATTTGGATTATTGGCAGAGAGGATCCTTCAGATGCTTCCTATAAGAAAGATTCAATTAAAGAACCAGAAAGAATATGCAGGCGTGTCTCCAAAAAGCTAAAAATAAAAGGACCCAATACCAGGATTCCTAACAATTGGAAGGAATTCCTTTTAAATGATGAGAATGAAATGCAGCTGAGTAAGTTGATCCTTGAAGAATGGAAAAAGATAAAAATGCTCCTAAACTCAAAGAAAGACAGATTTATGTGGTGAGATCTGTACAGTGCACCAGTGATAGAACTACTGTTACACATAGAGTTGAACCTAGTCTGAAATCTTCCCACAAAGAGGCAGATACAAAAATTATACTCCATGCAATTAACATGAAATGAACCTGAAAACACAGAAAAACTATAGTAGTGAGATCCCCAGATAGTGATGTTTTTGTACTTCTTGTGCACTTTCCAATCATATTCAAACTCCATTAATTTTCGACACTGGTAGTGCAGACCACATATGACTTATTAAAGGTGCAACAATTAGTGCAGGGGGGTAATTCAACGATCATCGACCAGTGTCAAAATATATTTAAGTTTGGATATTAAATCAAGACTAACATATATTTTTATTGTCTACAAAGAAACCCCCTGGATGAACATAATTTCAGCTGATATTCCTCTTGAAACGTTGTGAATCTTAAAATTCAAATATAGAAGCTTTGAACTGAATTTACACTTCTAAATTGAGAGTTTATCCATACATTTCCAGAAAAAAAAATTCGAATTTTCTCTCTACAGTCCTTGTTGCCCCTTTAATGTAAAGGAAGTAGGAAATGCGCTCAGTTCAGACATTTGTAAAGTATGCTTTACCAGCCTTCCATTCATTCACTGGATGTGATTCCTTCAGTGCCTTTGTGAGAAGGGGGAAAGTGTCCCCCCCCCCCCTAAAATTACTTATGAGATCTGTAGAATTTCAAAAAGGTTTCGGCACCATTGGTGGGGTCATTAATGATCAAACTGCTAAATGTGCTGAGAAGTTTACTTGCCAGATGTATGGAAACAAAAAGTGTTCAAATATAAATGAGCTGAGATATACCTTATTCGAGAACAAATTCCAACCAAAATCTGCTCCAAGTGTGATAACAAGCTATGAAGGCACTGGCATAAGCCTCCTACCCCCATGTAAAGATTCATTACAGCAGCATCTGGCAAGGGCCAGTTATCAAGCACACATATGGAATCTTGCCCACATCCCCTATCCATCAATTCCCTCCCCTGTGTCACATGGATGGAGGATGAAAGATGGCCATTTGGATTTCAATGGATGTCAAATCCAGATAAAATTCTACCCCAGGACCTGGTAGATGTTATCGTATTAGATGATACTTTAGAAGATCAAAATGAAGAGGAAGTTTATGAAATACAAAGCTTTGTGGATCAAATATATTCTGGTGAATAAAAACTACATTTGTGATGACAGAAATTCATACAATAAGTAAAATTAATATTTTGACTGAGTCGTGAACTGTGTATTAGATAATATTCAACTTCAGATTTTTAATATTCTTATATCTCGAGCCTACATAGAAAAAAAAATATTGTATTATAAATAATTCACAGGTATGTACTATATGTATACACCTAAGTGAAAATATTTTATGGTAATATATTTGATAAAATACATGATATGTACATGTATTCATTTAATGTGACATCATGCTACACCATCATGCCACACCCCTTTTATAAGGGAAAGAGGGGAGAGGTAAATTGACTCTAATAGTTAAAAACATCAGAGTTTGAGTTTTTTCTTTATGGGTAATATGCTGGGGACATGTTGGTGCTATTTTTAGGAAAGTTTCATTAATATAAAACAAAGATTGATTGAGAAATTTAAATATCAATTCCGATCAGTGTCTCTCGACCCCCCTAAATTCGATGATTTTAGGGTGAAAAAATGTTGTTGTTTTTAAATTAAGTTAAAATTGTTCAATTTTTTTACATATGCATTTTAAATATAATTACTCTTAACAGAAACACCAAAAGAAAGAAGCACTGGTTGTTTAGTTTTTGTTTTATAGCTAAATAATAATGTACCCCCAAGAAATCTGAATTTTAGGGTCGAAAATGCAATTTTAACATTGTTCGCACCATTTGCGGCGCATAAGACCAGTAAAATCTGTTGAGATAGACCTAAATACATAGCCTAAGTCACAAGAGAAATTGTCCCGACAACACCCTGATCGAAGTGCCTCAGATCGCTACCTAATATGGCAGCAAATGAAATTTTAAAATTTCAGAATTATTGCCAATTGATCTTCAAAATACAAGACATTTTATGCAGTACAGCCCGAACTCTTACACCATTTAGAAAATTAAGGTATATCTTGGATTGCTGTGAATAAATATTATTGTGACCTCTAGAATTAACCTTGGCTCGTCACTGTTCCTTGTTGTCTCTGTATGGAAAGGATTTAATGTGATAGCATGATAGACCAGTTCAAATTCTAAACAGACTACAGTATTTTACAGTGACCCTTGTGTCAAGGTTTATGAAAAATAATGCACCATTCAAATCTTTGAATGGTGCTTTATTTTTCATAAACCTTGACACATAAAGTTTGTCTGTAACTCTGGTTCTAAGTTAACCCCAAAAATAGTTTTGATTTAAAATACTTAATTGTAACCTGTGCCATACTATATTTTCAGTGGCTGTTGATCGACACTCAAATGATACTAGGGGGGAAGCATACCTATAGCATTGATCCAGAAGAATACATATTTGCAGCTCTTAGCCTTTATGTGGACATTATGAACATTTTGATAAGAATTATGGCCATCATTGGCGCTTCTCGGTGAAACAATGTCTAACAGATTACATGTATTACCATTGTGTGGAAAACTACAGACTGCATATACTGTAATATACAAAATATCACTCCACAGATTCAGAGAAATCTGTATATAAGAACAACCCTCTAATCTGAAACAGCATTATGTGGTAAAAAGGCACTGGGCTGAAAGTACAGTGTGTCTCAAAAGATGCTCCCAAAAGTATTTCAATAACATGTATTTTATCTGTGCTATTGCAATACTTTGGGAGATTTTTTGGAGATACAGCTAAACAATGCACTTTTGCCCTCTATCAATCTTACATTGAAAATAAACACATTTGGTTGGATATATTTTAGATGGTGGATGATTCTCTTTATATAAATTGAATATACACTGTACATGTATAATTTTAATCTAGTGCAAATAAAATCCATTGTATATTTTTATTTAGATTTTGTTTCAATGTTAAAAAATGATTAACTGAGTAAAATCAGTGTTAGAGGCTAGCTAAGACCAAATCATATAAAAGGGAGTTGTTTGTAGAATGAATTGGGAGAGTTTTTTCATGCAATTCGCTTATGTTTTTCATCTTAAAAACAGGAATAATTTATTGACTATAAGAAAAATCTAATATACACCTTACTGGGTTGCTTTCATTTATATCGCAACCCAATAAGGTATATAGTAAAGTTTAACCTTCCTGTTATCTCAAAATCTGCTTGGAACCCCACCATTGGATTAACATGGGAAATTCCTCCAAGAGAATATTCTAGGGATTAAAGAATTGGTGCAGTTTACACAATTTGAGAAATTATTGGCATGCACGCAACGTATTTAAAACAGCATTTATATTATTCAAAAGCGTCGAGCACAATGATTCCCAGCCCTCTGAAGTTAAAAAAATACCTGGGTGTTAATCCATAGATAATCCTTGAAAATGAGAACTTTTTTGGGGATTATACGGAGCAATCTTATAGTCAATAAAATGTTTTACAGTGTATTGTTGTTTTTTAGATGAAAAACACAAACAAAATGCACGAAAAAACTCCCTCAATTTATTCTACAAACAACTCAAGGTCCTTTGAAAATATAAAGGACAACTTTAAGGCAAAAATAGCATAATATGTCATGTGTCCCATGTGTTATGGTTGAATTCAATGAGAACATGTTTTATTCCAACTGGAGGTGAATCCCTTGTTGAGGTGGAGGGGAGGGAGTGCTACATTAGTCGTATATGTCCATCCATACTTTGGCCATATGCCAAAATACTTCCAATATAAAAGTTTTCATTCATTTCTTGAAAGAATCTGATAGCCTTTATTTTATTGCTTTTATTGAGCTTTTTTCTCTGCATTCCTATTTACAGTTCTCCTAAACCTCTATACTACTCTACCTAAGCTATTCAAACCAAAATCGTTTTGATTATATGCATTTATTTACATTACTTAACCTTTAGAATATGGTGTTTGAATTTTATGTTACAATGTAGTGACTGTATGGATATTTTTACATTTTTGAAATAAAAATTGCCATGTCCTATTTAGCAATAGTGACAATATTTTGAAATTTGAAAATTTTGGAAGTGTCTCGTCTTCAAGAAAATTGCTGAGAAACAGATACTGCTGTAAAAATATGAGGTAGAATCGCGAGGTTTGTATGCTATGAGGATCAAGTTATTTTCATTAAAATGATTAGAAAACCTCACAATTAAATGTAGACTTTCCTTTTTGAGCTTTAAAATGTCACAATATGATGACTTGATAATATTAACATACAATTTATGTTTTCATCATAACTCGTAACATTTTTAAGAAAAAAGCATGATCCCCATCGTGGACAAATCTTCCAGTCCCATTAAAAGTTGGAATCTGTGGTTAGAAACATCACTTGTATATTTACATGTATTATACATAGCAGTCTGAGAAATGTTGTTTTATATCACTAAATATGAAAAGTGTTTTCAAACAGATGTAGTTGAACCTTGTTCTTTCTATGTCACATGACTTAAGTCTTGTGTGGTAGCAGTTTACTTTCAAAGAATATGTCCCTCATCCATGTAATGAATAGAGAATGTTTGATAACTTCTTTGTGTAGTGGTCCATGTACTTTGCAGCAATTGTAGTCATCTCAGTGGGGAGCCACTTCATATCTGTCTCTCCACATGTCGTTACTCATCATATACCAGGATTCTGGACTAGAATAGAATATTGCATGATATTTAAAACAGACATTTTCTTATTATTGTAAAAATGTGAAATCTAATATAAAATTAGATTGAAATACAGATTCAGGCCAGATTTGTAGTAGTTTCAGTAGCTCAAGAATTCAACTATCCAACTGAGTCTTTGTATATAGATCAGCATAAAAACATCTTGAGGTTTGGCATTCTAATAACTGAAAAGGTTGGAAGTCTCATCTTGAAGAAAATGTTGAGAAACTGATACCGGTATAAAAGATCTTTCCAGAATCTGTGGTTAGGAATATACATGTATCAGTTGATTATATATTTTACTTGGCAATCTGACAGGTGTTATATTATATTACTTAATATGAAAGTTAATGTAATTTTTAAACAAATGTAGTTTGTACCTTATCCTCTGTACTTCACAATGAAGAGGTTGCCATTCTGATCCCCCACAAGAAGATTACCGTTATGATCAATCGTTACTGCCATTGGATAGTAAACCCCATCTTTCTCCATCAACACGTATCTCATGAATTTACCCTGTGGATCCAGCATGTGTACTCTGTGGTTCCTCCTGTCTGCCACAAAGATGTAGTCTTCAGCATCAGTACATACACCACATGGTCCACCGAACTGTCCTTTTCCGTCACTAAATTCTTCATATGAGAACAGCTCGGTGCCATCTCTTTCCATTCCTTTTACAAAGCGTCCCTTAAAATCACTGATTATAGCCACATCTTTGCTGTTGCATGCCACGTAGATTGGGTCCTTAAACATGCCTGCCTTGGATTGCTGTTTAGCTTCACCTGTTGAAGAGTCAACATGGTACACTGCTTTAAGCTTGGTATCACAGACAACAAACTCACCTGCTGAGTTCACAGTTATGCCCATAAGTTCTTCCAAGCCTTTACATACAAGATCATGTTTGGGGGTACCATCTGGTAGGTAGATACTTATTGTATTCGTTTGATTGGTGAATGCTAAGTCTTTAGATTTTGTCAGTGTGACGCTGGTAAAATCTTTCCTCAAAGCTTTGATTAACTTAAAGCTTTCATCATATATAGATGCTGGAGAACGGTCACCTGTAACAACGTATTGACCAGTTAGTGTCCCAAGTAGCTCCCATATGTACTCTTTGCAGAGTTTAACCTTCTGTATAGATGGTTCACACAATGGTTTTAATGTCTGAGCTTCAGATGTATTCTCACCAATGGAGTTTCTGACTATGACTTGTCCATATTTCATAGTATCATCATTGCACTCTCCAATTTCAAACTGCATTTCAATTTTTCTATCAAAGTCCACCTTTGGCAGCTTGGTCCACTCTTCTGACTTCTTGTTGGCTAGCTCAGCTAGGTCTGGTATTTCAACAGGATGACCATGATCTACCATTGTGTAGTAATTGTTGACTTGACCCTGAATTGCAGCTTTATTTTGCTCCAATTGACCAATGTGGGCCATGACTTGCTTCACATTGCTTTGCTTCTCTCGTGCCACTTGCTCTTTTAGGGAATCATATCTAGCTTTAACTGTTTCAACTAATGTGTTCATTTCATTGTTCATTTCAGCTAAGGCATTTTCTGTGTTGCGCTGAAGCTCAGATTTATAGGCCTTTGTATTTTGAATTGCCTGTTCATACATGCCCATAAGTTCTTTCCCCTGTGTGACAGCTGCACCCATGGCTTTTTTGTTTCTGGCAGCTGTTACATTGATGTCTTCATAAGGATGGTCAGCGTGGTCGTTAGCTAAACAAGACTTGCAAAGAATAGTATTATCAGCTTTACAGAAGTATTCCACAGGGTCACTAGGATGTATCTTGCAATACACAGTGCGCTCTTTCACCATCTGAAAGCTTTTTTCCAAATCATTTTGGCCATCTCCTGTTAGTTCAAGTACTTTGTGTCCTTGAAAAAATGTATCGTGCATTTTATGGCATGGAGCACAGAACCTCTTGTTGCAATCTAGACAGCGCAAAGTGGCCAGGGTGTATTTCTCATCTGTGTCTCTGCATACTGCACATTCCTGGGTCTGGTTATTGTCCTTATAGGCATCTAACAACAATTCAATTGTAGGGCTCACTTTTAATTCTCCTACCCCCTGTTGTGGTACATGACATACTTCTCCACAGTCAGGGCAACCAAGGCTTCCATCTTGTATTCCACTTTTCTCCACAAGATCATGTAGACACTTTAGACAATATGAATGTAAGCATTGCAATGTCCTTGGGTCAGTTAGAATGTCCCGACATAAAGTGCAAGTCAGAGCAGCTTTACAATGATCCCTCACACTCGTAGCCATTTTTCAGATTGTTTGAATAACCAAGCATAGGTGAAAAGAATATGTATGCTTAGTGATAAACAGTTCGCAGTAGTTGTTGAATAGTAAAGTGGATGATTCAGAGGTTAAAGTGACTTGTAAGCACGATCAATAGTCCATAGTACACAGAAGTGTATTGGTTAATATTTGAGTAAGTGAAAACAGTGACATCTTTTTATGTGTCATATTTCAAATTCATGTGGTGTAAACTTTATTTGAGAAACTAAAGATTTTTACAGAGATACATTAATTTTCCTATTTTATGGTTACCATTTTTATTATTTGGGAGCATTTTGCCCCACTTTTGCACTTTGACTCTTAAATAACTTTACCAAATTATAAGATATCACAGATCTTTTGGGATATTTGTATTTGAGATTACTTGTAAGGAATACATTGGTAGGTCAACTGTACATATTGCTTGCAATTTTGTCACCCCTTATAGATCTAATACTGCCTTTAAACCAAATGGGTACAATTTCAATGGATTTAATATGTACAACTTCAATGTATTGATGTAATTATGTCACGAAATGTATTCAATTAAAGGAGCATGTAGGGTATCGCAATTCAAACGATTCTAACTTGAATTAAAAATATTATCTGATCATGAACATGGGTGTATCTTTTAGATCCATTCATTATCTTCAAGAAAATTATATAAAATGATTATTTAGTTAATTAGACCTAAGTGATATTGAAGGGGCAATGGACCAATCAACATACTTTTTCAAAAATGTTGACCTAATTTTCACCAAAAATGCAACCTTTTATTATATTGTTGAATGCATAATTAGAATGTGCTTTGAGACATGTACAATTTCTAAAAGGAAAAGTTGATTGCTCCGTGGACTTTAAAGATACTGAATTTGGATGACCAAAATGAACTGAAACCAATGGATAGCATGAGATTTTTCAATGGAGAAATAACATGGGGAACACTCATCTTAAAGCAATTAAGTTTTTCTTTCAATAACTATTTGATACATCAAAGTAATAGTAATGCATTAAACATTGTGAAAAATGATTGCATTAATTTTTGGTGAAAATGGGGTCAACATCTTTGAAAAAGTGTGTTGATTACTAGTTAAATATCTCCGAGTTTGTTTGACTTTATTATGACTGTATATAATGAATTGATCTGAAAGATAAACCTGTCTTCATTGTCAGAAAATAGTCATAATAAGATAGTCATAATAATAAGATATAACCTTCTGAAATTGTTTGTGATAACCTACATGCTCCTTTGGAACATAGAAATACTGACCTAAGCTCTTAATTTTACAAGGGGGTCTATCAACACTCCTAAACTAGGTTTAATAGCCTCCAAAATGCCCTCAGGAATAACCCTACAAATTATTAAAACTCCAACCTCCCATTCTTGAATCACCCGGAGGCAAGGATGTTAAGGTTCATATTCTATCCTATTCAAATTTTATCTGTTAAATTGACCCTTTGCAGATTATTGACATAGACATCGACAATGGATGGACTAATTCTGAGACCATAACAAGACATAATAAACCAAAGCAATATAGTGGTTTCTGAAGAATAAATATATTATCTCTTTAAATAAATAATACCACTTTAGGTCAAAGACAACTGAGAACACCAACAATGATAAACATTCAAAAACACAAAAACAATATATTTAAAAATATAGTAATTTTTTATTTGCAGTCAAAGTTTTAGATCGATGTACATAGACAATAATCAGTTGCATTGTTCTTTGCAAATCACTGAATGAACTTTGGGACTTGTAGAGATGGCAGTCACAATGGGTTGTTTGCTATTTATTGTTAAAATGGATAACATGTAATCGAAGTAATATAATTTCAACAATATGTTTCATGAAAGAACATTAATTATCATTGAATATTTTTGAAATAATATTTACATGTTAATGTATCCAATACAACCCACTGAATTTCATTTAATGTAAGAAAGTCTACAACCATAATGTGATTTTGGGCAATTAAAATTATCATTTTATTTTTATACACAGTACATTTGTAATTAAAATGTACATTAAAAGCAGGATTTCATATTATTCCCTCATAACCTTTAAATTTGAAGCATAAAGAAAAACGATTAATTATATACAGAAAATCCTAGTATGGTTTATTCGACACTACATATTAAAGATTCATACTTTTTTGAAGAAAAACACTACGTTGTTCAAGATCTACAATTCTAGAATAATATACATTTGGGATAATATATTTTCCCTATTAGGCTTACAACTAATTAACTCAGTATTCAACACAATTTACTCAGTATTCAACACAATTAACTCAGTATTTAACAGAATTAACTCAGTATTCAACACAATTAACACGATATTAAAACATTTAAAAAACTCAGTATTTAACAATTTATATATTTGTTTCATTGGCAATTAACTTTGCATTGATAATAATGATTGAGTTCCATGATACTTCACAAATATCTACATTTCCCTTTCATTATGGGCCTTCTGGCTTTATATTAATTCTACAGGATTTCTAAATATTTATTGTACAATGTTTGTGAAGCAACAGAAACTTCTTACACAAACCCCTTTATGGTGTTCATTCTCCCGTTCTGATATATACGAGGGGTGATCATAAAGTCCTCATAATATCTCTCTAATTTCTTTATTTTTCAATATATTCTAATGAAATTTTCACAGAATGTACAGCATAGAATGTTGTATTATGGAGCACCCCTTATCACCCCTCCTATATATATATATATATATTCTTATTATATTATAATCTTATATTTCTGTATATAACAGTTTCATTTGGACTAAATCTATCAAAAGCAATATCATTTCTGTTGTATATAGCAATACCAGTATCTGTTGTACATATTACTAGTAATATAATTTCTGTTGTATACAGCAATTGCAGTATCATATCTTGTATATAGCAAAAGCAATATCAGTATCTGTTGTACAATGTACATATTAATAGTAATATCATTTCTATTGTAATAGTAATTGCAATATCATTTCTGTTGTATATAATTAATAGCAATATCATTTCTGCTAATAATCAATATAAACCTTCTCTATATTTACACATGTACAAAATGTGCAGCCATATTTATGAATATATAATAGTATTAAACAACTTTTTCAACTTCATGTAAGAGTATCATGTATTTCATGACACTAATTCAACATTAACATTACAAAAACTCAGATTGAAAATCCATGTACATGCATTAGAAAATGCACCATGGCCTGATTGCTAAGCATCAAAGAGACATCTAGTGTTAAGTCAGATCTCTTCATCTCTTTACATCCATTACACTATTATGCTTAACACATATCTCAGAAAAAATATTAAATATCTAAAATGTTTTCTACACATTTGTATATATTCAGTCAGCTGTGACTATAAAAACAAAATGTATAAAATATGTGAATAACACAGGTTTTACAGACAAGACATAAGTGATGTAAACTTATTTTAAATACAACAAGTACAGTTAATAAAAAAGTAGTTTCTCGATCAGGTTGTTTAACCCAAAATAACAATTTGATTACAGTTTTAAACAACTGGCCCCTGGGATTTTCATGAGTATTGTAAAACAGTCAAACTGACGTCATATAACAACACAGTTACATATATACTGCATGTTTTACCATTGTTTCATGTCAGTCAATACAGTTACATACAGTTAACATTGTCACATTAAAAAAAACATAAAAAAAACAAAAAAATTTAGCTTTGTAAACGGATACAGAAATCTCATACAAAAATACTAAATAAAAATTTTAATAATTACAAAGGTATTTCAAGGGACATCCATTGTACCAAAATGGTACAAGATATATTACAAAAAAATACAAATTTCAGATTATCACAGTGTCTTATCACCGAGTTTCTGTGCACTTTTGTCTTCAAATGTTACATTTTTCATAGGCCATAACACATCACAAAATGATGGGCTTTCTAAAATTTCTCCAGCTTTTGAGTTAACAATAAAAAATAATTTGAACTAAACCCTACTCCATTAAGCCATCAAATATGTGGACCACCTAAAAGGACTTCGAATCTGATATGAAATAATAGAGTAGCAACTGTACATAGCTCATATCCTTCTGAACATACTGCACTATATAAAGCTCATATATCATAATGTTTTAATAATTTGTTTCTCTAACTGTCCTAGATCTGGTCTTTAATATAGAAAAGGGTGTCCTAGCTGTTCAGTGTAACATTAACACAGGTATAGGTCACCTTATGTTGGACCACCCTGTATTGTACATGTTATGATGTGGTCAATTTTATAAGTTGATCACTGTCGTATGTTCTGGTCGATCCTTCTTGGGCCAGTTTTCTGGATATGGTGGGGAAGGGGAACGTTGATTAGTAGTCTTTTCAGGAGCATTATCGTAATAATTCTCCACAGCTCTCTCCTTCTGTCCACCAGTGTTGGTACTGTTTATGGTAACATTATCATAATCTGGGTCTACTGATCCTGCAGCAGAGGTTGATGGGCCCCCAGTGGTTACGCTGGGTGAAATACTCCTAGGGGAAGCCCCTCCTATGGTGTTATCCACAGTTACCACTGGTTCAAACTGTGAATCATCGATAGGATCCGAGGCTGTGCGATTAACACGTTCTTTACGTACTTCAGCGTAAAGTGGATCTGCTTTTTCTGGGTTCTCTTCTGGTAGGACAACGTCCCTGTTATAGGTATTATTAATGAAGCCCTGGGGGTGGCCTGGGGGGTCAAGTTCTATCTCGATACCTTCCAAATCATCATCCTGTGTTCCATCCCCCTGCCTCTTTGCAAAGTTGACAAACACCTGCAATAAAATGTAATATTAGTGTTTCTTTCAAGTAACAAAGCAATAAGGTAAAACATTGAACCCTAACCTTCTCCCAACAACTTACTTAAATAGAGTGGAATATACAGGGTGACCCAAACGATGCAATGCAAGACTTATATGTTGGATGAATGAAGTTAGTACACTTTTGGGTGGTTTTGTTTTTAGGTCAACCTTTATGTTCCGTGAATATATTTTAAATCATATAGTATTACAGCAGACTGAGACAAATATGCAACACTATAATTTTGGAAAAACATTTTCAACTCTGATGCAACTGAAATTGCATTTTTGTCTAAATATTGTTTAATGTAGGAAACAGAGGTACACTTAAATAGCACGAAAATTTTCAGATTTACAAAAACCACAATTTTTAACAACTTAAAATAATGGTGAAGACAGAAATCCCAAATCTAGAAAATAGCATATTACTCGAACATTTTTGTACAATTTCACACTAGCACATACAGGCACTTTTTCTTCTAAATTGATCATTGATGCATGTAAATTGAGAATACCATTCCAAAATTAATGGATAATTGCATTTGTTTGTGTTACCCTGTTTAATAATTTTATTGTATTGGTTATATGGTTACCCTTTTCAATAATTTTATTGTATTGGTTATATGGTGAATGTATGTCTAACCTGTTCAAGTGAAGTCTGTGAAACTGAATAGTCCTCTACCCCTATGTTGTTCTTTTCCTCTTCAAGTGTACCAAACAACTGAGCCAGACTGTTAGAGGATACAGGTACGTTGAACTGGAGCATTGTGTAATGGTGATCCTGAAATTTGTCAGTAAATTATATAAATTGTGTAATGGTGGTCCTGAAATTGTCAGTAAATGATATAAATTGTGTAATGGTGGTCCTGAAATAACTAAAAATGGAGACTAGCAATCTGTCACCAGCAGTATTTATTTGATCTGAAAAGTTGTAAACACTAAATCCAAATGTGACAAGGAATTAACATGAAAAATGTCACTACCAGTTATTGAAAGTTGTTAGCCTCCTCAAAAAAGTTGGGAGACTACAACAATAAGTCACCAGTTCTAGTGGAGACATGATAAAATTGAATATTGATGACCCTAAATGCATAATACCTTCAGTTGTGCTCCAGGGAATAATCTCTTGAAATCTTCTATGGTTCTATGTATGTCATCCAAGGCCTTGTTCTCTACTCTCAGGGTAACAGTGTAACCTTCTCCAAATCTGAAATAATCAGGCATTTTATGTAACAATGGATTGGAGTGTTCACATGGGTCATACTCACACAGTGAAGGGTTGGACAATGTAGGCATTAAAGGAGAAAATGTCACAAAAATAGATTTATAAATCCATGAGTAGGTTGATATTACCACATGAAATGAAAAGTTTATAACTGATGTTACTTTTTGTTATATTTGTTTCACAACAAAAACATTCTAAGATTACCTGATTTTACATTATCCGAGCCAGTTTGGCTTTGATATTTTACATTTCGCAATTAAACATGCATTTACCGTATTTGCCGTAGTAGGCGCCCGGGCGCTTAAAGTAAGTCAAAACAGTTCAAAAAGTTGTCCTTATTAGCGCCCATATGAGTCCCGCCTGAGAAAAGATGCCGGAGTTTCACTTTCAGTTTAGAAAAAAATTGGAAGAAAATTTTGGTTCGTGAAATTCGCCACGTTTGCATGGACCGTGGGGTTCATACCTATCCCACTCTTTTTGCTACACTAATGGAATATAAAATATGTACTTACATTGGTATTTTACTCGATAAATCTATAGGAAAACGGACTTATACCTGCTGAATCGAATTCGAATTTTTTTCTCAGCCTCGTTTTGGAATTACATGTCGGGACCCTATTATCGCCCACTTGATTTCTTACGTTTGACCACAATGATCGTTGATTCTTCAACCAGGGACTCACCCTCGGGCCTCCAAAAGTCTGGGGGGGGCGCTAATAGGAACATGGGCGCCAATTACGGCAAATAAGGTAATTCCAAAATTCAATATAAAGGCATTTACAGAAACCACTTATACTTACTTATTTTTGAGATGCTGAGGGCTACCCATACAGACAAATTGACCATTTACCATAATAGCCACTCTGGTGCACAGAGCATCACACTCAGCCATGCTACAAAGCATCAAACAACATGGTTTATGGGTTAAGTTATTACACTACACACTTGTTGGTATGGTTTCATTATGGTGTTTTGTGTATTTTTTAAAATAATTGCCCATGTTTCTTGAAAAATAAATGTTTTTAGTAGAGAGACCTGGGCTTAACCATGGATTTTATTATAAATATTTATGCTCAAAAGATATATATATATATATGTACATGTACAGTCTTAAATTGCTTGCCCACTGTATCCATCAAAATCGAACACTATTAAAGAGGCCTTTGTTGCGGACACTCTTACATTTAAGTTAACTGTTATATCATCCTTCCCTATTAACTCATTCTGTTTCCCACTGTGTTCAGGGCTTTATTTTCAATGTTCAAAATCAACAGTGAAAATGGGAAAGAGTACAATAGTATTTTGGTTATATAGTAGATAATGTCTTACCTGTGTGAAGTCAGCATCACAGAACGTCCAGATTTGACAGCCTTTAATATGTTGTTCCACACCAGCCTCTTTGTACCTGGATCCATACCTGTAGTAGGTTCATCCTACGTAGAACACAGAAATATTCAATTTTAAATTGTATTTTATTGCGCTTATACTTCTGAATTACATGTTGACTGCACATACATTTACACTTTTTCATTTTATTTTTTGTATATCAGGCTTTTACTCTCTGATTATAAGCTATTTTTAGGAAGTTAATGCTATTCAAAAGTGTAACTATATATTCTTGTTGAATTATGCGGAAATTTGTTTTTCGACTGCAGTAAGATATGTGCTAAAAAATCTACTAAGGCTCATGAGTTTTATTTGTACACACCAGTAATATAGCAGCTGGTTCCCCTATCAATGCCATGGCAACAGAAAGCTTCCTCTTGGTTCCTCCACTGTAGTTTTTCACAACAATATTCTGATATTTCCTCAGTGATAGTCTATTTATAGCAGACTCAACGATCTGGAAATGTAACAATATCACATCAAATCATTCATATAATCCTGGTATGCTAATTGAAAAGTGTAATGTGATGTGATCAAAAATACAATTTTTGATTTGATAAAAGCAAAAAATGCAATATAGGGATAATTCAAATTATTGATTCAATATCAAGGTGTAATACATTTATACCTGTACAGTGTACACATGACAAACATATACATGTACAGTTCAATGTACTGTCATCCTAACTTCCTTTACTGTACAACAGGTGCCCACAAAAATATTGATTAAAACACCCAACAAAACACCTTATAATGGTATATTCATTCATACCTGTTTTCTCTCTTTGTCTGGGATGCCAACCAGCGCTGCCACATAGTTCAACATTTCTTTACCAGTCAGAAGTGGGTCACACGCATCAAATTGGGGACAGTAACCAATCTCATTATTCAAGTTGTCCATGTTGTTGGTTGTCCTTGAAACAACATATTTAATGCAATATATTTAAGTGTTTAAAACACACCAATTTATTGTAAATGTAACAGGAAGTCACTTTTTGTCAAAGGTCATTCTATTGGGGCCAAAATTTGAAATAACTTAATGTATTCATTATAAGAGGCATAGCATGCAATGGTAAGAGCAAAAAATGTTTCAAAAATAAAAATGTGACAATTTTTTGTTTGTGAAACTTACTCTTCACAGACTCCTCATTGTACAAAACCTTTGTAATACTCAGTAGTCTGAAATACAGTGTCACTGTACTTACTTAACACCCTGTAGGTAGGTATCCCCAGATGTAGGTGAGGTGGCTCCAGTAACCATCTTGAATGTAGTAGTCTTACCAGCTCCATTCACTCCCAATAGACCAAAGCACTGAAATACACACAACAATAGTTAAACCATGTAATTATACAATTTTCAAAATGCTTATGGCACAATATAGATGTACAGTAGTCTAGTCTTATTATTAGGTAGTTTTAGTACAGCATGTCTTGAGTTCATGTCATGTGTCATGTTTTGACAAAACTTGAACTTGAGATATGGGTTGATATGGAAATGACATGTCGAACTACATGTTAACGGCTTCCAGCTTGAATGTTTGAGCTTGAATTTTTTTGACAAAATATGTGAAACAAACGGACATACCTCTCCCCTCCTGACACTAAAGCAGAGCTTATTCACAGCATGAATCCTATTAAAGCCATTCTTGTAGGTCTTTGAGAGATTCTTCATGATTAGGACATCGTCATTGGTATCACCTGTCACTACTCTCTGACGTTCAAGTCCCACATCATCATCCTCCTTATGGTTGGGCTTCGCTGACATTCCACGTCCACTGGAACCAATGAATGAATTAAAATTGAATTAACTCCCAGGCTCTTCCTCAAAATTCAACCTTAACAGAATTTTTTTTTACAAAAATTTCAGGAATGAACTGGGCTATGTTTAAGTTGCTCCAAATATTTTCCTTAGATATTTGTGGTTTCTCATTATAAAAATGAAATTAATTTTCAGTCCAATACCTTCTCCTTTATGAAGACATCCTCCAAACACAGGCCTCCTGAACTCGTACTTCCTTCTCCTTTGAAGAAGGAAGGAACTTAGTGGATGACGTCTCGAACCCTGCGTTCGGAGGATGTTATGAAGACCATTCCATTCATATCTAAATTGTTTCAATAAAATCTCACTCACCTAGGCATGCAACATGAGGAACGGACTTCTATCAGCAAGTTGATGATGAAAAACACAAGACCTTCAATCCCGAGAGCCACCAGATGCCAGCCAATCATATCAAAGGAAAATGGGTTGACGTAACGATCGGTATCGAATCTTATGAATATATCTGCGATGAGTTGATTTTTGGTAAGATCCACCAATCCTGCTCCAAGGCAATACTGAGGGAAGATTAGTAACACATATTGCATCACTTCGTATGCAGCCTTAATCATCTAAAAATAAAATCAGTTTCAAATTTAGTCTTGTCACAACAAAACAATCGATATGTTATACTGAGAGCTGCCAAAAGTCTATAATGCTTTGTGATTGTAGACTTTTATGCGAGTATGAACCATGAAACCTGTCTAATCCAAATGCCTAAAAGTGTTTGGATTAGGAGGTGTTCACATTTCAAGGTTTTTCATAATATTCTTGATTTAAAGAAATGTGATTCTCAAGGTTTTCAACAGAGGAGTCAATGAGAGGAAAGGAAGGAACCGAAAAAGTGTTCAGACTGGGAAGTGTTCAGATTAGTCAGGTGTTTGGATGTAAAGGTTTCAGTTCTATATTTAGCAGTTGTTGACATCCCTTATTGGGGATTATTTTGTGATTTGCATTTTCCTGTAATATCACCCTTTTATTTACGTTAACATTTTGTCAAGAAGAGTTGCTCTTGGTGAATCTTACACTCGATGTGTTTTCTTATTGAAAAGGGCTTTTGATTGTTTTTCTTGTTCATATGATTTTACACATTTTTAACTAAGAATCTTACCGGATCCCTTCCTTGGAACATGCTTAGCATGAAGACACACAGGGCAGTGAGGATGCCTATGAACATGTTCAAACAGAACAGTGCCATGTAGGCAGTTGTATTGTCCTTGAAAGCTCTGCTTAGCAGGTACATCAGAGGTATGGTTCCCCATCTAAAATGTACATGGTATAATAATATCAACTTCAACCAAGACTTCAGTACAGCACAAAGGATGACATGACAAAATACCACCACTCATTGCAATTTTAAAAATGTGTCCATTCGTTAAAGACATCAAATGTCAAACACAGACATCATTTGTTGACGCTGAGTGTGAGTCCTAAAATGATGGTAACTATAACAACAATGATGGCTAAAACAAAAGTCCCTATTTTCAAATATGGATGCAAATTGGTATTTGTTTGTAATGGCTAAGGCAAATACTAAGGCAATGCCTTAATAAAAACAAAACCATATAATTTTTTGAGATGAGATAATTAACCTATTTCAAATATGAAAGTATCCTAAAAATCAGCCCTTAAATTAATGACTTGAACCATGATGTTTCTTCATCCCGACGTTCCTATCACAATACTCACCCAAAGAGATACAGCAGCACAGCATGAGCAGCCAGGTTGAGATTGGCCACATAAGTATTAATGTTGAATATCAACATGATGATAACAGCAAGGCCAACTGGGATGAGGAAAATGGTCATGTCCCAGACAATAGCGACTGTCCAATACATGAAAGGACCAACACCATTGATGAATTGAAGATGCTTTTCCTGCCTGACCCTCTCAGTGACCAGATAGATGACAAATCCAGCTGGCACAAAACTGAATGCACAGATGATAGTCAGAGAGATACCAGTGTCAGCAGCCTTTGATAGCCTATAATGAAATTATTCATTCATTTAAAAAATACAATAAATTGTGACACCTTAACTTGTAATTAGGAAAAGAATCATGTCCAAAATTTGTCTCAGCCAATGATAGATTATTACAGATTTAAATTTCCAGTAGAAATGTATTATCATATATGACTACATACTTTTCACAGTGCATTATCTTAAATTATTGCATGGCTTTTTGTTTTACTGTTGGTGTCATAATGATGGTTTGGTATGCATAATATTAGAGGGTGATCTATAACAAAGGAGCATTATAACATGAGGTATTACTCACAGTGAATCTGCAGAAAGTTGTTCTTCAGTTAGGCTTAGAGGATGGTTAAATGTTGTGATACCTGAAAGTGAAATGTAAAATAGGTCAACTTATAATCTAAACATTACATACAATTGATTAATGATTGAAAATAATTGTTCAACGCTTAAATTTTTAATGTCCTAATATATTGCATAGACATCGGTGCCATAGTAATTTAACACAATGAATTAATTGAACAAACTGTCACCACATGGAATCATTGCAGACACCAACATGCCAGTCAATGCTATACAATGTCACCACAACTTGTCGCTACTTACCATACTCTGATGCATCGTTAGTATTCATTTGGCCAACCATTCCCCTCAGAATAGCATTACTCATCCCATTAAAGTATGCCGGCAAGGCGTGGAACGCCTCATTGCTGAACCATACTGTACTTGTCTGATCGGACACGGCATCAGACAGTGGGTTCCCAAATGTAAGCCCTCCATACCTAGTAAATTAGAGTACTGGCCAATTAAAAACATGGAACTTTTGGAATTTGGATTACACTTAAGTAACATATATTATTTTATGCATTTTTACTTTTCGTATTAAAGACAGAATAAAATCTACAGGGGTGACAAAATTGCAAGCGATGTGTACAATTGACCTAAAAATCTATTTCTTGCAATTTTACCTGATCTTATTCTGCTACATTAAAAATAAAATACAATACATCAATACACATGCTAATAATCAAATGAATAGAGAATCCTATATGAATATGTTAAGGTACAAAATAAACTTATTTTCAATTCACTTAATGTATTTATCGATGTACAATAATATGGTATTTCAAGATGTAAAGACATAGATACACTGTATACTGTATAGTACTATAATATACCACTGCGGAAGCAAATACCACTCAGGAAGCAAATACCACTCAGGAAGCAAATGTGCAAAGGATTTAACACATAGAGAAAAGCTATTCAGATTAAAAGTTATATCAAAGACAAAATTTCAAGAACTCCAATTGTGAAATTAAACTTCATGGTGCTTGAGATTTGAGGAAATAGAAGCCAAAAATTCCTAAAATCAGAAATCTTGACAAAATTTAGTCTTACTATGCTTTGGATTTAGACCCAAGAAAATAAAGCTGATTCTACTAATAGTTCTTGAATTTTCATGAGATTGAATTAAATGACAAAGCGAAAACTGAGACTGATTATAAGAATCACCACAATTTGATTTACAGAAGCAATTTGGTGATATGATAAATGAATAAAGTTTAACAATGAGAAAATGCAATATAGGTTTTGCTTTAAAGGTTTGAAATCTTGTCAAAGTCTCATTTTTAAATGAGATTTTAATAGATTTGTATACTATACTCCCACTAATATTTGACGTTATTTAGCGTATTTGGCATTTTGAAACATAATAGGGCACGAAAATTACTTGGAGTACAGTATTTAACCATCCGAGACCCAAATCTCTTTTATGTGAAAAAGTACGGGTACATGTATTCGTATGCATCAAATTTGCCTAAAAACAACTAAATGTACTTGGTGATTTATTTGCCATTCATTAGGCTAATAATGTGCAAGTACATGATGGTCTGGAATATGTTTCTATCGATTAAGGTATCACATCGACGTGGGGTACTCAGAAACTAGATGGTGGAAATTTGAAACAAATAAAAGTGCTAAGCAAGAGAAGTAAGCATGAGTCATCTATTAGAGCTCTGGTATGATTTCTATGTCATTTATTTTCTTGTATTCAATTCCCAATGATTTTTAATTTTTTAATAAAATCAGGCTAAATCTTGAATCCTCGAATGGCACAAGAAATTTATTTAGATTTAACTTACTGTTTCAAGGATTACAATAATAATATCCAATCACAATCTGCAGGTCAACATTAGATTAGCTACTAGTTGGACATATACATGTACATATGTACTTGCAAATGAAGATTTACATTATTCTAATTGGAAATACTTGATAAATTATATAAGAAATAAGGTGACTTTTATCAATTTCTTCATATAATAGAATAGAATAGAATACTAGCCAGAAAGCCATAATGCTATTTTCTATCTATATAGCAAGTCCTCTATTAGGAAAGATTAAAGGAAAGGTTAAGCAAAAATACATTTTAATGGTAAAGAAATACCTATGGGTTATTATTATATCTTTTATTGACATTTTATATCAGTTACATGATACATTGGTCACTAAATCACTACAAACTACTACTACATAAATAAGATGAAAAGGTTTAAGCTACAAATTATATGTTAGTTGAGTACGTTTGTATTACCTTGAGCTCATTAAGATCAAAATGAGAAGAAGGGAATAAGTTTTTCGAATTTTTCGAGCTTCAAATTGAGTGACAAGGGTAACCCACTTAAAATGGAAATTGCGACTTAATGAATTGCGCCTTTTTTTAGTTTGTCTTTTTTTAGTAAATCTATAACTAAATGCGTGCGGATTATGTAAAGCTCGGAAGCCCTCTAACTGTATGTTTTTATTGTTTCACTTCACCTTGATTCTGATAAATTACTGCTTGATGATCGCATATCCAAATACCTTTTGGAGAAACCAATAAATGATCAGTATATATACAATACACAAGCATTGAAGTAGGGTAGGGTCCAGCCATTATGGGGAATATCATCAACATGGTTAGGTCGATGCAATTAAAGCGCATGGTATTATGTATTGAACATGCATATGATTAACGGTATTAATAACAGGTCACATAGATCTGTACTGGTTGATTTATAGCAAAGGATTTGACTTATACACACTGGTAAAGTTGAGCCTTTTGCAATAGATTTCATACATCAGAAGCACAACAGTTGAAATATTCATACAAGTCCAAACCTATTTCACCATACCATACATGTGGGAATTCATTAACTTTCTCATGAAAAGCAGATTTATTGAACTTTCAAGCAAATATCCTTAAATACTCCCATTTGCCCGTTTTTATGGATATGATAATGAAATGTTTGTACAATAGGACATTTATTATCAAGCTCTCTTGCAGCCCGAGGCAATTTTAAATGCATAACATACAAAGAAGCAAAACCAAGATGCAAGCTGTATTCAATTCTCATTTCACCTTGTTTCTATGAAGTTTGTAGACTGATCATACCTTAATTATAATAATTATAAGAATGAAGTTAAGTATAAAGCAATTGTTTAAACAACTGAAAGCACATAGATTTGAAAACTTTGAAAGTGATTAAAAAATTGGACAATCATGAAAATGAAATCTTTACTGTGAGGATGAATTTACTAAACATTTTAACAATGCGTAGTTCATACTGATTTACTTTATAATATTTGAATGGTGACTGTGAGTGATACTTCTCTGTTGTTTATGTAAAATATTAAACTCTTTTACCTAGTATTACATTTATGAATAAAACATTGCTATTACTGTTCTTTTACTTTGTGCTACTTATTTTGGCAGATTTACTGTTTTGGACATTTGGCGACTACTTAACTTGGCGGCCTTGCAATATTGAAATGTACAGTATATACCATACTTTACGATTGAAATATGAAATATCAAATTTGGTGGACTTTTATAATTTGGCGGATCTGCCAAATTAAGTAGAAGTAAAGTGTTTCAATTTCTTCGTTTTTGCAAGACAGAGACTGGGTATTTTAATATATAACATAACACAAAGTGTAAATTCATAGACCAAATCATAAAATCATACATGTAGCACCAAGGAACCAAATGTGCAAAGGATTAATTATATACATAATCATTTGATAGTCTGTCATGTTTTCTTGGTCAAATGATCAGACAATTAGGAAATTATTGTTTATTTTTAATTTGGATACAACTTAGATGGTATGTTCAATTCCTATTTAAAATAAAGTGGACAAATTTTGGCAAATTGACATTTTCTGTGGCAGTTTTAATGTGGGGTTGTATTGTACTTTGAACTCACTTTCATTTTCATACTATACACTGTATTGTGTTGCAGACTCATTTGTCTGAGTGAGTCACAGTCCATGGCTGTGTCCATAAAATCATTGAGTGTACCGTGATAAGGGAAAGGTTAAAAGATCATCAACACACACGTCAAATAAAAAAAATCAAACACTCAGAGACAACTTTGAAACCAGAAAATTAGTTACAGATTGCACGCCAGATGTAATTGTTGAAACTGTTTAACCAGTATGACACAAACAAGGAAAACCAGACACATGTTGAAAAAGTCTGACATGTGTAAGATACATCTGACAAACTGAACATTTTCTTCAAATGCTGGGCTACCTTGATTCAGAGAGATTAGTCTCGTGCAGGCCTTGTTTGTCGAGATACCTTTATGATAAAATTTTAAATATAAAACATGAGTGGTCCTACAATTATATGGGTACTGCAATGATCAAGAACATTATACAAATAGGGACTGCCATTGAGGGAAATAGTGCTAAATTTTTTTCCTATAAATCACAACTAGCAGGGAATATAAAATGTACTAATGACTGGTCACATGACCTATCTGGTGATAAGTACATTTCATCTTCCCTGTTAGCAGGAATTTAGGACTTTCCAGGGATTTATTTCATCTATTTCATATCATGTGACCATGAATAAGCCAATAAGCATCTAGAATACATATGGGGTATATAAAAAAAGTTTAGAGATGATAAGTAATCCACAGTCAGGATCGGTGCCAGTGACATTATAGTTTCCGTTCTAAGACAGACCTGAAATTCAAATGTAATACTTAGTGTATTGTATATAATATACTCTATGATGGAGTGTTCACAGTCAGTAATTATACGCTGTTCTGCTACAATAGGTGAACTGCAAAGTGTACATGTATTGCGAATTTGCGAAAATAATTGTACTACAAATACAAGTGTACTGCAAGATAACACGTGTGTTTAAATTTCAGAACATTGATTTTTTTGGCCAAAATTAGCACAAGTCTCATGTGATGATCTTTCATATGTACATAAATTTCAACATCACAATCTATAAGATCAAATGTTACTATGGTACACATCAATTGCATATAATCACCTTTCATTATGTAAAATAAAATCCTTCAACCAAAACTGGTGATACAACAATCTACATAGGCCTATAAAATAAATTAAATACTGGTAGATTGTAGATGATATAATACACTGATTCACAAAAAATACATCAAGAATACATGTAGTAAAAAATGTTACAAAATAACAATATTGAAACATGCTTTACTTATAACAAAAAACAAGTGGTATACAAAGAGCTTACAAATCATAAAACAAAAGACAACGGGCATGTAAACATTTACAACAACATTGATTGGTGGAAAACAATATTAACCTGAAAAAACTTACTTTCTTATAATGAAATCTTTTTGAGTCTTCAACAGGTATTCGTTGACGTTATATCCATCGAGGTCATAGACTGTAGTACTAGTGTTAAGGCTGGTGTACATAGGGTGGGCCTGCTGATCGGACGCAGAGCATATGTAGGTGGCGTCCTGGCAGAAGCAATCGGGCAGATACCCTTCTTCTCTCTCCCATTTCATCTCCCTCTCAACACAATACTCATCACTGAGGGAAAAATGTTTAAGTGTTACTAAGTAGTTATTCTCAGTATTAAATTGCATGTACATGAATGTTTTATTTATCTCGATGTACCTTAGATGTTCAAGAGACCAATAAACTTATTAATAATTAAAGTCTATATTAAATCTGGGCAATCTGGATTTCATCCTACATTATACATTCTGTACTTCTACTTCTACAAATTTGTCAAATTAGAGCGGGTGGTAAATTAAGTAGAAGTACAGTAAAATTACAAATTCATCCATAAAAAATTATTTCTGTGTTTCAGTCAATCCAAAGATGTGAGGACTTGAACATATGCTGATTCTTAAACGAGAAAAAATGTTTCCTAAATGTTGAAATAAACATACTGTAATTCTCCCATATTATCCATGCAGACTGTCCCCAGGCCAGGGTCACTCATCAGCGTGTTTAACAGGTCCTTGTTAAAGTCAGTAGGGTTGTCATGCCTGTCAAATACACAAATAAACTTCACTTACATAGACGTAAACTTGATGATGGAAGGCCATTAAAAAGAAAATGTTAAAAAATCAGCTATTATTTTCAACGTAATAGACAGTTCAATTACTATTAGGCCTAATGCAAACTAGCTAGACTCAAATCCTCTAAATCTCTATTCCATAGTCTATTAATGATTCCATAGTCTATTATAATGATATATCTCTCAAACAAAGTAATACACATCAATTCTTAGTTTTAAAAAGCAGCACTTACCTCATGAAGAAGTTGGTATCTTTCATGATTGATGGTGTCATGATTAAAGAGGGCTGATTGGTGGGGATAGGTTTAATGAGAGAAAAGCCAACAGCCATCGCCATGAAGCAGATTGGCAGGAGGATCATACTGATGTACGTCTTCCAATCCCGCAATGTGTGGAGAGCACGTTTGTAGAACAAGGCAGATATCTGCTGGGTTTTTGAGATTTTCTTTTTGTCCGAACCCAGTCTGCCTGTAGTCGTAAGTTGAGTATTGCTAGCACTAGTGGCACCTATGATTAAAACAAGTTTATAGTTCACTAGTTATTGGTATAGTCATAGGTTCATGCACTAAGGTTTTCAAAACAATGATGCAAGCAACAGTGGGCATGAGTGAAGCTAATTCACAGTGATGTGTGCTACAACAAGGAAATTATTGAACAAAATGTACTTATAGGTTTCTTGTGTTTACTGATACTTTTAAGCTATAAAAATATCTTACCAGAGACGGAGCTTGGCCTGCTAGTGATGTCCCTTTTACTCCCGCTAGCTCCAGAACTGCTTCCTTGACTGCTATGTATCGAACCACCCTCAGTCATGCGCTCGTCAAGCTCTTTGGGGTGCCACTGCCGGATCTTTTCCACATCAAGGGGAATACCATACTCTGAGCATTTAGTCACCTTCAGGAATACCTAGAAAGAATAATACGCATCAGTAATCATTTAAGAAAAAGAAAAGATAAAGTGATTAATGAGAAATTCATACAAAATTTTATCACACTAATCAGGTAAATCAAATCATCATTTAAATTGATGCTGGTCTATCTCTCTATTAAAATGCAAACCAAAGAATTAAATGAATGCACATTTGGTATAAAGACCAAAATGGTATTAAATTCAAAATTGATTTCAGAAACTTAACCCTGATTATTTGAAAATCGCTGGTTTACCTCTTCAAGAGTGGTATCAGAGACACCGTAAGATGCAATACGAAGACCCTCAGCCCTCTTTGAAAGGGCAGTAAAGAACCTCTCAAAAGACACAGTCTGGCCCTTGTCCACAGGAAGGATGTATGTGAGCTCTGTGCCAACCTCCTCCTGGAGGAAGGCTTCATTGACATACTGCTTGATAAACTCGAGCACCTCATCTGAGTTGCATTCATCTGGAGTAAAATAAGCAGTGGCCACATTTTGCAAAGAGGGGTTCACTTTTCAAAAAATTCCAGGGAGGTTCACATTTGACAACTTTGGCACAAAATTACCTGAAAAGTGCTCAGGGTGCTGAAAAACTGCATGATTTTGAGAGAATTTTTGGCCAGTTCATTTGAACTCTCCGACCCCCCCCCCCTTTAGCAACTGGCCTGAATGTATAACAGTACCCTGAGGTTCAGAAGATAATAGTAATAACACTACTCTCTCATAAAACAAATAAATATACAGTTTTGATGCTCATCTTGATGAGCCAAAAAGCAAAATCAAAATTATGAAAAGGGTAATATAGGTTCTTTTAAATCCAGAACTTTGTGAATCAAATATTATGAAGTTGTAAAACAGTTTTTAATTTGCCAGTTCACAGAGGAAGGAACCCTTTAGAAAAAGAAGCCTCCAGCAAAAAACTTAGGAAATTGAGGAGTGCTATACTTCGTTTCAGTGATAAAGAGCCCTTACTTGATCCTGCCTTTGACAAGGATAGATGGTAGCCACTGCCAAACTGAGCCTTAAGGAACATTGGAGATCCAATGCAAACCAACTGCCCCTGATGGATAATTGCAACACGGTCTCCAAGAATGTCTGCCTCGTCTAGATGATGGGTTGAGATTAGAATGGTACGTCCTTGAAAAATAATCATTTTCAACTATGTTAACGTATCATTTGTGCACATGTTTTACAAATTGGCTTGAACACTTAGCTAAATACAATTTCAAACTTTCATCTATGCTGGGATTTGAACCTGGAACCTCTTACTTGTACTAGAGGTAGACACTGACCACTGATATAGAAATTCTCACCTTCTCTGTTCTTAACAATCAGGTCCCATATGCTACGTCTGGCTGCCGGGTCTACACCACTTGTGGGTTCATCCAGAATGACTGTCTTGGAGCCACCAATAAAGGCAATACCCACACTGAGACGACGTCTCATTCCACCAGAGAGATGCTTGGCCTTTACTGATTTCATCTCCTCTAGGCCCATTGCTTCTATCATACTACAACATAATACATGCACATGAGATCTGTAGTGTATGAAGATGTGGGTAAGAGATGCAAGTAAATAAAAATAAAATAAATGTGTTAAAGTGGTGCATGGTTTTATAGAACACATTAATGGATAAAACAAAACATGTGACTAATAGCGGAATCAATTGGTGAATGATCTTGCGTTTTCATACTAAAGTTTGTTTTTGAGTTTTTTCTTATAGTTTTATATATTTAAAGTTATTTATGAGACAGGGCCCTTTTTCTAAAGCCCTTTTTAGAAAAATAATTGAGATTACAGAGGATACCTGTTATTTCTGCTTTTTAACACAATTTTAATAGAAAATTCCAATTCCAAACTCCTTATCTCAATATAATTCACCACTGGGGAATGGGAATTGAGCAACCAAACTTGGCACAAAGTTAGATCCTAAGATAAACTCTAATCTTAGGGCTTTGATTTTTTGTGACATCTTATATTTGCCTAGCAACCACATAGCAACTGCCTAAAATAACATATTTTACAATATAAATCCACTTAATATATGCTAGGATGCTATACTAGTAATAATACTACCATTACAAAAAAGTATTCTTATCTTAAAATACAACAATTTTAACATATTTACTGAAGTGACATCACCATGTTGCATAGCAACAACATGGCAACAGGTTACAATGCCCATTTTGACATTTGCAGACCATATATCTATTATATGTTCACTGCTTTTGGATCTCTTCCACATTATTTCTTAACATATAGCAAATGTATTGATGCAGTTATGTCTGACCATTTTCCCTAGCAACGGCTTGAAATAAAGGTTAAATTTGCCTAGCAACGACCCAGCAACATCATAAAATAGCAATGTTTCTCATAAGAATTTCACTATATATCCACTATATGACTTAAAGAAAATCAATATACATGTCTTTTGTGATTTATAAAGCTTTATAGTTGCTCACTTAAAAATCTTTAGTCTCTTGTGTAAAGCATAATGGGACATTTCTTGTCTTACGTGTATCAAATTGCAATTCATGTTTCAGTTCTGATTCATCACATTGATACTTGATACATTTTCAGCATTGATACCCCTAAGATAATACTCTATTTTGGTGAATTGCTTCGATTTCCTTTACAGGTGCATAGTTCGATGCAGTAGAATGCACCATGGCATTACCAGTTCCCTTTGCAGTCACATTTGGTGCAGTCACATTTAATTATGACTTTACATGCTATGGATGCTTGGGCAATATTGTCCATCTGGGCACCCACAATCCTGATGGGCTCCTAAACCATCCCCACATGCTTGGTGAAGGAAAACCTGGATCCACTATATACCACTGCCCCCATGTGCTTCTTGTCAAAAGGACACCTGTAAGATCATTACATAAGTTCCATTGCTTGAAAACTGTCACCTTGCTCTGATGGTAAAATCCAGACATGGTATCAGTTCCAGTAAGGATGTGGAACATTGGCGGCACACATGATCTTTGTGGTCCTAGTGCTCAAGCAAATTCATAAATTGGAATGTAGTGTTAGTTTTGAAAATGCTACATATAGATCTCAATCTGTAGCTCAGAGGCACATGCTATTAGGCTATCACAACATTTCTGTCCACTGATTGTCCACTGATCTTATCATAAATGTCCTGCAACCTTTTCCGACACCATGAGACACATCCAAAAACATATGTGTATCTGCCTCTCCCTGGGAGCAGGGACTATTATGGCATAATTAGCAGGATTACTGATGCACTCTCCTTCGATGGTTGAGACAAAGACTCTATCGTCTGCCATAATATGTCTTGTAACAATTGCTAGTAGTGCAAAGAACTCTATCTTGTTGTCATTGTTTCTGAGAAATCCTATCCTAACACCAAACTACCAAGCAATATTGGCAAGACATTATTGAAAGATAGAGCTCTTTGCACAATTCCTAAATCCTTCAGCATCTCAAGTGGTAAAACTTGAAACTTTGAAATTAATGACTTGTATGTTTCAGCAAATCCCAGATAGGATTTTAAGCTTTTTACAAGTATAACCTTGACTTAACGATTTAATCAGTAGTGTCTTAATTTAAAATCTATATACTAGTATTTTGAACACGTCCTGCTGGGATACATAAACTCCATATACTGGGTTCAGTAGAATATTACTATCCAAATGTGGAAAATTAACAATGGCATAAGGCAGATACATATATGTTTTTGCATGTGTCTCATGGTGTCGGAAAAGGTTGCAGGACATTTATGATAAGATCAGTGGACAGTAATGTTATTGTGATAGCCTTAGCCTGTGCCTCTGAGCTACAGATTGAGGTCTATGTAGCATTTTCAAAATGCAAAACGTATCGCTACATTCCAGTTCATGAGATTGCTAGAGCACTAGGACCACAAAGATCATGTGCGTTGCCAATGTTCCACGCCCATACTGGAACTGATACCATGTGACGTCTGGATTTTACCATCAGAGCAAGGTGACAGTTTTCAAGCAATGGAACTTATGTAATGATCTAGCAGGTGTCCTTTTGACTCTAGTAGATCGCCCATCAACCGTAACAACAACAGAAGTTATGGGCACAATTGAGAGGTTCATTATCCTGGTTTACCAGCCTACAAACAGTGAGACAAATCTCAATACCATGCGCAAGCACATGTTCACTCATGACAGATCGATCCCGATAGATTACCTCCAACAAGCGATGCAGCACTCTATAATGTCATGCTCCAAGGAGCACATGTATGGGGGCAATGGCATATAGTGGATCCAGTTCTTCCTTCAACAAACCTATGGGGATGGTTTAGGAGCGCATCAGGATTGTGTGTACCCAGATGGACAATACTGTCGCCAGCATCCATAATTAAAGGGAACTGCAAATGGAACTGCAAATGCCATGGTGCATTCTACTGCACCAAAAACTATGCAATTGCAAAGGAAATTGTAGCAATTAACCCAAATAGAGTATTATCTTAGGGGTATTAATGCTGAAAATGTAACAAGGATAAATATGATGAATATATTGTGTTTACTTTATCTCAGAACTGAAACATGAATTGCAGGACTTTTGCAGTTTGATAAACATAAGACAAGAAATGTCCCATCATGCTTTACACAAGAGACTACAGGTTTTTGAGTGTGCAGCAACAAAGCTTTATCAATTAAAAGACATACATATTACACAGTGATCTCCCCAGCATTAAAGCAAGTGGACGCAGCACCCACCTGAGATTTTGAAAATAGGCTCGCACCCACCTGAAAATCCATTTGCACCCACTTGAAAATGAGAAAAGTCATGAAAAATTGGCATATTTTGACCAATTTTTATCTGAATTGTGATAATGAGAATTTTGCACCCACCTGAGAAAAAATCCTGGGGAGATCACTGTTACATAATAGTGGATATATAGTGAGATTTTTATGAGAAACATTGCTATTTTAAGCTGTTGCTAGGTCATTGCTAGGCAAATTTAAGCATTATTTTAAGCCGTTGCTAGGAAGTTGTTAGGGAAAATGGTCAGGCATAACTGCATCATTTATGCTTAAATACAATTTCTGTATGTTAAGAAATAATGTGGAAGGGATCCAAAAGCATACAAGTGAGCATATAATAGGAACATGGTGTGCAAATGTCAAAATGGGCATTGTAACCTGTTGCCATGTTGTTGCTATGCAACATGGTGATGTCACTTCTGTAAATATGTTTGAATTATTGTATTTTAGGATAAGAAGACTTTTTGTAACGGTCTTATAGCATCCTAGCATATATTAAGTGGATTTATATTGTAAAATGTGTTATTTTAGATGGTTGCTATGTGGTTGCTAGGCAAATGTATGATTTCACAAAAGATCAAACCCCTCAGATTAGAGCTTATCTTAGGCTCCAACTTTGTGCCAAGTTTGGTTGCTCAACTTCCATTCTCCATTGGTGAATTATAGTGAGATAAAGAGTTTGAAATTTGAATTTTCTGTTCACATTGTGTTAAAAAGCAGTAATAATGGGTATCCTCTGTAATCTCAAATATTTTTCTAAAAAGGGCTTTAGAAAAAGGGCCCTGTCTCTAAAATGTCTTGAAATACAAGAAAAAATTCCAAAACGAACTTTAGTATGAAAACGCAAGGTCCCTATGGGGGCCTTGCACCAATTGATTCCACTATAATAAGTGTAGCGGTGTATCTGTGTCAAAAAAGTAAAATATTGTCATGTGGAAATAAGATTCAGTTTATCATTTACTCAGACATAAGTTAATATATGGATCATTAATTGAAAATATTATGCATTTTATTTCATCAGCGGAAAATTACTGAATTGAAGAAGTAAATCTCCCAACAGGGTTTGAAAAAAGAAAAGAGAAGTTAAATTAACTCTCCACAACAGGGTTTCAAAAGTGAATAAAACAATCCTGTCAAAGTACTTACTCCAACACTTCTTGGTGAACCTTGTACCAGGGCTTGCCACTTTTCAGTGTTGCATAGAACTTAAGATGCTCTTCAACAGACATGCTGAAAATAAGAGTAATTTCAAATGTAAGTCTATTGTAAAAGTCAAGTGGAATTTGTGTGTATAGTCTATATATAAACTATACTTTTTGTAATTGGTTTTCATTTTATGTTAATTAAAAGTCATGTAATATGTTTTTTCTTACAAGAAAGAAAAAAGATGGTTAGTGTCAAAGGGAAACAAATTGATATTAAACAAATGCATCCCAGTGTATTGTAATATTTCCACCCAAAAATGTTGGTCAAAACAGTCAACATTTAAAATTACATTTCATAATATTTATACCCCACCAAGTTTGTTAAAAAAAATAAACATTACACTGCCAATCTCAAACAGCATCAAACAGCGCTGTAAATGAAACAGTGCTGGACAGCACTAAAAACAGTAAACTGTACATCACTGTTTTGAAAAACAGTACTGTACAGCGCTGTAAAACAGTAGTGTACTGCGTTATCCAAAACAGGTGATGCTAGAATAGCACTTTACATCGCTGTGCTCGAACTGCACTAGTACTGTGCAGTACTGTTTACAGCGCTGTACAGCACTGCAAGATGATGTTGCGGATTGGGGTGTATAAACATACAGGACATACATACTGTACTGTTATACACACATACATGTGTGAAAACACTTCAGACAGACTTACTAGTCAAAGAGAACATCGTGCTGCGGGCAAACTCCAAGGCTCTGTCGTATCTTTCCAAAATCAGTTCTGATATCACGGCCATATATATTAGCTGATCCAGATGAAGGCGGGAATATACCAGTCAACATATTGCTGAAATGGAAATAATAATTGATAAAATTTTGTGGAAATGGTCACAGAATTCTATAAATATGAAAGCACAAGGAGAAAAAGGGTAAATAATTGAATATAAACAATTAGAGAAAAAGTATATCAGAGCATATCATGGCATCAATAAACAAACCCCCACCCCATCATTCCAAACAATGATGTCAAGTACAAAGAAAAAAGTTTAACGCCCCCTTCAACAATTTAAAATTCATTATCACAAATCTAGCATATAAAATTTATGTAGACATTGTAACCCTTGTTGATTTTGGTAATTGATCAATTTTTAACTTTTTAACTTTTCATGTTTTGAAAATTAAGTAAATACAGTATGACAATTCAAATGAAATATTTTTTATGAATGAACACTTCTAATTTTCCCAAATAACATTTCACAACATTTGGTTTATCAAACTCACATAGTTGTTGTCTTCCCAGCTCCATTGTGGCCTAAAACTGCTGTGATTTGGCCTTCATAGAATCTAGCTGACAATTTGTTAACAGCCACATTTTTCTTGAATTTCTTGCGCAGTTCAATTAGCTCAATTCCTATAGGAAGATCTTGTGGTTCCCGCTCGTTCATCCAGTTACTGGGATCTATAAATATGGTTATTACAGTACAAAAATAACTATACAAAATTTCTCAGGGTTAGTTAGTTTAAGCTTAGATAATTTTATTTACAAATATATTTCAAATAAATTTCATTATTTTACACAAGAATTAATAATGCAACATATGGAGATGATAATTTCACTTTTTATAAGTTACGTGATAATGGTTATAGTCTATATAAAATATAAATATACAATGGTTATTGGTTATAACTAGTTATAACAGAAATTACTGGGCCAGTTTGAGAGACTGTAAGATGAGAATGATACCATTCATATTTGCACAATGGAGCAAGGCTAAAAGTCCCTGTACAATGCTTATCGAGCATTTCAAACCAAAATGATGTGTTCACTTGTGAGTCAGGTTTATTGACAGTTTCTGGGTTGTTTCGAACTATTTGTAGTTATAGTAAGCCTTCGACAGGTACTTTAATATTTCAAAAAATATAATACAGTTAACAGTTCTTCAAACAATAGTTAACATTCTTTAAACCTTTAAAAATACCTAAAGTATTCTCTCTAATGAGTGCACGGTGCAGTATCCAAATGGAAATTTAAGATATTGTTATTGATTCCAATAAGCGCACATACAAAAATTGAGAAAAAATATTGCCGATAATCGTTTTAGTTGTTTACATACTCTAAACCTCGCTGTATTTCTTTCTCTGACTAAAATATAATCATCAATGGATATTCAACACTATAGTCGCATGTGCACTCATTGGATTTGTACTCATTAGAGAGTTATCTATGTATAAATCTACAGTATATTACAAACTACATTAACTAAAGTTTTAATTAAATTAACACACAAAAACAACTTTCTTAAACAATCTTATATATTTGGTCATGCTTACAGCGTTGAAGTCTAGCATCAGATAACAGGAAAAATAAATAAATTGAGATCCATGCACTAATTGATGATGGATTCACATCTACAAATTCATGCATATTTATTTTCTCAGTATTATATGTTCCTCATGCTCTTTATCTCAAACCAAAAGGGGCTCTATGAATTCCAAAAGGGGCTCTGTGAATACCAAAATGGGCTCTGTGAATACCAAAATGGGCTCTATGAATACCAAAAGGGGCTCTGTGAATACCAAAATGGGCTTTATGAATACCAAAAGGGGCTTTATGAATACCAAAATAGGCTTTATAAATACCAAAATAGGCTCTGTGAATACCAAAAGGGGCTTTATGAATACCAAAAGTCGCTCTATGAATTCCAAAATAGGCTCTATGAATACCAAAAGGGGCTTTATAAATACCAAAAGTGGCTTTATAAATACCAAAAGTGGCTCTATGACTGTTCAGGAGGTTATTTGTGACAAATATGTCTTTTGAGGGCTTTCGTTACCATTGGTACCGGGCTGATAGAAATATTGTATTACAATCCAATCACTTCTGCTCGTACATGCATGTACAGAAATGCCTGAAACGATCTGACTTCATCAAAAATGCACAGAATTTAATAAATCAGTGTGCAATGTGGATTTTAATGGGCCCCATTTCATAGAGAGAAGAGTGCTGAGTTCAAGGAACAGGGATTCCTATCAACCCCCACTCCCATATTTGGGCTAGGGGTCCATAAAAGGGCATGCAACATTCGCTATACAGTAAGACTACCTACATATGTTAGATGTGACAATCTTAGATGAATAAGAGTGGCTAAGATCCATTAACTCCATTTCCCCTACAACCCAGTAAAGAACACAGTTAGAAGTATAAAAATATAGGACAGTGAACCTGTTGGAAGTGAACACCAGTGAATCTAACCCTAGATGTTCACATTTCAAATTCAAACATGTTGAGAGGGATACATACAGTTATGAAAAATGAAAGTAAAATAAATATAAAAGATGAAGACAAGAAAAGTTTTCAGCATGCTGTAGAGTGGTCCAAAATAGCAGAAAGATTTACAAACTGAATATTTTCACTCGGTTCTGGGAATGTCTCCTTTTACAATTTTGGCCAACCCTATTTTACTGACAACGTATATGAATTATCACCAAATAAGATTTGAAAAAATATCTGAAACAAGTTGCATTTGTTTTAAAACATTAATGTTGTTATTAAAACAAAATTCAAGCAATAAACAATTTAGTCTGATTAGAAGCAATAGAAGCAATACACACATATATTGTCAAACAGAAAATAGCATGAAAATGAGAAGCAATGAAAAACATATAAAGCAATTTGGCGTCATAATCAGAAACTCTCTTACATCGAAAACATACATGAACAACATGAGACCTTGAAGATTATTCCCTAATTCCGACAACACTGATATAAAACCTCAACATTAATATCCAATCAATGAATTTGTTTTAAGGTCATTCAATTTACCTGCTTCTATCTTGGACACACTGCCAGCAGGGTCCGTCATGTCTGACGAGTCGGGGCTTAATCTCTTGATGGACTGTAATTTGACCCCTAGGGATGGTGCAAAAAGGAACAAATGGTATTAAACAAGAAGCGGGGATGGAAGTAAGTGAAGATCGGGGAGGGAACTCAGATGGGGCAATTTTGGTTGTTCTTTGGGGCATTAGAGCTTGAAATACAAATACAAGCATGTAATGGGCTGAAGGTATATGATAAGAATGGAGGGAAAATGCACTATATACATGCACATACCCAGTGTGCAGAGGAGAAGTGGATTGTAGGGAATTTAATGGTACCAACGCGCGCAACTTTTCTTCATACCAGCACCAAGAAAGAGAACTTGTATTACAAGCAGTTAAGTGAAACACCACAGTTATGGCTTGTTATTTTTGTTGTTACCAAGTCACACCACAGTTAGATATCACCAAAGTCATTAAACCTTTCGATCTTCACATCAATTGTGCCTATCAATTAGTAATGATACACAGAGTTAGGAAATATCAAGAATGCATATAAGGAAATGTCACAGAAATGACCCTGAGAATTCCCAACTCTGTGTACCATATAACCCATGTTAAAGGGGCTATATAAACATGATTAATAATGAAAAAATGCCCAGTAAAAAGCAGCGACATTTTTGATCATTATGTTTATATTCAGCCTAACAAAAGATTGATTATGAAAGCCAGTGATACGAACCCTGTTCATTTTCAGAGTGCCCAGATCGAGGCTTAGTACGCTTGCGAACATAATGTAAAGGTGGCATTTCTCTAGCATTACCAGCTAAAACTGCAGAATAATCAATGTAATTAATTTCAACCTTTATCTTGAATAGCAAAAGCGTGAAAATTTGTAGTTTTGTGTCAAGTCTCTCCATCCTACTCAAATTGAGTAGATACATATAATGGTTTAGATACACAATTGGTGGATATACTATAACACGGTGCAAGACTTCTTTGTGCAATTTTGCATGCAAGTTTAGAATATGAAATGGTCACATTAAAATAGGGACTTTTTGCAATATAATGTGTTTGCTGTGTGGGCACATTAATATAAATGTAAATCAATCACTCAGTATATATGAATTATCCACTGCTAGAATATCTTGTCTAGTCATGCTTTAAATACAATGAAATATTAAGATGATTTTCTGGGTCCGATTTGCACGAATTAGTCAGATTTTTAAATTTGATGTAATGCCAGAAAAAATCTGGAAAATATATATCTTATAATTATAAGCACGAATAATCAAATATGCTGATTTGATAGCACCTTCATACTAAATTCTTGATTTTCAGAAAATCTCAAAACCTGAAGCTAAAATAAAATGAAAATGTGCAATATAAGTACATGTACATAAGGTGTTAAATATAAATCATATTATATATTTGTGATATGTTGCATTATGAATCATCTGATTAAATCATCAGCTGATCAAGTGAGTAGTGCTGATTTATAGGAGTTTATTTTGTTTTTCAAATGTTGCCTTTCAAGCTGATGTAAAATGAAATCTAGTTAATCACTCATAAGCAAAGCTCAGATATAAATCAAGCGCTGATAGAAATAGGATACAATCTATACACAGCTTGTTGAGCTTCACTCTTTGTTGTCATGCTAACTGGAGAAGCCATAGCAACAAGATGAATATACAATAGCAAGTGAATGAAACTTAGCATAAGCAAAACAATATATGTGAAATGCTTTTAGATTTGATATCCTCAAATAAGATCAAATTACTTTTTTAACATTGCTAACTCAACTAAATAATAGAAACCAGAGTTATTTATATCATTGAATATGATTGGCCAATAGGACGCAGAATATTCATATTGAATTTTTTTTTCCAGTAAAAGTTAATGTTTTATTTACCATGAACAATTGTTACAAATTATTGTGTGAACCAGAAAAAATGACATGTTTAGGTTAAAAGTAGTAATTTTGCATAGCTTCCATCTAGACTTTACATTTTAATATTTTTAAGGCATGCTTATTTTTAATTATTTAAGTAAATTCAGTTAAAACCTGTGTACGTGGAACACCACTAAAAGCATTCCATGTGAGATGTGTATTATTAGAACATTTATCATTCTTAAATCATTATAAAGTATTACCAACACATTTTTCATATTAAACATTTTTAAATTGAAATTCTCCCGCATATCCCTCATTCAAGCATTGAATCTTAAAAGTAAAGTTTTCTCTGACTGTAGCATCCCTGTGCAATCTATTTAATGTCAATTTTCTCTATTCAAAGCTGATTCTGTATTATTTTGAGGATCTTTTTGAAACACGAGATACAAGGCATTAACATGACAAAATGTCACCACCTAGTTGAAGCAAGATATAAAAGACCTTTTTGACCTTCAGAAGGTCATTAAAGTGAAATCTATTTTGACCTTGAGAATGTCATTGAAGGTCAAAATCTATACTCAGATTTGAACTGTTGAGAACTTGTAGATGATTTTGGAAAAAATTGGTAAATTTGAAGCAAGTTAAAAAAAGACCTTTTTTGACCTAAAGAAGGTCATTGAGGGTCAAATCTCAAATCTTTTAAGTCAGATTTGAACTTCCGATAACTTATAGATGATGAGAACTTGTAGATGATTTTGGAAGAAATGGTCAATTTGAAGCAACTTGGAAAAAGACCTTTTTTTACCTTGAAAAGATCATTGAAGGTCAAATCTTAAATATAAAGGCAGATACTTCTTCTGAAAACATGTAGATGATTTTGAAAACAATTGAAGTCAGTCTATACAGTATTTGTTAAATTATTCAAAGTTGTAAGAATTTGTTACAGAAGCCGACTGCTGATTGCCAACCACCAACCGCTGTCAAAAAACAGAGACCATAACAATATGTCACCACTTTTTGGTGATGACAAAAAGATACGGCAACTAATGAAATCTATGTATCTAACAGTCTATACTATAACTATGTGAATGTCAAAACGCATAAAATCTAATGCTGAATCAATGCTGACTTCAGTAAATATCTCAATTCTAACAAAATTTTATTGAACTATCAATGAAAATTTCAAATCACGTGCCAGTTTAATCAAGCATTATTAACGTCACTATGCACGTGCGGAAAAGAATGAAGCAAGCATAATGATGTTAACAGTACAAACTGCCTCAGAAAAATTAGGAAATTGAATTTGCAAAATATAATACTCAGACCTCTTTAGAACAGTTCAAAATTTCAAACCTGTTCCGATTGCTTAAACAATATCAAAATCAAATATTCATCAAAATAGGAGACTTGTTAAGGAGAAGGACACGTTGAAAAAGAAACAGGTCTAAATGTTACCCAAACAAGGCCCAGCTTAATTCAAATTTAGTATAGATATGAAAAACTCCAGCTCAAATATTATTTAGTTTTCCTAATGTTTCCTAGTGTAGTAGCAGTTTTATACAGATATCAACATATTATGCTATCTAACTTCGACAGTCTACCTGTTTTATCCCAGTAATATGGATCTTGATAAATGAAAATAATGCAACATTTCAGATAATTGGGAAATCTATTTTGAATCAATATTCTGATGATTTCCTCATGCTCAGGGTTCATGTCAACAACAATATAGGTGATAATCATGACAAGGGATTAACCAATGTCAGATGTTCCATTTGTAAACATTGAGGAACAGGAGCATAATTTAGGATAAATACTAAGTTTCCCACACTGTTGTAGGTTTAATCTCAAATACTACAAAATAATTGATTGATAGACAAAACTTCAAATGACACATGGTGCTACAAGATAAAGATAAATAGTGTAATATAAGGTATGTCGTACATTTTCACTGTACATAGAAACATGGACAAGATAGGAACTATTGGGTTTACACACCAAATATCTTGATTTCAAAATTTCAAAAATCCCAGATTTGGGCAAAATTTTGATAACACGGTGAAAAAACATACCTTTTTCCCCATCACCATCAAAGCCATAGTTCTTAAACATGTTTGTTTTGTATCTGTTGCCACGACTACTTCCACTGGTACCAAGGCAACAACCCCAGTATCTAGGGGAGAATGGGAAATACCACGGCTGTGGCATACCATATTTGCCTGAAAATACCACAAAATGGACATATAGGTGTATAAAGTATTGAGATTCTAATTTTAATTTCCTTATTTCAAACCATAAATTCTTCAAATTACAGCACAACAGAAGTAAACACTTAAAACTTGAGCAATTGTATCAGTGCACAAAAAAAAGATTATTCTGAGTCAAGTAAGCTGCATAAATTGTTAGCCTCTCAGACAAGGCCAAGTTTGCAATAAATATGCTGCTGACACTCTGGTTGAATATAAATGTACACTGATTTTATTTAGATTAATAAGCTGCATGAATACCATCATACCTGGGAATACGTTCCGTATATACCAGCCTAGGAAACCATAAATAGCTGCATCGATAAGCATCATGATCAAAGTCCAGCTGACATTAAAACCTGGGTTGCCATAGTCGATATACATGGTGTCCCATTGGAGACCACGACCCTCTAGCTCCAAATGGCTGATTATTTTACCTCCAAAACTTAATGCCGATGTGGCACACAGGCACTACAATTAAGAAATATAAAATCCTGATAGAATCTGAGAAATTAAGAACTTAATGGTCAGATTTGGCCAACATACATCCTATGATAAAATAAAATATTACTACTTTACAATTACACTTTACTAGTATTATTGTATTAAAAATAAAGAAAATAAAATATGTATTTTTTGTATTTAAGATTCATGTATTTAAGTATAATGTATATATAAGCTGACTAACAGCTAGAGTCCGGGCCCAGAATTCCAGATGAAGACTCAGAGTGCTCATCACAACGAAGGGCAGATATGAGATGAGGTAGACAATGATGGCGGTTAAAGCAGCAATGTTTGTCCTATGGAAGAAGACACTCACAAGGTACCTGAAATATATTATATAACTGCATCATTGGAATGTTTCTCACTCTCCCATTGGCTAAGAATTGGTCACATGATTCGGGTAGCAAGCAAAATACTGAGGGAAACATCGAGGTGTTTTCTCCTCAATATAATGGAATAGTTGGTGGATATACCATTTTTATAGCACATACTAATAATTATTTTCTATCAAAATCAATAAATAGTCTTTTTATCATCTCTACTTAACCAGTTTGGCTTTGTGACAACCCTTTGCTTTATATATTATATAACACTCCAGATAGATTTTTAGTTGGACAATTTTGTTGTGTGGAATACTGGCACTGGCAAGCAATTGGTGGATTTAATCTTAAATAAATGCCGAACAAGCTTAATATATAAAATTGAGGGTCTAAAAATAAGTACTTACGCCAACATAAGAGTTGCTAAGGAGAAGTCGGCCATCATCAGGAAGATGATGAATGGGTCGCTATGGCGCAAGATGTTGCCAAAGTGGAGGATGAGGACGATGATAGCAGAGAGGATCAGCATCCAAATGTAGGTGGAAGCAAACCAGGAGAACCAGTTGATACCAGTATTTAGACCCATCACTTTCATCGTCTGAAATTAAAGTTTCAGTTTTAAGATGATTATCACAATATTGCATTCCTCAAATCTTATTTCTTCCAATGTATGTAATGCTATCTATCAAATCAAGGTGATGTTTTCAATTTTGGATTTATTGTTTGGATAAACAACACTTTCTCAGGGATAATCCCCTTTAACAACTTCAAGTCCAATAAAAACATACCTCTTCAAATCCGAGTTCTTTATCATAGACAATTTGCCTGACTGCAGAGCCAACGATGATCAACCAAGAAAGACACAACATCAGAGGCAGTAGGTAGGTACCTGATATACTCAGGAAGCTAAACATGAAAGATATATATTATGTTTATTAGACAATACTAATAGTACAGTTCTAAATAACTAATAAAATATTCCAAGAGTACTGGATAATAACTTTCTCATGTTAAAATTGCCAAATTGTCAAAGATCATGTGCCATACTTGCATACAAATGAAGTAAATACTGGGAAAAAATCTAATCTTAAAATACCTCAGTTCACTCTGACTGGTTTACGTACCATTTTGATAATAATCATAAGTCGACCAATTTAGAACTAATGTACTTACAAGTCATCCTCATAGCATGGATAAGGGAACTGCTGAAGATTCACAACAGGTGCAGAGTTGTTTCTCCCCGTGTGAATATTAATTATTGCAGTATCAATCATATCCTGCAGCTGAACGAAGCCCCGCATATAGCGCATGTCTGTCGCAAAGTCATCTTTTGGTCCTGGGACGTATTGTCTGAAAAGGTATGATGTATATTTGTTCATTTTTATCATTTTAAGGTAAAAATACTTACATAGCAAACTCATCAACTTGAAATATATTCCCATATAGGCCTATCATATCTTTGAAAACAATGCATAATGAAAAATGCTAAAGGGGGTGATTTTAACGCGAAAAAGCTCACATTACTAGCATTCTATATGGGTTTTTTTTTTTTTTTTTTTTTTATTTATTTCTTATTTCCTTCATATAACAATAAATCAAAATACAAATTATTTACAGAGGACACCTAAAATAGGTGTATATACTGCTTGATTAACATAAATTGAATATAATAATAGCGCAAATAAATAAATAAGTATAAATAAGAGCACATCAATAGTTGTTGGGTAGGAGCAGGGTTTACCTGGCAGCATCAATTAGTGTAATGCAGTTTTATATTTACTAATTTTCCAAAATATGTCAACAAGAAATTCAAAAGTGTAAAAACTGACAATAAAAAAGTTCATATAAAAAGACCCTATTTAGATTTAATAAAAGTGAAATTCATTCAAATATCATAAATAAATAGTTAAGAACATAAGATCTAAACTCACAAGTCTCTAAGCCTGTTGGTCACATGCACATTCTCAATATCCATTCTGATCTTATATTGAATGTGTTTAGGAATTCCATCTCCTGTAGTGTCAGCTTGTCTCCTTCTTCGACCAGTAGCATCATCATCAACGTTCAGGAACACAACACCTTAAGGAGTACAGCATACATATTTAGAATCAGAATACATTAAACCAACACCTTAAGGAGCATAGCATACAAACTTTTGCCAAGAAAAAATTTAATCGTCAGTCTAATATATACGGTGCTATAATAGATAGGGGTTTATATAAGCCAGTTGTACTTACTAGCAAGCATAGATTTATCAGAGTTTAACTCCTGTGCACGTTTTTCCATCTCTTCTTCTGTGTCGAATCCTTCAAACCTGTCCAATTCTATACACTCAGTGACATCCAGCATAAGCTGAGCCAAGGTTACCATGGTGTCTACGTCTTCAGTCGTGTAGCCAGTAAAGGAGTCTAGTGAAGCCATCAGGTCTCCTGTGTCAGGCATCCCGCTTACCACCGAGTCAATTATTGGAGAGTTGCTTGCCTTAATATATAATTAAAGACATTGGTTACAAAGGAAGGCATCAGTGAGTTCAATGATGTCATCAGGTCTCCTGATTAAGGCAAGTTGCCTATCACCAGAGTTGCCTATCACCAGAGTTACTGCTTGGCTTATATAAAATCAAACACATTGGTTACAAAGGAAGGCATCAGTAAGTTCAAGTTGCCTATCAGTGAATTACTTGTATTGGAGTCATAGTTATTAATTGCCTAAATATGACTAAATTGAAATTACAACACGCCTGTAATAGTATGTCCATTACTATATAGAAAATACTATTACTATGTTCTAGATGAATTTAGTCCATTACTATACAATATTATACTTCTAGAATAAAGAGCTCCTACCTGGAGTTTCTTCAAGCTATCTGAGCTGTTAACTAACTGATATAGACCATCAGTCCCATTCAGAATGGAATATGCAAACTCCTGAAGCTGTACTATCTCAGTGAATGTGTGGTTAGCCTCATTCATGATAGCCCTGGTGAGCTTGTTGTTGGGGGAGAATGGGATCTTTCCTCTGATGAGAGGCTTTATGTATGTCCAGATGATAGAGCCAATGTCTGAGGTCTGGATGTTGATGAACATGTCTTTGCAGTATTGGCCTGGAAATACATGTACAATACAAATACAATGTACTTACTTCAGTGTTATTCCATAATGTGAATAAATACACTTATGGCTGACACCCTTCCTTAAGTCCTGCCATATTGAAAATCACTTCTTTTTAAAATGTCCATGTATGCTGACAAAATGCCACAGACTTTGAACACCTTACCCTAAATGAAACAATCATGTTGGATCAAATGAATCTGGTCCATTATTGAGACCAAAGTTACTTGACATTATAAGTTTATCTGCAATAGTTAAATAAAAATACTAAAGTGTTTCAACTCACTTGAAAATGATGCCAATTCTTTCTTCTGCTTTTCACTAAACTGAGAGATATCAGCAACTGCCTCTCCATTTTCAGTTTTTATTGCCCTTTGATCATTTATACCAAAATCTCCTGATAGTCCAAAGTCATCAGTGAATGCTAGGGCATCTTCTGTTCCACATAGCATCTGACTCATTGACTTGAGACTCTCACCTGTAAAGACAAATTGCTCATAAAGACACATTGCTCATAAAGACACATTGCTCATAGAGACACATTGCTCTGCTCATAGAGACACATTGCTCTGAGTGAGAATAATAAAACATGGATGCAGATTTGGCACTACCAGATTCCAAATCTCTTGAGTTGTTCAAATAGAAAATTGTAATTGGACATTTACACATTAAGATGAAAAACTTAGCTTAAATCCAGATGTAACTGGTACCAGCTATTGAAATGGTCACCTGATCATATTTGAAAATGTGTTTGTAGTCGAGTATCTATTGAGTTGATTTACCTTTAGGCTCACTTTTTGTTAGTTCTATATAATACTTACTATCACTGAATCCAATTTGTCCTGCTGATATACTAGCAATATTTGAGATATCTGCTACTTGTGAGAGGTTCTTGAATGAGCTTACAAGACTATTTAGGTCTGTTCTGACTTCAGATAAACTCTCTGTTAGGTTTGTCACCAGGTTGGTCACCTCTTGCTGTGTCAGGTTGGCCTTTGCTAGGATTTTGTCTGGACTCAGTGTTAACATCTGGAACATATTCATCATTTTGAATTAAAAGACTAGCATTGGCAGTATGATCCTAAAAGATTTTTTACTCAAGTTGGTGTAAAATCCCATCTTCACAACTCAGTCCAAAATTGGTAGAAATGTGACTGTTTTCATGATTCTTCTCATTTTCAATATTGGATGCAAATGGGTGCAATCCACAGCTTTTTTAGTACTTCGGCTCAGCAAAGAAAGAATCTATGATGATGTCATAATAATTTAATTCTATGATGTCATATTGACTCTACAATGATGTCATACAGACCTGTTGAAGCATCGTGCCAATGTTTGCTTCCTGCAAGACAAAGTCCAACAACCCAGACATCTGTGTCTGATTGAGAGCACACAGCTGCCCACTGATGTCTGTTACATTCACAGCTGCGTCATCAAAGATAAACAGCTGCCCAAGTTGGTCTGGTTTACAGAATGTGTCAGTAAAAGTGTCACCAGTTGTGTTCATCAGCTGAAAGTATATCATATTCAACATTTGAATAATAGAAAAATGAATGGACAAAATCAAAATTAATGAATTTTATTAGAATAACTGTATAAGTTTTTCACTGATTGTATTTCTGGAATGTTGGCCATCCTCTACATACCTCTCAAAAAGACAAACATCGATATATGTATCCCAAAAGTTGACATAAAAATCATTCCCCTCGTGAATTTGAAAAAATATGACAATATTATTCTCTTCTATATAATATGAACTCAGTAAATCAATTTACGAAATAAGTCCAGTTTTGAGAAGTGACATATTCTATTCATACCTCAGCGTATGATACAGAGGCAGTCAAGAGAGCCTCTGTGGTGTTCCGACTGATTCCCAATGTATTCATTAAATAGTCTCTTACAGCATCTCTACTCTTCAGTAGGTCTTCCATCCTCACTAAAATAAATACAGATATATTTTCATAATTTAATCTCCCATTGGCATCTCCCAAGGGGGAATGCTTCCATATACAAACACCTCATAATGTACTTTACTCAAAGAGATCATTACGTTTCCTCTCATATCAGTTTTTTAATTTTACATGAGTATTCCAAAATTGTATTTGCTCATTGTATATCTATTTGACTAGAACTGATTATTATATTTTTCAAGTTTTTCTAGTTTACTACTTAAAGAATCTGTTTAGTTAGCTTGCCTAGGAAATCATTGCAGGGACTTAAAGTCTTGTACCAAGTGTCTGTATTAGTATCTAACTTGTCTATCTCACCTCCATGGGGTTACAAGGGATCGAATCAAGACTAGAGGCTAATAACTGTACATATGGCTTACCAGTGACAGGCATGTAGGTCTGTACTGTCTGTAAGGCCCTGGCAGCATTGGCTATAACTTTAAGATCATGGAACACCTTACTGGCTGTAGGGTCTGAGCTACTGGTGCCCTCACTCAATAGTTGAAGGACCATCTCAACACTGTAACAAAAGACAATACATTTTTATGCAGTGAACAAAGGGTCTATTTATAGGGAAACCTAAATTTCTATTAAAAAAAAATTTAATCTCTAATATTTTAGCAGGTATTATATCTAATTTATGAATCTTACACCTTAAGTACAAAAATACGAGGTATCACAATAAAATCTACATAAATGAAATATATATAAATGAAAAGTAAACTCCAAAACAAAATGAATAATAATGAGTGTTTACCTTGAATAAAACACAGATGGGTCATTTTGCAGTAGGAACTTCTGGAATTCTGGTAACACATCCTCTAACCTCCCAGACGTCAAATCATCAATAAAATTTTGGAGTTGAGGAACAGATCTGAACCAATTGAAAGCCATGGACAATTCAGTTGTCAGATTTTTCAACCAGTTTGGATCAAGGAATCCTTCCCGATTGGCAATAGCCCATTGGAAGGCAAGTCTTCCAACATCAATAGCCTGAGTGAGGTCATTCACGAGGGTAGCATTGTTAGACTTGCAGAAAGCATTGTTGAAAGCCTCAGATGTAACATCCGATTGGAGCCCTGGTGGCAGACGAACGTATTCCTCTAATTTTGAAGAGTTGCACAGAATAGCTTTCAAATCATCTGCTGTGTTGTTGATAATGGACAGCTGAAACAGAAAAAGAAATCAGAATTAGTTGGAACTCTTTATCATATAGTATAGTATAATATAGTAAAACTCGAACAGGAAGTTAATATAAAGATACACTTTATGCTTACCAGGTCAAGGTTGATGGTAGATTTCAAAATTGCTGAGATAAGATCAGGACTGAGGGACGCTACATCTAAAAGTGTCTGCTCCAAGTTGGCATCTCCTTTGAGAACATCTTCCAGTTTCAGCCATACTGAAAAAACATAATAAACACACCATATTAAAAATCAAAGTGTGAAGTGAAGAAAATCAAGTTATTAAATAACTTGTCTGGATCTAGAAATAAGCAAAGTATGGCAGAATTTAGGAAATCATTTCAACTCAGCCCTTTTTAACATGAAATCAAAATGGCATTCTCTGACCACCAAGATCCTATATCATATCATACACTGGTTCCTCAAGTACTATATATTTGAATAAGCAAATAGTAGGCATGGGAGCCCAAAACTGACCTTGTCTTTGCTGAAGGAGACCTTCCAACAGTGAGTTGATGGTAGGTGCCAAAGAAAGGAGGTCCATGCGGAACAGGTTCTGTATGGCCTCATTCGACATAAGGCCATTAATCTCGTTAGCTAAAAACAGCAACCTGAAAAAACAACAGAAAATGTCTCTTTAAAAACATTAATACCTCTTATTCATAGATAACATATATGACAAATTACATTTCTAATTCAATCTTAGTCTATTCAATTTTCATTTATTTTTTAACAATCAACTTACTCATCCAGGTCTCTGACAATGGTGAGGTTAGCCAGTGTAGTAGACAAGACACACTTGCCAACCCTGTCTCCAAATCCTTCCAGTTCATATTGTGTTCTATTTGTGACAACCATGAGGTCATATTGAAGCCTCATTATCCTACTACATGTTTTGTCTTCTGGTATAACTGTGCTGTTTATAGTCTCATTGACAATCTGAAAAATGGATATCACTAAGAGACAGAGTCTAGTCGAAATTCTGAGAAAATCTGATTAAATGTGTAAATCAAAAAAGGGGTCGCTTAAAATTGTGACAATATTGGAGTCTGTGGTTCAAACTGTATAAACATTAATGAGAGCCATCTTGTAAAAATTGGGTTCTTCCCTTATCTGAAAAACCTTTGGGAACTTTTACAAATATTTCAATAAAAAATTGAAGTACTATTACACATACATGTACATTTATCTCAATACCAAGTTGAATGACATTGAAACTTCCAAATTCTAGGAGTCCTGAGACAATTTTTCTCACGACAAACTGAAAATCTAAGAATAATGGATAGTGACCTTATTGATGGTCTCTAATAGTCCCATGTCTTCCAATCTATAGTAGAATCCAGTCAGATTAAGAGTCTCTATATCACAGAACAACCTCTCAATCTCAGGTAGAAGTTCTAACTGTTGGTTTGCAATCTCAGTAGCCAAGATCACTTGGGAGAGGTAGGGTTTAATATATGTTTTGTACCAAGTCTCACTCTGGGCTAGCGGCAGTATGATGTCACACATTCCAACAAAACTGAAATTATAATATTTTAATGAGGTGAGTCAATTTTAGTGCCAATTCAGCAGTTTCTTATTTAATATTTCTATGGTGTGGCATATCTATACGGCATAGTTTACTGAATATATAAAATGAACACAAAGTATGTTGCACTACCAATCAACACCAGTCAATGAAGGCATGAAAATCATGTGGTATTCTGTTTTTATGATACAGGTATACATTTTTACCATGCAAGAACACAGACTTACTTATCAGATTCTAACTCTCCTAAGCCAGCCGCAAAGTTATACAGTTTTGCCCATGTGTCAGCCAAATTGGTAGAAGTCACTCCTGTAATACTAAGTAGGACATCTATGTTGGCCCAGAACTGTTTAAGCTGTTTGAAATAATCTGGAATCACTCTATCTGGATCACTTGGTGCAGTTCCAGCAATGGTCTGCAATGGAATAAGAAGTATAGTCATTAGATGTAGGATCAGATATGCAGTTTAAATCCTAAGAAATATACAATTGAAAATGCGCAAATCAAACAGAATTTTATCAATATATATATTGTACATTTTGAAAGATTTAGTGAAGTCTATCTACAATATGCAACTATTCAAGATGAACAGAAACAAATTTCATTGACTGTTGTAATTCTTCACTATATGGACTTCAGCTATATCATTTGTAACCTTACCTGCATTAGCAATTCATCAAAGTTAAACAATTTAACAATGTCACTGATGATGGTGGAACTATTTGATGTGGCGGAATCACATAGGCCTACGCGGATGAGTTCTTTGTCTGCATCAGTCCCCAGGGGAAAGACAAAGGTCTGATCAAACCTTCCCTTATCACACACTATTGCTTGCCAGTTTTTGTGGTTCAGCAGCTGGATGAACTGGAATTGAAATATTCATTTTTAGTTCAGAAATCTAGAATACATGTAAGGGTAAGCTTCCTTCAAAGCAATTGGGGGAAATACACAAGATTGGGATTCATTATTTACTCTATTTACCAGGTAGTAACACAACATCATATATACAGTACTGGTCCTGGCCACTGACATGCTTCATCTAGAGTCTCATTCACAACTACTTTGGTGATTTACACTGAATTTGAAGTTATGGAGGAGTTACTCCAAGCAGAGTTCATCAGGTTATACTAGTGTTTCACTATTTAAATCCTCATAAACTCTAACTTTGTTTATTTGCCTTCAATGATGTAAGATTACCTTGGTTTATTTGTAAATGTATGGATAAACAAAAAAATAAATTTGAACGAAAATTTAAAAATGTAAAGTTGGAACTGACCTGGTCTGGTTGTACCCCTGCAGCTAACATCTGCGCCGCCCCCTCCGCACTGAGAATACTGTTCAACAGTTTCACCAGGCTTGTGTCATCTGGTATTATACTAGATATGTTCACAAGACCCCCTTCAACTACAAATACAGAAGAGAATATATGATATATATGATACATATGTGATATATATGTGACATATATGATAGCATTATTTTCTTAATTGGTCTACTTTTCATAATTAATCTCCAATAGAATTAACAATGTTGTAGAGGGCCTGAACAATTATTAAGAGCATCTAGATACAGTCAATTTTTGTAAGTAAATAAATTGTTTTTTTCTATTAATCATCTGCGATTCATAAATATTGGAAGTACAGTATAGTTCTCCGAACAGCATTTCACATACTATATTATTTACTATTTTATATCTCATATCTCAATTTTAGTATGTACATATGTATCGCCTCTATTAAAATCAGTCAAAAAATAAATAATATGTAGGCCTACCTTCTAGTTTGTTGAGGTAAGAATTGACAAATTTCATATAAACAGACTGTTGATGGAGGTTATCCTTGATAGCTTTCCATACCTCATCACCTCCAATCACGCCATCTATTAAAGTCATTACACCAGATGCTCTGAAATATATGACAAATACAGTAGTAATGCTTTTTCTCATTACATTTTTAAAAATTCATGAAAACAATGAACTGGGTGTGGAGTTATCACAAAAAGTATTTCTACTCCTGATTGATCTACTAAAAAATCATTCTCATATTTGATAAAAAAGTTACTGCATTCTGTAACTTGTACATTTATTGAATAGTTTGATAAAATACTTTACACTCACATATCAAAGGCTCCTTTCTCAAGGGCACTGCCAAATTGTGAGAACAATTGTTCCAGATAAGTCACATTGGTCCCTGGGATGAAACCTTCTGGAATACCTAAAATGCATAATATAATAAATTGTACATGTACATTAGTATTTAATTAGATATCTTACAGTGAACATATAATCTAATATGAGTGTACATATTTTCTCGTTACAAAATGTATGTTAATTAGTGCCAATCCAAAGACTCAAGAGCCAGCTTTTTCTCACAATATGACAACTGGCATGTGATTCAATTTCAACATACAGCTTTGAAATCTTCATAAAAGCCTCAGTCGCATTTGCTTTACGATGACCGTAGCTTCACAAAATTGATATAGAAAATCTATTGCACTGCTTATCCCTATATTTCATACTGCATATTTCGTTCGATTTTGGTAAGCTACGGCTGACTTACGGTTGCTGTGAATCAAATGTGACTGAGGCATAACACCAGGGGTTTCACTAGAATTTCTCATAACAGGCTAAATAAAAGAAAACAACAGGTAAAATGAATGGAAACCATAAATTCAACATGGAAAAGTTGAAAAGTCCGTGAAAACAACAGGCAATTTTGTGAAAACAACCCATGATAATCGCCTGTTGCCTGCTCCTAATGAAACCCCTGAACACACCCACTCTGTAACTCACCTTGCCCTGTAAGCATCTTGATGAATTTGTCTACATTACTGGCCAGGTCCTCAAAGTTGACATTTGCTCTGGCTGGTCTCTCAGTTTCTCCTAGTGTTGCATAGAGGTAGACATACAACTGGAATTCACCATATGTAATTAATATACAAGTATTTATGGTTAATTTCTGCCTAAAAGTATTGTGACAAAAATAGTCAAATCTTAGAATTATGTGATTCTCATGGGTAGTATCCAAACTCATATATAGCAACAGGGCCCAATACCTTGTAAGTGATACGATACAATATGGTTCACTACCATAGTATATTAATGGTACCGGTATGTTACTGTACCTTATTAGCGATAAGGCCCAGTGCCTTGTTAATAATAGGGTATTATATGCTTCACTACCATATAAGTGATATTCTACTTTACCTTATTCAAAATATCCTGAAGGCTGCTCATTGGTACCCCATTGTCCAAGAGTAATTTGAACCAATCAGCTGTCTGTCCACACACTGCAGTGCTGACAAGACCTGCCATGTTAGCATCAGATAGGATCTCAGTTAGGGCAGATACGTTACACAATGCACCTTGGAGCTCTGTCCTAGATGCTAGGTTATCAAGCTAGAAAATGGAAAAATTATTCACTTTTGTAAATCAAAACACAGAAAAGGCAACACTGGTAAAAACAATTAAATGCAATTAACTCAATTGATAGATATCAACTTGAACACATGTCAAAATTAAACCCTTGGTGACCCTCTTAATGACAAAACTTAGTCTCAAGAACACATTTTTGCTTTTCCCTTTAAAGCAGTTTGATTTATACCCTGCGTGCAGAGTCGAGTTAAACTACAGACAAAGCTCTCTTTTAACAAGTGAAGTCAAACGAATGTAAAGGGTATTTGATTTACATGTACATGTATTTTTCTTTAAAATATAACAGTACCTGTGGTTTTAAAATATCTCTGAGGAGTTTGAATGTCTGGTTTGTTGAAAGGTCCTGTATGAGGTTATCATAGAACTGAGCAACTGCTGAGTTGTCCCTTGCCCAGGCATCTAGTGTAACACCATCATCTGAAATTATTAAAATTTTCCCCAACTCTTGCATCAATCCTTGTTAGAACTATGCAACATTCCTCTCTTCTCCCCGAGTTTTTATATTGATAAGAGCCCAAGACTTGGAATTGATAAAAGTCATTTGCTATTCTTTACTTCTTATAAGCATGTACTATGCAACATATTTAAATACAAAGAAACAGACAATGAGAACCCTCAAGAAAAACCCAGAGACATTACATGAGAACTTTGAGTACAAGGATTTGCAAAACACAGGTGTACTAGTTTTAGATGATGAGTTTATGAGTCTGGTATTCTACACAGAATGAACACTTCTATGGTTAGAGGCTTTCAAGCAGTTCTATCAGCGAAAAGGTATGAAAGCAACAACAGCACGCCTCAAACATGGAACTAAAATAACTGTGTCAGATTATGTGACAGTAGAAGTCAGTGACTCAGGCATTATTACAGTCTTTGGAGAAGAGCTACAGGACTGGAGAGACAATGATTTTGATCTGATCAAAGGAACATTAGTTTCTTTGAAAATAACATCTACTCCTGATTCATACTCTACATCTCTGCCATCTACCTCAACTCCTTGTAATACTCACAGTAGTGGAACATTACCCGCACAAACGCAAGAGGATATCTTCATAAGCCAATCCGAGGAAATAGACACTGGCGAGGACAGTATTATCTTCTTCTTGGGTAATGATACTATACCCAATACCCAAGCTGACAGTGGTGAATCTGCCCAAATATCTCAATCTCAGTCTCTAATACAGCCCACTGTTATACCAGAAACTCAGCTTGATACTCAAAAACCGCTTTCTCAAAATGCATCCCAACCAGCGACAGGATCTTTGCATTTATCAAATATATCTCCTACTCAGACAGAATCAACTTCTAAACCTGACACACCAAGCATAACATCGGAGTTACAATATGAAAACAAAAAACTGAGGACTAGGATTATCTCTCTTGAAAAGAGGCTTGAAGAGGAATCTATTGAACACAGTCAACACATTACTCAGCTGAATGCCAAGTTGCAGGATCTGCACTATAGGCTTCAATCAGCTGACAAGAAGAAAGAAGATGAAATACAGATGCCAAAACAACTCCATGAACAAGAGACGAGAGATCTGGCAAGTAAGCTTGAATGCTATGAATCAAACGAGAAGTGGCAAATAACTACAATACAGGGGCTTAAAGCAGACCTTGCAACACAACACAGGAAAAATGTCGCCCTTATTGAGAGGTTTCAACAGATGGGATGTCATGATTTTGATCAGTCACTCCCACAATCAATGTCGCCTCCAACCATTTCCCAAAAAGGACAGACTACCTCAAAAACCAGCATACCCAAGAGATTTGTAAACAAAAATCCTGCTACAAAGCGATTCCCCACTCATGACAATGAAGGAATATCAGCCTCTACTGCCAAGAGGCCTGTTACACAACCCCCTAACAGACCCCCCAAAGTACCTTCAAGGAGCCCCCCAAAACCATCCCCAAGAAAATATATCAATAGTTCCAAGCAGCTCCCAACAACTGTCCATATAATGTACTCCTCAAATGGGAAGAAACTATCAGGTATGATGCACAATAGATCAAAGGGGAAAAACATGAAAGTGACCTCATCAGTGTATAGTGGTGCTAACATCGAAGATGCCACCCGTATCATACAACAAGGTGACATTGGCAAATCAACAGATCACAAATTCCTAGGTTTTGGAACAAACAACGTTAAAGTTGACTCTGCTCAAACCATTACTTACGAGTTGAAAAATCTGGCAATTACAGCTCAAAACCAGCACCCAACATCCAAAATAACTCTATGTGGACTGCACCACAGGGCAGATCATCCCAATCCTCAGGAAGTGAAACAAATGAATATGAAAATAGACCAAGTCAATAGAGAGATGGAGTCTTTTGCCACGAAGAAAGGCTTTCATTTCATTAACATCAACAGAATTAACGATTCAACATCACTGGACCCTAACATGAATGTACTATATAATGACAAACTCCACTTTAACTTCACTGGAAGAACTCGGTTGGTAGATGCAATGTTGTCTATCATTAACTCAACACACAACTCCTATGCAGAGGCAGTAAGCATGGGAAACTCTCGCAAATCTCGAACTGGACTGAAGTTATAAACACTGATCAGTGTGATAGCATCTCAAACACAGAATGTATGAGTGATTCTTTAAATGAGATAAAACACAATTTTATTCATTTCCATGATTCAAATCATATGATAATGAGTGAAGCTCCATTTTGTGCAAATAATGTAACTCCAAATAATTCTGATTTGGGCCCCCACAATATGGAATTAAACACCACGTTAAGTCAAGTTTCCCAAAATGAAATCAATATTCAACCATCTAGTCCTATAACAACACAGTTGAATGCCCAGTCGCAGGATCTGCGCTATAGGCTCAAATCAACTGACAACAACATAAATGGTAATTTAAAGCAAACAAATGATAATATGAGTCAAGGTGAAATAAATTTTCTATTTTGGAATATTAACAGAATTTCCGATAAGTTATACGACGGATGTGATATTTATGAGCTCTTCAGTAAATATTCAGTTATCCTGTTAAGTGAGACATGGCTGGATCCATGTGACAACATATCATTCAATGGTTATACTGTACATAATCTCGCAAGAAAAACCAAAAACACTAACTCAAATTTTTATTCTGGAGGCATAGCTGTCTTCATAAAAGATGACTGTTATAATTCAATTGAAGTGCTAAAACAGACTCATGATTTCTTTGTATGGTTAAGAGTTAAGTCTTCTTTTTAGAATTTAGAGAATGATATTTATATTTGTTTTGTTTATATGCCTCATAAAGGTTCAACTTATGAACATTTTGACAACTTTGACATTTTAGAAAAATCAATTGCCTCCTATCAACTTTCTGGTAAAACAATCATATGCGGAGACATGAATGCCCGCACTGCCCAGTTATCAGATATGAATATTGACATTCATGGATCGAATGATCAGTTTACCAATTCTTATTTTTTAAATGATCACTATATAAATAATAATAATCATCACCATGAACCAAGTGACCCTCTTCATAACCGTGTTTTAATGGATAAAAATATAAAGGCAATAAGCCAGACACATGGCAATGAATTCATAAGTCTATGCAAGGCATCTAATTTAAGAATCCTAAATGGCAGATTTTTTCATGATAAAAACATTGGTCAATTTACATACTATAGATACATAAATGAAATTAACCTAGATCCAAGTAAGGGAAAATCTGTATTAGACTACGTTGCAGTTCAAGCTGATATACTTAATACAATTTCAGACTTTAAAGTACATGAAAGGCGTCCAGATTCTGACCACTGTCCTATAAATTTTAATCTTAATCTAGGTCAGGCCAAAATTAAAAATAAAGTCAGCAAAAATATGCAGAATTTACCTTACTCATACTTTAAATGGGATCATAAATTAAAGGAACAATTCACCGAGCTATTGGATGCAAATATCAACAATGGTTTACTTGAAAAATTTTATATTGATGTTGGTTCCAAAACTAATTCAGATTATTTACTACAGTCTCTTAAACATGTTATATATGACACTTCTGATAAAATACTCCCACTTAAACATTTAAAGAAAAGTACTAAAAAGTTCCCAATGAATCCATGGTTTAACAGTGAATGCAAAAAATTGAAAAAGGATTTACATTCTGCAATTAAGCAGAAGCTACCTAATAACATTATTGCTGATTTACAGAGAACGTATAACCAAACTAAACAGCGCGAGAAAAGAACATATCAGTCAAATCTTTTAAAATCTCTCATTTCTTTCAAATCTAAAAATCCAACAGAATTTTGGAAAATGATAAATAGTATCCCAGGTAGCAGTAATACAAATGAAATCCCTATTGAGGCATCAGAACTTTTTTGTGCTTTTGAAAAGTTGGGTAAGAATCCCAAAATAGACTATTTTGACGATGGAGCATTAAAAGAGATGCAATTATTTATAGATGAATATGATAAAAATAGTGTTTTGAGCAGAGAAATTGGATTTAGTCATGAAGTGCTTAATAGCAATATAAAGGAAGCTGAGGTATATGCTGCTCTCAATAAGGTTAAAGTTAACAAAGCACCTGGAATAGATGGGTTATCTTCTAATATCATTAAGAATTGCAGTATATTAGTCCCTGAATTCACGTCCCTTTTTAATCACATCTTTTCTCATGGTGACTACCCTAATGAATGGAGTATAGGCATGTTAACAACTCTCTTTAAACAAGGTTGTAGATTTAATCCTGATAACTATAGGGGAATAAATGTGTTGACTTGTATCGGTAATATCTTTGATAGAGTAATACAAAACAGACTTGTTTTTAATGCTGAAATGTTAGATATCCAAGATCCACTCCAAGGGGCATATAAACCTGGACATCAAACAACAGATAATTTATATATTTTAAATACAATCTTAGCCAGTTATAAGCTCATGAAAAAGCCTCTATACTGTATCATGATAGATTTTAGAAAAGCATTTGACTATGTAAATAGAGTGGCGCTTATGTATAAACTTTGTAAATCAGGAATTTCACCTAATTCTAATATATTCAAGGTTATATCTAGTATGTATGAAAAATCAAAAGCATGCCTAAAATTTAAAGAAGGTATCACCCCTACTTTTGAAACAGATGTTGGAGTAATGCAGGGCTCTGTACTTAGTACCTATTTATTCAACCATTTCCTTGATGACTTAAAAGATAATTTACCAAAAGAAAATGGTATTCAATTTAATGGAAATATGTTAAACCATTTACTTTGGGCTGATGATCTTATCTTGATGTCAAATAGTAAAGATGGTGCCCAAATTTTGCTCAATTGCCTTTTTGATTTTTGTAAGAGATATCATCTCATAGTTAACACAATGAAGACAAAATCAATTATTTTTAACTCAAAAGTTGATGCAGTTTTCAGATTCAATGATAGTGCCATAGAAAATGTTGAGCAGTACAAATATCTTGGATGTGTATTAAGTAAAACAAAGAATGTTGACCAGCATGTATTTTACTTGAAAGAGCAAGCAAGGAAAGCTTTGTTTAAAGTTAAACAGCAATATAAAAAATTTAATGACATTCCAGTTAATGTTGCATTGCACCTTTTCGATTCCTTAGTTGAACCTATTTTAACTTATGCCTCGGAGGTGTGGATCAATGAAAAACATCTGAAGTCAATAGAGACAATGCACCTATCTTTTCTTAAATGTCTGTTAGGTGTTAAAAAATCAACTTCAACACCAGCAATTTATGGAGAATTGGGACGCTACCCGTTAAAAATACGTTTTGAAATCAAATTAATTAAATATTGGCTCCGTTTACTTCACCTATCACCAGGAAACATTCTTCATAAAACATATATATATGACCGTGAAATGAGTCAATTTGGTTTTAAAGGCACTTGGTCAAACAAAGTCATTGATATTTTAAAAAAGTGTGATTTATTATCTTATTGGGATACTCAAAAGATTGATGATGACAATATTTTTATCAAGACAATAACAAAAACACTGTATCAGAATTATAAAACTCAATGGAACAAAGATATATTAAATTACCCCGTCTTGAGAACTTATGTTAAATTCAAAAATGTCTTTGAAAGAGAGAGTTATTTAAATATCCAAAATAAAAATTACAGGCAAGCAATTTGTAGATTTAGGCTTAGTTCCCACAAGTTACATATAGAACTTGGTCGTCATTTAAAGCCAAAGCCAAAACCTGTAGATAAACGTTTATGTAATATTTGTGGTATTTTAGAAGATGAACAACACTTCATCATGATTTGTAAGAAAAACACTACAGAAAGAAAAATTTTGTTTGACACCCTTACACGATTTAATTTTGTAGGCAGTCCTGACATTATTTTTAAAAAACTAATGTCTCACAAAAATTCTTATGTAATTTTACATTTAGCAAAGTTCATCTATCATTCACTCAAAAAATTGGATTAATGTGTCAACGATGCATCACACTGATATTTAAATTTCTGTCAAGTTATATTTGTATTTTACAATTATCTTGTATTCTGTATTTTACATTTGATGATGTAATTAGAATTGTATTTGACAACAACTTTATTTTTGTATTCAATAGTTAGTTTAGTCTTAGGTCAGTTTTGTAGATTGTAGTTTTTAGTGACTAATATGTCATTGTAATGACATCAGAGAGTCAATAAAAGATATATATATATTTAAAGCACAATTTATGACAATAGCAAACCCTAAAATATAGCACATTAGCAAATGCTGAATATCTGCACAAAAGCAAAACCGCAATATTGTATGTGCAATGAACTTAAAAACAACATAGAAGCAATCTCGAGAAGGTCTTACCTAGCATCATCTGTAGCTGTGTTGTGATCTGGCTCAAGATTGAGTTGGCTGGGTTGATAACAGGAGCTAAGGCAGTTGAGATCTCAGGAGGGAGAATATCTTGCGCTGACCCTGCACCTGTTATAGCTTGTGTGATCACACTCTGGATCCTGAATTGAAATATTATTAACATGTGACTTTTGAAAATGAGCAGTGTTTGGATAAAATGATTTATCATGTGACATGCATTTGAACGATCTCAGAATATGTACATCACAATAATAGTTTTGTTTTATTTATACATTTCAGGTATCAAATAACACCGAAGTTCTAAAATCAAAACATTCATGATGAATGAGAGGTGTATTTTTTGTCAGAGAATTTATATTCAAAGGTCTCTCTATCTAGCCTATATATTCTAGTTTCTTTAAGGCAAAATGTTGCTTGAAAAAAGTCAATCTAAAAACGTCAAAATATGTACTAATTATTGCTAAAAATCCTTAACCTGGATTCCCAATTTCGAGGCAAAAATTGAAAAAATATGAGATGTTATCTTACATTATCAGTGAGAGACATACCTATTACAGGTTAACTTAGCCCTCCCTCAAAATGGAACATACATTAATCATCCTAAACCTGCGACAAACCTATAATATATACCAATGATTGTGACCAACAGCCGCCTAGTACTAGTACATGTACTTACAATGCTGGATCCATGAGAGAACTGAGGACTCTATTGATTGAGGCCTGAAGGTTGGAGACGTTGAATGTGCTAAGAAGGCTATCATCAATCCGCATGTTACCAGCTTGGGTGAACAACTCCACCAAATGCATCATGTTGGCAACAGATGAGGTCAGGTTCAGGGGGCCACTGCTAACTCCCATTGGATTCAGGTATTTTTGGAACTGAAAAAGTAATAAGAGAATATTGGTTGATTGGTTTTCAAGGGGTGGAAATGCAATTTTTGAACATGCAAATTTGATTGCAGTCAACTTTGATTTTATCTTGATGAACTGTTGAATATTGAAATTTATAACATGAACTAAAAAATAATAAAATTTTTCTATTTCACTCATTTAGATATGCCAAATAATATAGTACTAGTATCTCATCAGCTTTCAATTTTTATTCGATTTTCTTATTGTCAATGATTCAATTTAGTGAAACACGATGTAACTTATGCATATATGATAAAAAGCTATCACCTAATTTTGCATTTTGCATTGGAAGCATCGCCCCCTTTTCTCTCTTTTTCAATAGTGAGAAAACAGAGTTTTTTTTAAGTACTATTAATCTTGATACAAAAATGACAATATATAGACAATGTACCTGTTCCATGATGGCCTTTATATCAAGCTGGTTATTTAGTTCTTCCACCAAGGCATTAATTACAGTTCCATTAGCATCACAGAACAAGTCCTCCAGCTGGGCAAGATCAACACCTGACACCCCTAATATTTTCCCGAATTCGAACTCACACAGATTTGCATTTGGGACAGATATTGTTTCAATGAGTGAAAGTAACTGAAAACATAAATATACAATAATTATTACATTTTGCAAATTACTAATATGATAATCATGAAGTAATGCATGTGTTTTATTAGATAAATCAATTGGCAAACATGGTATAAAATGCTTTTTTTGCTTGGGAACTGAATATAGCTTTTATACCTTTGTAAATTTCACTTCATACAATATCATATTGACCCTCTGAATAAAATCTTTATTTAATCCCTCTCAGTGAATAACCTCTATTTATTGACAGTTCAAATTTAGTATCACAGACCTATTTAGGATTTTTGTTTCACATTAAGACCTTTACCTGATTGGCATCGAATGTAGCTGAGAAGAGAGATGCAATGGCCGAAGACTCTTCTCCCAAAATACTTTGCATCAAGTTTCTCACAATTGTAGAGTTCTTTAGTAGGGTATCCAAAGTTATAGGTCCACCTGCAAAAATACAAACATATTTCGTTTTCCTATAACTAATTTTGCCTATTTCAAGACATCTCTTGGTTTTGAAAATATTTCATTAAAAATGTATTCTTTCCTTTTTACCGATCTACAATACTTGTCACAATAGTCAAAAGAAATTCCCAAATTTCAATAAGAATCTTCAATTACTCTGAGCATTCACAAAAAACATTCAACATTCCATCAAAGATTCTGAAGTCAAACTTAAATAAATGTTGAAACACACATGTGATGTAACACTCACTTTGTAATTCCATAAGTTTTTGTTTGATGATGTTCACGGTGAAGTCAACAGCTTTGATCACCTGAAGGTATTGGCTGACATCTGCAGGTAGAGCTGCAAGTGTGCTCTCAATGGTCTGCGTAACACTGTTGTAAACAAATACAAGTCAGCATACATATATTGTGGTTTACATGTATTTCTATTTCAATCAGTTCATGATAATGTGTTACAAGCAGAGGCAAATGCTGAGGTATAAAATGCTGAAGTATAAAATGTTGTGACATAAGTTACATGTATGTATAATATTTTAAATAACAAAGGAAAAATGGAGAAACAAATGATGCACAAACTAAGGATTTAATGAATTATTTGGTTAGGTAACATTACATTTAGCTAATCGCAATATATAGCGGGGTCAGATGTCCAGATATAACCCCTTTTTTGTTCCGCTTTTTCAGGAAAGCAACAAACTTGGCACATTTGTAGAAACATATGATTTGAGTGGAAAATAATTTCAGGGCAAGTGGTTGGGGGTGGTCTTCATGGATTTTTTTTACCTCTGACCCCCACCCCTATCAGGTGGGGAGGGGTAAATTATAAAAAATAAATAAAAATGGTTTTAAAGTATTTTTGTTTAAATGACTTCATTTGGTGATTGCTTTGAGCCTTGAAATGATGTAAAACTCATTTTAGAAGTGGCATTTAGTGAGGAAAATACATTTTAACCCAATTATCCAGTAAAAATTCATTATTTAAAGGGCCAAATATGGGACGTCCATTACTGTATTTCAAGAATGTGATGACAAATAGTCTTAAAAAAATTCACAGTAATAGAAGTATAAGTGTTTATTGCAGATAGAAAATATTGCTTTAGTAGCTGATGTATTCTCAGAGAAAAAAATTATCGAAATTTCAATTTTTTGATGCATTTGGCTCAGGGGTAACCTTATCTTACCTCAATAATTTTTAAGATAGTCAATGTATGCATCTCATATGAGCTCAGAATGGTGCTTCTAGACTTGTTTTGTCATATTATTGCTAATTAGATGTACAAAAAAGATTGGAATTCAAAAAAAATTCAAATCTTCATTTTCGATTCAGAATGGCCAGGGGTAACCATATTGTATCTTAATAATTATCAAAATATGTAATATATCCATCTCAAATGAGCTCAATATGGTGCATCTAGTTTTGTTTTATCATATTAACCCTAATAAGATGTAGAAAAATGATTGATAATTCTTAAAACTCTATTTTCATTTAAGCTTCAGACGGTCCAGGGGTAACCATATTTTAGCATAATAATTTTAATACAAGGCATTAACATGACAAAATGTCACCACCTAGTTGCTCACAATATTATGAGTTGAAACTTAAGTCAGATTTGAATTTCTGAGAACTTGTAAAGTCAAATTTGAACTTCTGAAAAGATGTAGATGATTTTGAAAAAAAAATTTGGTCAATTTGAAGCAAGTTGAAAAAATACCTTTTTAACCTTTTTTGACCTTGAGAAGGTCATTAAAGGTCAAATGTCAAATCTAAAGTCAGATTTGAATTTCTGAGAACATGTAGATGATTTTGAAAAAAAAATTAATCAATTTGAAGCAAGTTGAAAAAAGACCTTTTTGACCTTTTTTGACCTTGAGAAGGTCATTGAAGGTCAAATGTCAAATCTAAAGTCAAATCTAAAGTCAAATCTAAAGTCATATTTGAATTTCTGAGAACATGTAGATGATTTTGAAAAAAAAATTTAGTCAATTTGAAGCAAGTTGAAAAAAGACCTTTTTGACCTTTTTTGACTTTGAGAAGGTCATTGAAGGTCAAATGTCAAATCTTAAGTCAAATCTAAAGTCAGATTTGAATTTCTGAGAACACGTAGATGATTTTGAAATTTTTTTTTAGTCAATTTGAAGCAAGTTGAAAACAGACCTTTTTGACCTTTTTTGACCTTGAGAAGGTCATTGAAGGTCAAATGTCAAATCTAAAGTCAGATTTGAATTTTTGAGAACATGTAGATGATTTTGAAAAAAAAATTTAGTCAATTTGAAGCAAGTTGAAAAAAGACCTTTTTGACCTTTTTTGACTTTGAGAAGGTCATTGAAGGTCAAATGTCAAATCTTAAGTCAAATCTAAAGTCAGATTTGAATTTCTGAGAACACGTAGATGATTTTGAAATTTTTTTTTAGTCAATTTGAAGCAAGTTGAAAACAGACCTTTTTGACCTTTTTTGACCTTGAGAAGGTCATTGAAGGTCAAATGTCAAATCTTAAGTCAGATTTGAATTTCTGAGAACACGTAGATGATTTTGAAAAAAAATTTAGTCAATTTGAAGCAAGTTGAAAACAGACCTTTTTGACCTTTTTTGACCTTGAGAAGGTCATTGAAGGTCAAATGTCAAATCTTAAGTCAGATTTGAATTTCTGAGAACATGTAGATGATTTTGAAAAAAAAATTTAGTCAATTTGAAGCAAGTTGAAAAAAGACCTTTTTGACCTTTTTTGACCTTGAGAAGGTCATTGAAGGTCAAATGTCAAATCTAAAGTCAGATTTGAAGGTCAAATGTCAAATCTAAAGTCAGATTTGAATTTCTGAGAACATGTAGATGATTTTGAAAAAAAATTTAGTCAATGTGAAGCAAGTTGAAAAAAGACCTTTTTTACCTTGAGAAGGTCATTGAAGGTCAAATGTCAAATCTAAAGTCAGATTTGAACTTCTGAGAACATGTAGATGATTTAGAAAAATATTGAAGTCAGTCTAAACAGTATTTGTTAAGTTATAGGAAGTTGTAAGAAATTGTTACAGACGCCGGACGCCAACCACCAACCACCAACCGCCGGACGCCGTCACAAAAAAACGGAGACCATAACAATATGTCACCACTTTTGGTGGTGACATAACAAGATATGTAATATATGCATCTCAAATGAGCTCAAAATGGTGCATATAGTCTTGTTTTATCATTTTTTTAGATTTCATTTTCATTTTCGCTTCTGAATGGCCAGGGGTAACCATATTGTACCTTAAAAATTTTTAAAATATGTAATATATCCATCTCAGATGAGCTCAATATGGTGCATCTAGTTTTGTTTTATCATATTAACCCTAATAAGATGTAGAAAAATGATTGATAATTCTTAAAACTCTATTTTCATTTAAGCTTCAGACGGTCCAGGGGTAACCATATTTTAGCATAATAATTTACAAGATATGTAATATATGCATCTCAAATGAGCTCAAAATGGTGCATATAGTCTTGTTTTATCATACCCCAAATAAGATGAAGAAAAATTATTGGACATTTCTTAAAAATCTGAAGTTTCTATAACCCTATTTTTAACATAATACTTTGCAATGTACATGTATATACATATGCATCTCAAATGAGCTCAAAGTGGTCAAATCATTTCTAAGGAGATGTAAAAAATGATCAGATTTTGATTTAGCTTTTGACTGGTTATAGGTGGCCTCATTTTACCATAACAACTTTCAAGATATGTCACATTTACAACTCAAATAAGCTCAAAATGGCATTTTGTCATATTCATATGTTCATATATTCATACTGAGATATAAAATGATAAATCAATGAAGTATTATATAAAGATATAAGGTTTAAGGACACTTGCATCACCTCTGGGTACACCTTCCATTCCTCCAAATCAGATGATCTAGAGTAGTAGTTAAATGCAGATGTGACATCGCATAGAATGATTGAATGAAAAACGGGGAGGGCTAAACTTTGGTCATGGCCAAGTGATCTTGCAATATCATGCGCAGCTAGTTATTGAATGGATTTTCTTTTACCAAATGCAATCCAAGATGTAGTGAGAACAAGAGGGAGCTGTCCTCCTTCCAGGCATCAACACTGAAACCCTCAAGAACATGGCAAGATGATAGTGACCAAGTAATGAAGACTGCTTCAATCATTGCTTAACAGTTGATTTTGATGTGGTTTATCCTGGTGGCAACTTGTGCTGAAAAACTGAAAATGTCAATTTGAATTGCATATGGTCAGGGGAAATCCTTCCAATATCTACCTGCCCACAATATTACAAGACCACTTGGCCATGACCAAAGTTTAGCCCTCCCAACTTTTCATGCAATCACTGGATTTGATATGTCACCTTTGCATTCTACTACTACTCTAAATCATCTTATTTGAAGGAATGGAAGGTGTATACCCAGAGCTATTGCAGTTGTTTTTAAACTTTGAATCTTTTTTTAGAAACATTGCAGTTGTAGAGTCATTTGTTATTCTGATGCATTCTAACCCACAGTTTCTATCACCACATGAATGTGGCTGGACTACTCCCACTGCTGATACTGAGGCCACAACATTTGAAAATTTAGGTCCTATGAGGCGGATATCTGTATAATAACAAAAGATGTTGCATCCGAGGCATGCAAAAAGACTTGTTTGATGTTTAAGGAGTGTTGAGGGAACATATGCAAATGTTTGAAATCATATCCCATTTGCTCTGGGCTATGTAGCTGTAGGGGAGACTGTCAGAATCTATAAATCCTGACCTGTTTGATTATGTTTTATGGATTTGGATTATATTTTCAAATGATTATACACAGAATCTTAACAATGCCACTACTCAGTATAAACTGGACTGTCAAACATTTTCATATCTTAGAAAAGTGCTCGATAAAACTATTGTAAAGTATTGAGCTACTGGTACTAATAAAAAGGAATAAATGGATGTTGAGATTCTTTATATGAATAAATAAATGTATGTTGAGATTTTTTATAATTTTTTTAATCATTATTTCTTATCTCAGAAGGAATAAATGACAAAACTTGACTATATTCAACATTTTTAGCTCATTTGAGTAACAAGTGTGATATATCTTTATTTAAATTATTACGGTAAAATGGCATCAAAAGCTAAGGCCGTAAGAATTAGATTCTTTGTTTTGCCTCCCCTTGCTTGCACGATTTTGAGTAAATCAGAAAAAACAAACACATCCAAATAGCAATCACAAGGGTCTGAAAGTAACATCGCATTTTATTCAATCAGAATCAGACGAAATGGCGGATAAATTGATGTGCGTCAAAATTGACAGTGTTATTGATTACTTTGGCATACATTGTGTATTTTCTTATTTTTACCCTTGAATAATAGTTATGTTTGAATATATTGTATAAAAAGTATAGATCTGTGTTTGTATCACTGCAAATTGGTATGTCATCCCTTTTAATGCCCATAAAATGTATACATTTCTCAGCAAACGAGTTTGTGTTTTTCTTGAGTGTGTGTTTGTTTTCCTTGTACCCTTGCATGATTTGGATTCTGCCAAGACGCAAAACAGAGAATCTAATTCTTATGGCCTAATATGTAAATGTCATTTTTTCAAATTTTTAAACATTTTTTACATTCCCTAGGAATAATATATGACAAAAGAAGATTAAAAATCCCTTTAAAGCTCATTTGAGATGCATATGTCTCATACAAATTATTAAGTTAAAATATGGCTACCCATGGGCCACAATAAGCTATAATGAAAATTTAGATTTTAAGAAATGTCAAATCATTTTTCTACATCTAATCAAGAGTAATCTGATAAAACAAAGCTATATGCATCATTTTGAGCTAATTTGATATGCATATATTACATATCTTGAAAATTATTAGGGTAAAATATGGTTACCCCTGGTCTTTTAGAAGCAAAATGAAAATTTGGAATTTTGAAAAATTTCCAAGAATTATTTTACATCTAATTAGTAATAATATGACAAAACAATGCTCTATGCATCATTTAGACCTCATATGAGATGCATACATTGCATATTTTAAAAATTATTAAGGTAAAATAAGGTTACCCCTGAGCTGCATGCACTTACAAATTGAAATTTCGAGAATTTTTTTCTCAAAAAATACACGAGCCACCCATGGTATATTTTTTATCTGTGATAAAAACTTAAAGCTCTACTACTATGAATTTTTCAGGACTATCAGACATCACATTCTTGAAATACAGTACTGGATGTCCCATATTTGGCCCTTTAAACAACGAAGTATTCTTAGATAATTGGGTTAAAATGAGTTTTTCTTGCTACAGACAACTTCTTAATTGGCTTTTACACAATTTCAAGGCTCAAACCAATCACCAAATAAAGTCATTTAAAGAAAAATACTTTAAAACCATTTTTATTTAATTTTAGTAATATACCCCTCCAAGTCTGGTAGGGACGGGGGGTCAGAGGCTAAAAAATCCATGAAGACCACCCCAAATCACTTGCCCTGAAATCATTTTTCACTCAGATCATATGATTCTACAACTTTGCCAAGTTTGTTGCTTTCCTGAAAAAGTCGAACAAAAAAAGGACATCTGACCCCGCTAATAATCTAGTAATTCATTATACTAGGATTATAACTGAAACTACTTACAGCTTGATGATGTTGTCTGGTGTCAACTGTGGAGTGCTAACATTCTGCCACTGTCCTAACCACAATATCATATTCTGGGGCGTCATAAAAAAGTTCTCTACAGTTGGCGGTTGCACAGTCATGACAAGCTGTGGGAACATTGTTGCAAACATCTGTGCATTCATGACAAGCCTCGTCCAATTGAATGGGCCTTCAAATTTCTCATTCATCAGACTTTTCTGAATCTATAAAAAAATATTTTTTTAGCTTTATAAAGTGGAGTGTTAAGAGTGATCATATTTTTTAAACCTTTATAAATAAAATCAATTTCATGCTTTAAAGATAAAATTTATATTGAATTATTTGATTATCAGAAAAAGTTCTCAAAATTGCACAGAAAAGTGATAAATCAATCTAATTAATAGGTGATTCAGCACTTACTGGTGCCATTATTCTGTCAAAGTCCACCTCAGCCTGTAGATCGCGAAGTACTGCCTGTATGTCAGCACTACAGAGTTTAGTCTTGATTTCCTGGGGCCCAGTACCTGCTGGCCAGTTCACCCCCTCACACAGGAATGTACCAATGTCCATTTGGCCCTGTAGCAGTTGGGTCACCTTAAAAGTTTGAAATTACATAAGGTGATAAAAGGAGATTTCATTTGTTACCAAACATGCTTGTAGAATCAAGGTAATGTAAGGAAATACAGGTATAAGAAGTTCAACCAAAATACATGTGGATAATGTGGAATTTACATGCAAAATGCCACCACCTGCCATTTGTTACAAATTATAAACCAATTGTGGTGGTGGTGACATAATAAATAAAATGGATTAATGATTTTATCTATAAAATAACTGATTGGTTGTGAGGCAAAACTATCTTCATTTTACTGAGAGGCTTCTCCTTAATAAGATTATAGGAGAAAGTAAAAATACTGGTTAATTGTGACACACTTGTCCAGAGCATACAAAAATGACCTTACCTTTGTGATTTCAATATTGGTTGCAATGACTGCCATCAAATCAGGTTGTATATTGATAACATCCCTCAGATAATCCTCTAGTTGGGTGGAATTTCTCAAAATGGACCAAAGTGTGATTTCTGTTCCTGATAGCTCAGTTACCCTACCATTTAACATCTCCAAAGCAATATTGAAACTTTCCAGGACAGGTCTGATCTCATCCCAGTACTCGGTTGCTTCGACGAGTGGCATTGCCTGAATGAGCCTGAAATAAGTGAATTGAATGCATTTTGTATGATCATTTTTGGTAAGAGGTAAGGGGGGGGGGTTACTAACTTACAAGTGAAATATGAGGTGCCAAAACATAAAGCATAACATGCATGATGTATGAATCATAATCTGATCAATAATAAAATTCACTTGGTTATTGCTCTTGGGATCCAATGTTTATGTCAGACCCAATAACATACAGGGTGGGCTAAAAACATTACGCTTATCATAGTCGTGTAAAATAAGAACATTTTCAGCCCACTCTGTATAACCATATAACTGTTAGTCATAAATTAATGAAATATATCAGTATTGAATTAATTGTTTTGATTAAATGATGGGACTCACAGATTAGTGATATCCTGTACTGGGTCGGAGGACATGCCTGGTAGCTGTACACTTGCCCAGGCAGCAGCTAAGTCACTGAAGCTCTGCCTCAAGCCGAGGAATGTTTCAATACTTGCAGGTAGTTGTATGGCTTGTAACATTTGTGGGAAGTCATTGATTACTGTTTGAATGTTCATCATAAATCCTGACCAGTTGAACGGTTCACTGAATGTCATGGATGGCTGCACCTAAAATACATGGAGATAAAAATGGTAGTGCATCAGACAACTGTCAAGATATTGACCAACAAAATAAGACTTTCAATATTGAAGGTCTAGCAATGTATGCTATATTCATACTCATTAGATGCACATGTTTACTGATAATCCATATGCACATTTTCAATCCGCACTAAATAATTCTTAACCTTTAATCAATATTGCTGTTAATCAAGATAAAAAATCACCTACATATATAATAACATCAAGTCTACGATCTACTCACCAGATTCAAGAACTTGTCAATAGAAATCTCAACCTGGATCTGTTGCAACAAAGTATTTGGATTTATTGAGCACAGTTTCTTCCTGATCTCTTCTGACACACTCGGCAGATCAATGTCCTGACATAGGTATGTTGTAAGATACATGGGGTTGTTTATCAGCTCTTGTAGCTAAAATAGGCGATATAGATACATCTTTATCATTTAATTTTATTCCTTACATTTCCAAATTCAAGAGAACTTATATTACAGAAAAAACTGTAACATTGCCCTTAACTGAATACTGCTAGAGATGCTTAAATTATCTACATTTAGAGGTGTACATTTTTAACTACAAACATTTAAAATTTCGCAAAAATATGTTTACACTTTGAGGCAGGCACATTAATAGGATGTTGAATGTCAATCTACTGTTTAAGACATAATTTTGCCTGAAATTCAATTTGAAGGGTATACACTTTCCCTAAATCATCAAATAAGCCATTTGAGTAGGCAAAGTATCTCTCAACCAGGCCAGAAGTTGAACTATGAGCTACCACTCACCTGGGTTCCATTCAACTGTACACTCAACAAAGATGTGATAACATTAGGATCAAGTTCAAGAATGGTCTTTAAATAATCCTGGAGATCTGTGGAATTCTGGAGCAGAGCCTCTAAGGTAAATTCTTCCATCGTTCCAATACGTCCCTTCAAGATTTCTACTGCTGTATTGAACACTTCCAAAGATTGTCTCAGCTCTGGTATGCTACTTAATACTCCATCAAAAGATGAAGCAGCTTGAGTAATCCTGAAATAAATGTTCCAGTGTGTCAATTACTGTACATGTATGACTGTTTCATTGAATATTAAATCATTTATTGTACTTGTAGTACGATGAATTTTGTTTCATTTTGACTAGCACCAAGCCCTTGTGACATCCTGTACACCTCATCTAAAATAGAGGGTCCTCAATGCAAGATTAACATGGTTCTCACAATTTGAACATTTATTTTTCCTACTGTATCCAATGGATAATAGGATAAAAGAACCGCCTTGTGTTTGATATTTACATGTAACATTTTCACTTATTCAAATATACTCACAGATTGACAATATCCTGTGTTGGATCACCTGACATGCCAGGTAGCTGTAAGTTGCCCCAAGCTGCGAGCCAATCTGTTAAGTTCTGGTTTAAATTGAAGAACTTCTCAAAAGTTGGTAGTTGGAAGGTTTGAATCATTTGTGGAAAGTCTGTTGTTAACAACTGGATGTTCGTCAGGAATTTATTCCAGTTAAATGCTCCACTAAATGTCACATTTGGTTGTGCCTATAAAACAATCATTTGATAGCATGGATGGATATTCATGAAAACATTTTCATGCAAAGCCTACCATAATAGTTCTATACACTATAGAGTATGGGATAAGTTAAGGTGCCATATGGCAGTATGACTTTAGAATGAGTATTGGGGATGTTAACGATGCGCCTTGATAGTGTGTTTAAAATTCCAATAAACATTCAAAGTGGTCTGAATCTCACAAAGTCTAGCAAACATAGTGTTATACAAGTGGCATACCCAGTTGTGTGAACCTTACAAGAAAAAATTAAATTATTGTGAAAATTTTTGTACTTTGTTGTTTTTTCTTCTAATACTCCTGCCGACTTATAACTTTGTATTGTAAAATCTTGAAAAGGAAAAAAATAAAAAAAGAACCTTACAAGAATTAGACACCACCTACCAGTTTAATGAATCGTTGAATGTCCGGTTCAGCCATAACCTCTTCCAATAGTGTATCAGGATTGATGGAGCACAGCTTTCCTCTGATATCAGATGTTGCATTTGGTAGGACTCCATCTTCACATAGCATTGTTAAAAGAGACATTGGATCACTCAGCAAATTGTTGATCTAAAATCCCAAAATAAAATTTTCTTAAAATTCACACTAAGCTCACTTAAACTATAATCTGAATAAGCAATTTTGAATTGTGCATTCTGCTAAATTATACCTATACCACATCTGGTTAAGAATTTACTAAAAAATAATGTAAATTAATTCTAAAAAATTGATCTTACTTGTGCTGGGGTCAATTGTGTAGTCAACAATGAGGTCACAACACTTGGGTCGAGTTCGAGAACAGTTTTCATATAATCACGAAGAGTGGTTGCGTTTTTAAGCAAATTCTCCAAAGTGAATTCATCCATGGTTGAGAGGCGTCCTTGTAAGACATCCATAGCTGCGTTAAATCCTTCCATAGCTTGGCGGAGTTCAGGAATCAAATCAAACACTCCATCCAGGGAAGATACACTCTGAGATAATCTGAAGAGAAATATAGGTGAGTTGAAATCAATGTATGGCTATAATAATATCAACATGTCTCTGATGTCTCTGATTGGTGACTGGGAGCCTTGCTATATTGTAACAACAGATTTAAATACTTACATATTGAGAATATCCTGTGTTGGGTCACCTGACATGCCAGGTAGCTGTAAGTTGCCCCAAGCTGCAAGCCAATCTGTTAAGTTCTGATTCATATTGAAGAACTTCTCAAAAGTAGGCTGTTGCAAGGCTTGCAACATTTGTGGGAATTCTGTGCTAAACATTTGAATATTCATCACAAGTTTGGTCCAGTTGAATGGTTCAGTGAATGTTGTATCTGGCTGTACCTATAAAAAAAAATTTATGCAAAAATAAGAAGTAAGCTAATTGAGTATGCTCAAGGTGCTTCTACATGATTCAAACCACCAACCTCTAATGTACAATTGCTTTGCCTACCTATCCATTTTGGTCAATGCCGCAACTTGATAATATCTTAACATGTTCATATCGTTAGTAAAACAATTAAACCAGATTCTGAGAATATGATATCCTGTGAACTATGATAACAAAGCATTAATAAGCAAAAAGTCACCACCTGCCATTTGTTACAGACACCATACCCCACATGCCAGATGCTGACAGTCAGATGCCAAACATCTTATGCTGGTGGCATAGCAATGTATGACTTGCATACTTATTTATACCCTGGTGATCTCTTACCAATGTAATAAACGCTGTGACATCAACTTCAGCTTGCAGTTCAATGAGAATATCATCAGCGTTTATAGCGCACAGTTTATCTCTCACAGAAGAGGAGGCGCCTTGTAAGGCGAGATCTTGGCACAAGAAGGTCACAATGTAAGTAGGATATGTCACCATCTGATTTACCTTAAACAATACATAACCATTCAATTACATAGGTGCATTCACGATGAGCCATTTTTTATCATTCATTTATCATAAAATATTCTACATTGTACATATTTTACAAAAATGAATTTAATTTCAAATTCTAATTGCAAATAACATCCAAGCTTAAGACAAAATCATAACTGTTTTAGGTAATATGAAAACACATACTTGAGCTGGGGTTAACTGTACTGCTAACAATGACTCTACAACATTAGGGGCTACTCCTACAACATCTCTCAAATAGGTCTTCACCAAGGTGGCATTTCTTAATAAACTATCCAATGTCAATTCAGTCATTCCTTCTAGGCGTCCTTTAAGGATGTCGGCTGCAATGTTTACTCCTTCCAAACTTTTACGCAGTTCAGGGCTTAACATCAGAATACCATCGAGTGATTTCAGTATTGATGCAAGTCTACAAAACAGTTTTGATTCATATTAAGTTTACTCTAGAGAGCAGCTGTGTTAAAATTCTGTATTTTGTTGTTATATTTTGAGAAGTCAGTGGAACATGAATTCAAATACAATGAAGGTCCCCTCTTAATATTAATGAATGTATTTGAGGACGTTTGCTCTGAAAATGTATTCCATATTATATTTTTGTTAATCTTATTCAACGCTAATACTGAATGTCTACAGACAAGGTATTGTTAAAGATACTCAAGGCCATCAATCAATTAATGCCATTCACCAAATTTCTGTCCCAAAATAATTATGGCTATAGCAACGTCACAGTTTGTGGTTTAGAATACTAAATATCCTTGGGTGATATATTTCTTAAATACAGTACCTACAAAATAGTTGCAAGAAAATACTTACATGTTTGTATCCAGAGTTGGAGAGAGGAAAACATTGTACCAATATTGTACAACCATGCTATTGTTCAATGCTTCCATGGAAACATCAAAGAACTTGGCAATGTCATGGTCATTGTACTTGATGGATTTGATGTTGAACAGTTTAGCAATGTTTTCATAGAGTTTAATCATGGTCTCTAGGTAACTACGGACGTCCATGGGTGGAGGATTTGAAACGACTGAATTAATCTGAAAACAGAAATAAAGTTATCAAAGAAATAGGTTATTCTGTAATGACATGACACGATGACAGCAGACGCAATGGATTTGTGATGAAATGCATATCCTTCAATGTTACACCTTGTGTTTTTGTCTTCTTTTTGGGATTTCTTTTTCTTCATGTATACAAACATGCTAAAATGCATTTAAGAAATATAGTTTCTGAAGTACACTTATACCTGCATCATTATGTTCTGTACGTAATTCTGTTCCAATTCATCAACTAAGACAGTTTCATTTATTCCACACAAGGCACCAGTAAAAGCCCCTGTGTCAAAACTGGGAGGCAAAAAGAAGTATTCTCTCAGCTTGGCCTCGTTACAGAGCAGTTGTTCCACTTGCGCTGGCATGAGAGATGCTAATTCAGCAGCCTGGAATAATTGTTGATCATGATGAATTTAAACGTGAAGTAGGTTTTTAGTCAAATGTTTTGAATCAGAAAATCATTAACAGTACAATATTTCATGGGATCTTTGTATTAACATGAACAATTGAACATGTATGTTATAATATTGAATATTGAGAAGGTCTTTGGTTTGGGTTATCTTATTTTTGTTTGATGATAAACTATTCATATATGGACAAAGCCTACCTTTTCTTGTCTGAGAAAAGTCGCAGCGAGCAATGCACTCACAGCATCAGGACCAAGGTTGAAAGCAGATTCTAATATTACAGCAATCCTTGAAGAGTTCTTGAAAAGCCTTGCTACATTTATCTCTTCACTGTTGATGTATAGCATGTTGAACATGTCATTCACGTAGTCCAAGACCACTTTCATACCATCGTAGGTGGGCTTCACCTGTTGCCATAAGGCATCCTAAGAGAGAAATTGGATCATAAGATACGCAGTAGGTACAAATCTAGATATTGTATATGTGACCTTAAAATGTGAGATCAGAAACGTGTATCAAGCAATTTTTTTGTAAAAGAATATGCATGCTCTTTTACAAGAAGATTGTGTTTGATATCAACCCCAAGATGGAAAAGAAAACTTGTTATTATTAATATATATGATTAAGGTAGCTTTTAAAATGTTAAGAGACTTCTTTATTCCAACTTTAAGTAATATGTGTTCCAGAAGCAAAATCAGGTGTACAAATTCATTTAATATATCACCATAATGGTGTCAAACAATGATCTTATACAATGGTGCCATTCAATATTGTCTCTGTAATAATGTCATACTGAAAATCAGAACAGATCTTTACTTTCAAGAAACTTACTTGTTCAATCGCCTGATAGAACGATTCAATAATTGGAATGTATTTTCTTATATCATTGATCTGCATCAGATTCAACTTGGCCACATACTCCTGCAGTATCCGTGAAACTTCTGCCTCATCAATAAATGGTACTTGAAAGTTTGGCGGATTTGATATTAAGTTTTGGAATATCTTATTAAACTGATCTATATGATACAGGAGGGTAGTAAGATTTCCAGTTGGCGTTTGGCTTCCAGAAGGAGCTGTAAGCAGTTGCATGATCTCTAGACCACCGATCTTAGCGAATGCTTCCATCCAGATGACAGTCTCGTTAGTTTCGCAGATCAACAATTTTACCCTACTGATGTTCACATTTGGTGGAAGTTTGAAGATCTCTGCTAGGTCATAGTTTTTGTCGCAGAATGTCTTAAATCCTTCAGGGTCAAGAGCAAGACTGTATAGAGCACCTGGGTTGTTAATCTGTGCTGTGAGGATTGTTTCCAATATATCTGGGGAAAATTCTGCCACGGCTGTGACCCGTTCCCGCCATGCTGGCTCATTAGCAAATACGTCCTCCAGTGTGAGTGTCCTTCCTGGCCAATTACCCAGAATTCCATTCATATTTTTCACAAGGATTTCGATCGAAGACACAATTGGATTTAACATTGGATCTTCAACAAAAGGAGTAAGTGCCAGACCGAGACCCTGTAAACTCCTGAAAAATAAATAAATGTCTGATTAAAAAATGATGCGGCAAATATATTTAAACAAGAACTAATAAAACATGGAATATATGTGGAATAGATATACTACCAAATTTTTTGCGATGAATTCCTGCCATTTTCAAAGCAGTTACCATATTGAAAAAACATAAAGAAAATCCATCAACTAGAATTGAAGTCAGACAGACAGACAGATTGAATGACTGGTGTGCATCTCCAAATATTTAAATATACCGCCTCATATGATTGTTTACAAGCAACGGAACAGTACAATCTTTACACAAAGATCAATTTTGACTAACATTTGGACATCCACACCATGTAGGTAGATTATAAATTGATTTTTATTTCTAGTCATATTGTAAAATCTGAGTGATGAAGTTGATAAAAACATAAGTGAACAGTGTAAATCATAGTCATTAACATGTAGGAATAATTTTGACATTTTTGAGTCATTTTGGATTGAGTTGAAAGTTACTTGATAACTAGCTATTGTGGTAGTATTAAAACTGACATTTTATATCAAAGTTAATTACAAACATCTGCACATGAACATGTCAATCTCTTAATTCAAAATGGGGAGTCAGACTGGATACAAGACAAATGTTATTCCATCAATTTCACCACCAGGTTACTGAATCAAACATTTACTCACGTGTCCAGTGGGTTAACTGACTGCTGCATGGCATATTGGGTAAGCACTGAAAGCCAGGCTGTCTCATTCATCCACTGTTCAACTACAAATCCACCAGCTATACCTGACTGTATAAGCTGTTCTGTTAGGGTGCCTAGGGTTATGGCTTTCATAACAACCTCTGTAAAATTAACAGGTTGGCTCATCTTTTCCTGCAAGAATAACATTTGGTTCTTTAAAACATATATTCCATATATGGTTCTATTATTAACCGAGTAAAAAGTGACGTCTAATAATTATAGGATATCCTTTGATTTTGAGGAATATCATTTTTATCTACGAGGTGATATTGATATCTGCACGAGAGAGCAAAGCGAACGAGTGCATATATCAATATCACCGAGCAGATTAAAATGATATTCTGAAAAAATCATAGGATGTTCTTATTATCCTACACTTACAAGGAGTGTACTAAATGTAGAATATCATTGCAAAATGAATTTCATGCCAAATAGAGTCAATTTGGCGGGAAATCAACAAGCGGAGTATATCGTCACAATATCCTCCGCATATTGGGTTTTCCGGAGTATATCGTCACAATATCCTCCACCCGGAGTATATCGTTACGATATCCTCCGGATATTCATTTTGCCAATAAATATCAAATTTATTTTTTAATGTTATTATACATTTAGTACACTAAGTGTAGGATAAGACATTAAATCAACATTATAAGGTTTTAGAAGGTTAAACAAAATAATAGAGCTTTATATAATGGAGATCATTCAATTTCTTCAAACAGATTTTGGAGTGTACAAGACGTTGTTTTATGCGAGTATTTCCTATCTGGGCTTATATTTGCAAGATATTACCATGACAATTTTCCCTTAATAAGAGAAATAAAAAAGCATTTTACTCACCATTATGTAAGGATTGTACATTGATATCTTGAACTCCTTATCCAATTCAACAGCCAGTTGGGTGATATCAACCTTGCAGAACTCTTGAGTGAGTGCTGTGAGGTCAATGCCCCTGCCCTCGGGGACGACTAGGTATTCATCAATGTTGAACATGGGGTTGTAACAGATATTCACGAGGACCACAGTAGCATTGGGTTCACTTAGCAGCTCAATAAACTGAAACATTTTCTAAATTAATATATTGCTTTTTTCTCTTTCATAATGTGAAATAAAACTTATATGTTTATAAAATATTGAGTATGCAAGTATTTGAAGTACATGTCCATCACATCTGTCATTTCAGGCGATATCCTTAATGAATCTGATCAGCAACAGCAACTTGTAAATGACAGATACCTTATATATATTATATATACTTTTAGCCTTGGAAATCAGGACTAGGAAAATGCCAATTGGGCAATTGACTGAAAAATTGTGGCAATCATGTTAAAAGTTTGAGGCTCACATTTGAAATTGTTTACCTTTGGATTATTAACAGAACCCAGTAAAATCTCTGTTATTTCTGGTGACTTGTCAAGAAGTTTTATAAGTTTTGTTATCTCAGGGGACTGCTTGAATAACTGCTTCAATTGTATGGCTGAATCTGGAAAGGATGTGAAATATGTGATATGAGCTATGAAATATGTGAAACTAAGTTCTTAATATGTGTATGTAAATATAAGTGCTAAATATATGATACATGCAACTATGTACAAAACATGTGAAACTAAGTTTTTAATATGTTTATGTAAATATAAGTGCTAAATATAAGATACATGCAACTATGTACAAAACATGTGAAACTAAGTACCAAACTAGGTAAAAAATTTGGAAAACAATAGGTAAACTAAGCATGAAATATATAACTTATCATGAAATGTAAATGAGAAAAATGGGAAAACAAGTAGAAAATGGGAAACTGCAATTTCAATTTGTAAATGCCACCAATCATATAACAAACAGTAAAACCTGTCTTAATGAACGCCTCTCTCTTGTGAACACCTGTGTTTAAAGAACATCACTTCAAGACATATTTTATACTGACTCCTGTATAAAATCCCCTCTCTGTAGTGAACACCTACCTACAGTGAATGTTTTTCATAGATGCAGAGGTGTTCACTTTATACAGGTTATATTATATTAACACTTACTGTTAAGTCCAATGATTTTCTCTATAGCTATATCCATTGCAAAGTTCAGAGGGTGTAAGACATTGTTCAAAGGGTTCGTAATCTCAGGAGGGAGGAATCCAATCACACCTTGTAAGGCTAATAAACTGGAATACAAAAGATAATTTTTTGTTTATTTCAATCCTCCTTAAATGTGACATAAATTTTCTCTTAGGATACAAAAATTGTTGAAATCAAAAGAAGACGAATGAAGCGAAAAGTTAGAACACACTAGGCCTACAAGGCATTAACTTAACAAAAATGCACAGTCTGCAAATCGTTCCAAAAGTATAACTGATACTGACAACGGATACTGGAAGCAATCTATTTCATAGTGAGTAAAGAGAATAGTATTGAAAATCAAATATAATACCTCATGAAATCAAACAAATCAACTTTAATACCTTGTGAAGTCAAATTCCTGTCCAATTGGTGCAGGCGTACTGACGCTCTGGAAGAACTGATTGAAGACCTCTGCCCAACGTTGTGTATTAAACAACCCCATCAGTTGGAGCTCTGTGGTGGAGAGAGAGCCATTCATACTCTGACTTATAAGCTTTGTCATCAAGGTTTGGACAGAGTTCAATTCATTGACAAATGTTGTCGAGTTTGGTGGAGACATCAATGCTGGATCACCCTAAAAATCGACCATGAAAAGTGCATATTGAACGTTACTCAGACTTTATATCATTCATAGTTATAGTAATACATAGTGATTTACTTTAATGTGTATAATTGTCAAGAAATGTCTATTCAGAATGTTTTTGTGGTTTGATTATCTTATTATTTAGCATACAGCCATTGTGTTGCTTGATTATAGGTACATATGGTACAACATACTATATTGCTTGTTGGTTGACATATAAAAGTTGCCCATGAATACCAAAGTACCCTCACAGGTCTATCATTGACACACCTTTGAGTATCTGGATCATTTGCTTTGAGAAGTATTCCCATGAAATCTCACAAGGAAATGACTGACTTACATTGAACACATTGTTGAATGCTGTCTCTAGCTCTCCTCCTATTGCATTGAAGTTAACAGAACAAAACAAGTCCCTAATGCTGACCATATCAATGGAGTAGCCCAATGGGATGACGAATGAATCAGCTAGGTCCTGGTCAGTCATCCCACATAGTACAATGAATATAGAGTCAATACTCGCGTTCTGAAATCTAGCCGATACCTTACCACCCTGGAATGACAAGTATATGAATTGTACATATTGCTGTTGGTAACTTGAGTCCGGCAGGCCCACAATTGAAGTGTAGCAGTAATTCATGGTAATAGAAAAATAAGATATATATGTATTTTATGTTGAATTCCATCCAAAACTTCAATAAGGTACTAAAGACTAAATATGAAGTCTTGTGTTATGTCTTACATTTCCTCTCCAATTTCCGGATTAAGGGTAAAGAGGAGGGGAGGGTACAAGACTAGAGAAAATTGTCTTATACATGTGCATACCTTTTGTGGGTCCACTAATGTATGCATAATGACACCCAGCAATTCAGGGGTTGAATCCAGTACTTGTAGCAGCTTCTTAAACTCAACAGAGTCTTTGTAGAACAATTCTATTGAACCCAGTGGGTTACCTGGAGAATATACAATGGATTATCTATTGAAGTTATTTGGTAGTGGGTTTTTATGGTCTCAAATGATTGGGCTTTAACATAGAAATAAATACTTAGACTTAGTTGTGCCCTTCAATGTCAATTTTGTTGGAACTCATTCTCATTTTATCCAAAAGTAATGTCTTTATTTTATTTATTATTTATTTATTTATTTTATTTTATTATTTTTATTTATTTAATGTCTTTATGCATCATTCACTTCAAGGCCTTCTAGTTGAACAACTCTCACGGCTCATGCAGCAATTCAATGACTTTCAAAACAATATTGGTACATTCAACTTTACAAGTACTAGATCCAAATCTTGGCGATACACATCGAAGTTACTTATTTGTGTATTGGTGTATATCTGTAGTGAAGTTTTCCTACCTTGTATGACCAGTTGGATGTTTTCTCTGACAATTGACAGCATCACTTGGATGGCTGCAAAGTTGTACCTGTCTGCCTCTGCCATGTCTGGTGTAACAAGATATGTGGCCAGGAGTTGTTCCAGTTGTGTCGTCACTACCATCAGACCAGAGAGGTCCCCTGAGTTTAATTGCTCAGTCAATCTGAAAAACCAGTGTGTTTGTACTATCTAGTATATTTTACATATGAATCTTACTTTCGAGTCTAGATTTGAAAAATTAATCTTTTTTTGAAATTCTTTTGGTATCTGAGTAGTCCATGGTAATAAAACTTTCAGCATACCATTCAATGGGTGAGAATACATACTTGAAACAGTTACTATACACTTATTCTTGTCTATATAAACCTGGCTGCAAGTGGTTATTGCCAGCTTCAACACCAGGTGGCTCACTCAGTTGGGTCTGATAAAATTGTGCTTACGCTTGAATATAAATAGATTCATTGAACCAATAATTCTAAAATAAAAAGAATATTATCTGTTCAGAGGTATTTTCTGAACAAAACAAGTAACATTCCAACAGGTTTTCTATTTCTGCAATGCATAAACAAAATATGGCTTGGCACAAGAATCTGCAAAATCTTGTATTTTGATAAATTTTTGCAAATTTCCAACAGAAAAATTTATAATATTTGTCTAAATCTCATCTAGAACTCCAGAGCAGAACTATTTCAGAAATCTGGGAGCATTGAAGTACATTCCTAACTATTAAATGTTTTACATGATGTTTTTAAAAGTAATTCATAAATAGATGTCACTCTTTTAAATAAACTTAAGTACATATAAATATTTGATAACCTTTAGAGAACTTGTATGACTCATCAATATTCATAACTTCTGAGAACTGCTTAACATTAAACACAACAATGAAGTCTTTACTTTTCATTTCAACTTGATTATTCAAAGTAAAAATGGCTACAAATGTAAATGATCATTACAAAACTGCTCTAAATTGCGCACTATGTAAAGACATTCTAACTGACCCAAGGACACTGCCTTGCTTACATTCCTATTGCTTAAAGTGTCTACACAGCCTTGTGGAGAAAAGTGGCCTAGAAGGAGGAAGCTTCAACTGCCCTGAATGCAGAGATTTATGTAATGTACCACAACAGGGGGTTGGAGAATTCAAGGTGAGCCCTACAATTACATTCTTGCTAGATGCCTATAAGGACAGTAACCAGACCCAAGAGCCAGATTGTTCAACATGTCTAGACAACTATGAGAAAAACACTCCAGCCAGAATCCGGTGCCTAGATTGCAACAAGAGATTCTGTGCTTCATGCCGTAAAATGCATGATACATTTTTACAAGGACACAAAGTACTTGACCTCATAGGAGATAGCGCAAATGATTTGCAAACAGCCTTTCAGATGGTAAAAGAGCGCACAGTTTACTGCAAGATACATCCCACCAAGCCTATAGAATACTTCTGTAAAGCTGATAAGACTATTCTCTGCCAGTCTTGCTTTACCATCAACCACTCGGGTCACCCATGTGAAGACATCAATGAGACTGCTGCTAAGAATGTGAAACACATTGGTGCAGCTATAACACAGGGGAAACAACTTGTGGACGCATATGAGCAGGCCATTCAAAACACACAGGCTGATAAATCTAAATTTGAGAGCAAAACAGAAAACGTCTTGGCTGAAATCAATAATGATATGATTGTTTTAAAAGAGGCTGTAGATGCTAAATACAAGTCCTTCAAAGAGCAAGTGGTAAAGGAGAAGCAAACATACGTTAAGCAAGTCATGTCTCACATTGGTCACTTGGAGCTCAATAAAGCCATCATTGAAAGTCAAGTCAACAAATTCAGCACCATGGTAGAGCATGGACATCCTGTAGAAATAGCAGACCTTGCTGAGAAAGCCAACCAGAAGTCAGATGAGTGGACAAAGAAGCCCAAGCTGAAATTCGATGAAAAAACTAATATGCAATTTAAAGTAGGAAGGTGTTTGGATACCAAGGTTGAATTTGGAAAAGTCTCGATCTTGTTGCATGAACCATCTGTACAGAAGGTAAAACTGCAAAACAAATACATATGGGACATGATTTGCACTTCGAAAGACCGATTAATAGTAACAGGGCAAGATGACTCTTCAGTTGCGATATATGATAAAGACCATAAGTTGGAGAAAGATTTAAAGGAAAAATGTAACAATGTTGTACGAACAAAAGAAGATGAGCTGGCATTTACAAATATGACTAACACAATCCACATTTTGCTGCCAGATGGTACCCACAAAAGAAATCTTGTCTGCAAAGGAACAAATGATCTTCGAGGCATAAGTATAAACTCAGCAGGTGAGATTGTTGTTGGTGATCGTTATTCAAAAGCAGTATTCTGTGTGGATGCTTCAACAGGTGAAGCTAAACAGCAATCCAAGGCAGGCATGTTTATGGACCCAATCTATGTGGCATGCAATAGTAAAGATATCGCTATAATCAGCGATATTGAGGGACACTTTGTCAAAGGAATTAATAGAGATGGCACTGAGGTGTTCACATATGGAGAATCTGGTGATGGAGAGGGAGAACTGTACAATCCACATGGAGTATGTACCGATGCTGAAGACTACATCTTTGTGGCAGACTGTAGCAACCAACGTGTACACATGCTAGATCCACATGGTAGATTCATGAGATATGTGTTAACTGAGGAAGATGGGGTGAATCAGCCACATGCAGTAACGATCGATCATGATGGTAACCTTCTTGTGGGGGATACAAATGGCAACCTCTTCATTGTGAAGTACAGAGGATAAGGTACAAACTACATCTATTTTATATACAAATTTGATATTTCAAGACATCCATGCAAATCAAAATGTGTAAGTGTTAATAAAATTTGATTTCATTTGTTAGAAACCATTCTCATAAGGGAGGAGATAACACTTCAATGTACAAAGTTAGCTGTCAACTAAAGTAGCTTTAACTCTTCATGTTTGTTGTTTTGAGCACTGATGTTGAATGTTGATGGTTATGTTTGTGTGTTTGAGTTCTCATCAATTCGCTATTCCTTTACGTAGAATTCCTATTACATGTACATGGATAATACTACTTTCATAAAATTCATATTTCGTTTTAGTCCAGAATCCTGAGAAAATGTAGACATGTAGCGTAACAGTGGACAGTTAATGTAACACTAGCAGTAACTCAGTTGAACCTCACATCTACGTAACCTGTGTGGGCCCTACTCATCTTCCCACGCTCGGTCTTCACTGCATTCCGACGGAAGCCGAGTGAACGAAGATGGGCCCTACTACACATGCCATAGAACAGTCTGCACTGTTAAATATATGGACAAGATACATTTTGTACTAGAAATAATGGATAAAAGAACAACTGCTACTATACAATGGACTATGGGGCTTCGAATAGGTAACACATATACTCTTAAACAAGTTGTGTCCCATGAGTTCAGAAGTTAAAGAGATTTAACAGGATGCGGACAAGTTTAGAAAGTCGCAAGTTTACAATATCTTTTGCTCTCGTCATTATGTATGTCCAATAGTTCTGAATTTATTGCAGGAAAATCCTTTGATTTTTAAGGTTATCTGTCAAAAATTAATTTTAACATTTCTGCATTCTAATTCTTTAAAAACTTTTGTGTGTTCAATTACTATATTAGATCAGATATCTCAATTATTTTTGTAAAGATTTTAGGTGAAACATTGGCCTTCCTCCTCAGCAGGTATTTAGAATCCGTACCTCCTTCTTCCCCCTGGTATAACCAATTTGGAAGCGTCCAATTAAACTGAGTCACGTGATCTACTTATGCGCAATGACTTATACATGATTTCTGTTGCAGTGTTGCGACAGCCAATCAGATTGCGAGTTCTTAATCGGGGAAATGCTATCTGCTTATCGCAGGGGGTAAAAAGAAAGAATATATTCTGGATTTTGAAGCCCTGTGATCGGAGGATGAACATTGGCATGGTTTTGAACTTCCATTGTGTTACACTCTATCCCTTCTAATTTCTTAAATATTCATGATATATGCTCAGTGTTCTCCCCAGGATTTTTTCTCAAGTGGGTGCAAAATTCCTGATTTCACAATTTAGACCAAATTCGGTCAAAATATGCCTATTTTTCATGAATTTTCTCAGTTTCAAGTTTCACTGTTAATGCTTGTCTTGTAAAATTACATAGTCAAAACAATGCTGGCATTTCTCATGCTGATCAACTGAATATCAAGCACAATTTCATAATACGACATTCGTACATGTATGATTTTTAAATGTTGCCCATAAGTTATCAAATTAGTGAATCAATTATCCAATTGAAAAAATGAGGTGCTTATATTAGCTCTCTGATCATAGATCAGGGCCTCACACTCATATCTTAAACCATTGAAACTGTTAGATTTGCAAGCCTGCAAATTTTCTAGCGACATTGAAACATGAATCAATGCAAACCCTTATATTTCAGTAAGGGGTGAACAGTCCAAAAAGACCTAGTGGTGAAACTTATTGATACCATTCCAGTTTATAGTGTTTTAGTTGATTATTAACAAAATGAGCTTTACATACCTATTCAAGTATGCAGGGTCAGCTATTAATCCCTCGGTGAGTTTGGAGGCAGCTAGCAGAGCCTCCAATATGCCTGAATACATTTCTGTCATGTTACCAGCAGACACGCTCAATACATTGGTCAATACTGTCTCCAACTGGTTTGTTATGCTCATCAAACTAAAATGTTGAATCAATGAAAATAATTATTGTAATGCAATAAAGTAAAAAGTAGATTAGTAGAAAAGTAGATTTATTTTATCAATTAAATAAAATATTTATATCTGTTTTAACTGGTTAATGTACAAACAAGACTTCCAGGCTTGAAAATATTTATTGTGCAAGTAAATGTTGTTCATATTTGCTACAATAACCAGTCTTCCAAATTTAAACCATTTTTCGACAAAGTCCTATGGTTAAGCAATTTTGAATGTCACAAACACCCTGAATTGAAGATGTGATAAAATTGTTTTGTAATTCTTCTCAACATACCTGTCCAAAAAGGCAGGATTAGAAAGATCCTGATTCAAAGACTCAAATATTTTGTTCCACATGGCCGGGTCGAGCCACATCTGGTTAGCAATGAAAGAGACTTCTCCCGTCATTACTTTTTCAACCAATGGCTGCAATCTCAATAGTCGATCCAGCATCTCTTGGATATTAATAGGTCCAAGAGCAGTGTAGTTAGCACTGAACTAAAAAATGAAATATATGATATATATGTTTTTGTAATGACTGTATAATTGTATAATGGAAACTCTTGTACACATTTTGAGTTGAAATCAATCTTATTCAAGTGGCAATATCATTTTCTGTCATTTTATATTGATGCCAATTTGATACAGTTTGCATGTTTATAGAGAAACTCGGTCAAAATGTATGCAAATGATTCTCCGAGAAATAGAATATTGTATCACTTATTTGTATCAGTTTAATGTGCTTTGTTTATCATTATTTACTGTTTATAGCCAAAGTGTATGTAATCTTGTGCTATAGTGTCGCTACACTATACTGTATATATATGGGGCTGATGTTTACTCTTGATTTTCTGAATAGTTATGTTTATTTTTACAATGTGGACACTTACCAAAGCATTGTAGTCATTAGTCCCACTGAAGTCTGACGCTTCTATCATAACTTGGTTGAAATCCAAGGTGCATAACGAGCCAATCAGATCTGTTATATTCTGGACAATAGAGTCTGGAATACTGAACAGAACTGAGGGCTCTGTTGTACAAAGTTGCTCTAAACTTGTTATACTGGAAATCTGAAAACAATTAAAAGATGTAAAACTATTGTTGCCTTGACATATCAGGTTTTTTCAATATGTTTTTGGAAATACTACGTAGTCTTTTTAAAACTATGTCTAATTAATGAATCTTATTAATTTATACTGGCTCACTTAGATTGTGGCATTTGTTAAAGGCCCACAACCGAATAGAATGAAAATGTACCAACAGACTAGCAATTATAGTTCTCTAGAAACGACTGACTACATGTACATTGCATTTTTAGCTTAACATTTGATATAGTTTGATTTTTATATTTTATAACATTTAAAGATGTCTCTGCTTTGAAAATTTGCATTTGTGTAACATACTTTACGTAGTGCTAAGTAAATACATCAACAATGCAAATATATAAACTGTTTAATGTTTCAATTACAAAGTACACAGTGAAACTGAGATTGAGAATGTAGTAGATAATTCAAAATCGAAACAAATGGCCATTATAGTCAAAACTTGAAAATCACAAGCACAGTACAAACAAGGATCGACAACAAATAATAAATGCCTAAGCCATGATCAAACTACACTCCCATTTTCAAATATTTACATACAATATTTCATATTTAAAGTACTTACAGCATTTGGTTTGAATATGGCTGTACGTAGCACCACATGTACTACATCGGGCAGGTGAGTCAGGACCCTCAATAACTTGGGCAATTCTCTGTATTTGGAGACCATCTCATCAATAGATTCACCTCCAGCTGGAATGTAACATTGCTCTTTTAAACATAATCTAAACATTTCAAGTCATTTCATCCAGATAAGAGGCAAATTAATAAGATATAATCTTTTCACATAAATTTGCCAAATATAAATCAGGCACTTGGTATCACCATTCAAATGTACAATCTTCCATGGCTCTGTCTTGAATAGAGAATAGACAAGTACTGCCAGGGTAGTTTGTCAAATGCAAATGAAATCATTCATCAAAAATTCAACAACAAATAACAGGAAAAAATAACATTTGAAAAATTCAGTGTTCAACTAGTTTTTATACATGATTGAGTGACTTACCTATATATTTGGTGAGATCTGCATGGAGCATATCAATGAATGCATTTGCTAGGTGGATGTTCTCTTTAATACCAGGGGTCTCCAATAGAGGGCCAAGTAGAGGTTGTAAAGCGGGCAATACACCTGCGCTCACTTCAGATATTATGTCAACAATGCTGTAAGAGATTTCAAAAATGATTTGAATTGTAGAGTTTGATTTTTTAATAAAATGTTGTAAGTAAAAGAAAATCATTTATCTGATTGGGAATGTGGTATTGTAAATGATATTATTATTAGCATTAATGTTGTGAAAGGAAAACAGACTGAATTATGAGGTAAATTAAACTAAAACCATTGCATATGATATAAGACACATACAGTGTATAAGATGCTTTTTAGGAACCAGAGCTAATGAATGAAATGTAAGAAAATAACAATATGATAAGTCAACTGACACAAAAATGAATATTGATTAAAAAGCAGACGTAGATCTCCTTATTATATTGCGACTTACTTTGTAGCATTTTGATTGTCTGCAGGCATAAATGCTTGAGTGAACCTGTTCAAGATGGCTAACCATACAGATTGGTTCATCCACTGGGACTGGAGGTCATACTCTAACATTAGAGGACTCTCAGCAAATGATGTCCATATACTGATATACTCATCTATCGTCTTACCAAAATCAGAAATCTTTGCGACATCTACATCCGCAGGTGGATTGGTCAGCTGGAAATAAAACAATATATTATCACTGTCGTGGTTAATCAATTTTTATAATTATATTTTGTGATTTGAAGTAAGAACATATTCCTGGCCATATGGTTTGCTATGGTATGGTATGGATATTAATCATTTCTAATAACTAATATTCGCCAAATTTTATGATTAATTCTCAAAAATCAACTTTTATGAGATCTTTGGATCTAGATCCAAAATTCTTGGAGAAAATAAAAAGTTTGAGGGAAAACAAAAGATTATCATATCTATATTTATACTTACAACATTAAAGTACTCTCTGAATCCTTCTAGATTGTTCATCAACTCCATCAGCAATGCAGTCTCATTGAACATGGTGCTTTCACATACAACCTAAATAACCAAGGAGAGTTTAACTTAAAGGACAATGACAATGTTTTGGGTGGGTGGGTGGGAGTAAGGACATTTAGTCAACTTCAGTTTCTTCGTAATACAGGCACCTGACTATGGATTGAATTACCAAGTAAACCAATGTTAAGTTTGAACAAAAATCAGAATAAATTAACACATGTACTCATGTATAATATAATTTGAAGTGCATTCATACCTTATATAAAGTAGTCCTGTTGACTGAGGTTGAAGGAGCCTTAGCAAAGAAATTGTCAAACACTGCAGAGTCGACACAAACCCTCATAAGTGCATTTGTATCTGTCCACTTAGCAGCCTGAAATATAACCATCACTGTCACTACAATCTTTAAGTAAAGCATATATAAGATGCAGAGAGAGAAACTTTGAGTTTTCCACAGGCTTAGTATTTTATCATATCAAGTTCAAAGAGTCCATAAAACTCCCCTCTTTTTGGTTTCTTGTACTAAAATAACAGCCGCCACTCAGGTATAACCGAGCCATTATTAATAAAGGAAGATACTGTTAAAGTGGGTAATATATGAATAAATAAATCGCTTATGAAATCATTGGAATTCATGACTTACTTCAGCTGGATCTGAACTGATAGCAGCTATGGTGCGCAGCAGGGTATCAACAATGTCTGGGCTGATGGCTTGTATCCTGGCCAATCTGTATAACTCATTAGAGTTGATGTACTCTAAGATGTTGAATGTGGAATTACCTAAAATAATGTCAAAACATGGATTATCAATTTTTTAATTGACATGTTATACTCTCAATGTTATATGGTGAGATTTAAAGCCTCTTTTTGGTCGTTACGGCATATTTTTGTCTATTAATTACAATAGTTCTGGTATTTTGTTCTTAAGGTGGCTAGAGTGTAATATGATAAAACTGAGATTTATTTTCACTTGACTTAATTCAGTACATGGTATACAAGCAGTGTGTGGATTCTTTGAGATATAAAGAACATTGAAAAATACACAATATTCTATGTAAACTCACTAGTGATAGCCTTGATTTGTTTATTCAGAAACTTCATGAGCAGGTTCTGCTGGTACAACTGTTGTTTAATCATACTCCATATATCCCTTGACTCTGGCATGCTACTAAGCAACTGCTCTAACACAGGAAAGATGGATTCTACGGCAGCCAAGCTAAAATATATAAAATCTTCACATCACATATAGAGGTGCAAAGGCAGTGATCTCCCCAGCATTTAAGTAAAGTGGGCGCAGCACACCTGTGATTTTAAAAACAAGCTTGCACCCACCAGAAAATTCATTTGCACCCACTTGAAAATAAGAAAATATAATTTAAAATGGTCTGAAAAAATGAGAAGTTTGTAAAAGTGAGAATTTTGTGCCCACTTGAGAAAAACCCTCTGGAGAACACTGAAATGTGTTCACATTAAGAGGATCTGACAACATGGTAATCAATATAAACTGGGCACTTAGTTCATCAAACATAAGCACCTGCTAATCTTTGAGTATATATTTCAATTCACTTTTATTTGCACTGACCTTAACATTGACACTCCTGTCTCCTCATTTGGGAGATCTCTACTAATGGACTCAATCACTTTAGTCCACACAGCCGGGTCAAGCCACATCTGGTCTAAGACAATAGGGAGCTCTCCTTGTATGAGCTCATCAAGCAAGGCTTGTAAGGTTGTCACTTTGTTTATCATCTCCTGTAGATCAACAGGTCCCCGCCCAGAAAAGTCAGCATTTACCTGAAACATAAATCCACATGAATACATGTTTGGAATGTGGAATGTACAGACGTCATATCTACAAAATAAAGAATGTACATCTACAGAATGTTATCACAACTACAGTAGAACACGTAAAGTGGAACACCTCTAGAAGTGGAAGACCCCTGTTACTAGTGGAACACTTTTTAGAGGTACCAGAGGTGTTCCACCTCGACAGGTTTTACTGTACATCTCATTTTTATATATGGAGTAGAAATCAAAATTATATTAATTCAAATGTCTTACCAAATCAATGATGGTTGTAGCTCCGCTAAATGCTGTGGCTTCAGTCAACGTTTTGTTCAAGTCCAGACTGCACATTGTATTGAAGAGTTCTGTTATATTCTGAGCTATAGAATCGGGTATGTTGAGGATTGTAGTGAGGTCTTTACTGCAAAGCTCTTCAATGCTCTGTATACTGGTGAGCTGTTGAAACAGGATGACATTTGATTAAAGGAAAACATGACACAATTTGGTAAGGTCACGTTGTGATTTCAAATGGTATTTTTTATTTTCATTTATATTCATTTCATTACAAATTAAAAGGCATTATAGAAGAGAAAGATAAAAGAATATAAAACTACAATAATATGATTAACGTCAATGGGTTCACTCTGCAGCTGGCATACTTATTGTTACATTTATTGTTATATTTTGACATCAAAAAGCTGATTTCTCAAAAACAAGGAAAAAGTCGGAGCAGGGCCAATGGTGTAGTATGAAATGAGTTCAGTGAGGTTCACAAAAATAAATGATAGAGGAATGGAAGGATAAAATGGACAAAAAGACAGACAGAGAATCTTATACATTACATATAGTAGGATGCTTGTATGGCAATATAGCTACCCATTTGTACATTACATACTGTACATGTACTTCATGTGACAGGCTTAATGTTTTGTCACACTTACTTTGGTTACTGCACCGGGGTCCATTGCTAATGTTCTTATTGTGACATATGCAACATCAGGTATATGGTCCATTAATCGTAAAAACTTCATAAGCTCTGGGTACCCTGCCAATATCTCAGCCAATCGTTTGGGTTCACCTGATCGAATAAAAACAGACTCAATATCATAAATGTTCAAAACACAAAACAATTCACATGGTGTCATATTTTCAAAGGATAATGATTCGAAACAATAAGCCTGGTAACAAAAAACTGGGATTGACAGTTTTATATTCACTCAATTTACATAAAAACCATAACATGTATTTAGTATATGTACAGTTTTGAAAGTCCACTATATGTGGCAATTAATGCATATTCATGGGACATGATATTCTATCGGCATACATGTTATCACAACAATTATTAAATTCTTATTAAGATATCTTAGAAATCCAAATATAGACAAAAATTGTGTACTAAATATGTAGTTAAGGAATGAAATAATAAAAAAATAGTAAAATACCTTTAAATGTTGAAAGTTCTTGAATTAAAAATCCTAATATTGCATCTATGCGGTGAATGTTCTCCGCAACGCCAGGCGTCTCCAATAGTGGAGCAAGCATGGGTTCCAAATATGGTAGTAGGTCAGTCCCGGTGCTGAACAGGGATGCCAATGTGTCAGCAGTGCTAAAAGATAATTATTTAATATTTATTTATTTTTTGGATTTTACAAACAAGTCAATGTTTATAGCTAGGATAATTGAAGGCAAAGAACAATATGTAGAACACAGCTTACTTCAGTGAGCAAAATAACTCTTTATTTGGAGGTCTTTAGCCCAGAATGTCATATGCAGTAAAACTTTAATTTGTATATGGAATGCCCCCATACAGGCCAAAATCATTCCTTGCTGACATGTGTAATTTAAAAAGATATGTTCCCTGGATAAGTTAAACTTGACTGATAAAATGATCCTTTTCCTACTTTAAGTCTGCGGTGAATATCTCTAGAATCCGACACTTACGTTGCATTTGTGCTGATGATACTCTGGGTCAGGAAAGACTGTGCGAATCTGCTAAAGATTGCCATCCAAACGGTCTCATTCATCCACTTATCATCAAGACCATATTCAATTTGGAATGGCTTTGTTGATAGGGAGGTAATGGCCTGAACATATTCATCAACTGTTTTGGTAAAGTCTGGTAAAATAGCAGCAAGGTCCACATTAGCAGGTGGATTCATCAACTGAAACAATAGACCTTCCTTAAGTATCAGGAGTAAATAGGAGAAGACACTATTGTTAAAGGACCTATGAAATTTTATATTATGTTTTCATCATACAAGTTGGGCTCTTTTAAATATTGATGCATATATAGGCATTTAAATAAATCATGTAACTGAACTTGATTCAGATTTCAGATATAAAGCTTTATTGTATGTTCTTTACATACATGTATAAATGTGAATAAACAGGCATATTTTTAGCTACTACGTAACTAACTGCCAAAAGAAAGTATGTTGGCCTTATAAAAATACATTGATATTGTTAAATAATCCACCTGATTAACAAGAACATATCTTTGCATTATATTACTTACAGAATTGAAATATTCATTAAAGCCTGCAAGGTTGTTGGTAAGTTCACTTAACAGTAAGGTCTCATTAACTGTGATACTTTCACATATAACCTAAAATAAACAAAACAAGAAAACATTAAGAAGAAAAAGTGCTTATATATTAGCAAAGATATTTCACAAAGATATATTAAGTACATAAATTAAGAATTTTGTTATTTTTGCATTTTGATTGTTGTATATTTCATTATTTCATGCATGTCCATATAAATATAAATAAACCCCCTCTATTGTTGGTTTTACGACATTAAATCAAATTTTCTTTCATTTTAACAAAATAAAAATAAAATACAATATTTCGTTTCAGATGATCATATTCATATTTCATAATAACTGTAGGTGAAACTTTCCCTGGCAAAAGCTAAATCCATTATTCATATTTGAAAAAAGTTACTCACTCTAAAGAGTGTGTTCTGGTCTACTGAGGACGAAGGCGACTTAGAGAAGAAATGTGCGAATACGGTTGAATTGCTGCACACATTCATCAGAGCATTCGTATCTAGCCACTTCGTTGCCTGCAAAAATGAATGCACAAAACATGAAAAAAGAAACTGACAAAAACATAAATACTTTGATTTATAAATGCCATATCTCATATAAAAGGGAATTGTGAAATGATAAACTAATGAGCTGCGTCATGAAAGAATCAGTTATCTTTGATAAATATATGAGTGAATGGTTGGTATTTTAGAGGAAATGCACAAATATTTGACTTACTTCAGCTGGGTTTGAGCTAATGGTGGCTACTGTATGTAGCAGTGTATCAACAATGTCAGGGCTCAGAGCTTGTAGCCTCAACAGTCTGTATAGCTCACTTGAGTTGATGTACTCCAAGATGTTCAGTGTTGAATTACCTAAAATTACAGATGATACCTAATATTGTTGCTTATATCAATTTAGAGCCCTGAACAGGTAGTATATCATACATCATTTAGTTAAATGACATACAATTACAATCTTAAAAACTACACTGTACAAAATCTTCAATCTGATAATTCTATTTTTTAAGATGGTAACCATTAAGAGGACCTAAAAGGAAGAAATCTCCCAGAATGCATAGACGGATCAATCTCCATATTAGGATGAACCTCTTTATATGTAGATATGATCATCTATGAATTCTGGGGTACCCCCCATCTATTGATAGTTTAGACATACATGTATGTGCTTATAATAGGGGTGACTGCAAGAGACATACTCACCATTTAGAGCTTTCACCTGGTAGTTTATAAACTTGAGTAAGAGGTTCATCTGGTAGACTTGCACCTTGTACATGTTCCACCAACCTTCTCTGCCAAATGCTTGCTCTAACAAAGGTATAAGGCTACTTCCAGCAGCAATGGAAATGCTACAAATACAAAACGTTCAATTTATTTCAGTTATAATCAAATCAAAATTGATTGAACAAAATCGATAACATTGATAAATATTATTCCTACTACCCTTAGTTTTTACATATAAATTAAAAAGGAAATGGAACAATAAGGATATAAGGATAAGAATAAGGAAAATCTCTGCCTTACCTTGCAAGATCTGGATTCGATTGCATAATGTTCATCATTTTTCCTTCAAGTTCAGACATACTCAATCCAGGGAACTCATCACTAATGCTATTGGCTAGATCCTCCATGCTATATTTGGACATCTTATCAACGAGTTTATTCATGTTGTTGAGCATTTCTTTAATGTTTGCTCCCATCATGTTGAAGTCAACCTTGGTTAGTGGGACTCTCTCGAATGTTGGATCCATCTGAAAAGTCAACATGAAAATTGAAACATATATATTGTATTAATAAGGTGAAGTATATCCAAACACCTCTCAAATAGACTAGATGCGAGTAGATATAATCTTAATTTAGATGGGGAGATTCCCCATAGAGCCCATGTTATAAAATCACTAAAAGTTAAATATCTTTTCTTGTATTGGACAGATAACATTTTCTTTAACTGAACATATTTTAATTTGCATAATTATTAGATACATAAGGGTGATATGAAAATTGAACCGCTAAAACAGATGAATATTAAGTTAAAGGGATCTTTATACTATACCCGCCATGCTATCTGACCCGAACGAGCCACCTGATGGTGAAACTGGTAACTACCTACTCGCATCTGAGTCATTTAAACACCTCTTATGTGCACATTATTTTTCTTAAGAAAAAGTTTTAAGAAAACTTTTAATTGTAATACTTGCAAATCCCAACACTTTTGGTCAATCCCAATGGTGTTCGTATATAACAGGTTCTACTGTTTACTGTGGTAATCTGGCTCTAACACTCCTAAAAATCTATAATTCTAGATAAACACTTACAGAAAACCTAACGATTTCTTTCATTAGAGGTGATTCCATTAAGGTCTGCATTATTGAATTAGTTCCATTGGTTGAGAGGGAGCAGAATGCATCCTGGATGTTGTCCGCAACATTGGGGTCATCAAAGGTCACCATATCTTTAAGCTTGAGGGTCCCACAGAGAGTGCCACCGCTTAGAGACACAGTCATTAATTGGTTCATCACCTGAGAATTAAATAAGGAAAGTTATTTGCTTTGGCTAGGATTTGCCAATGAGTGCTATGTACACCCACCTCTCCTTCCCTCCCTGAGAAAACAATGAGTATTGTTTTTCCCTTCGAGTCAAATCATTCAGTTTTATGTGCATGTAAACATGACTTAATTTTATAGTTATATAATGTATATATAGTATACAATACAAGTACACTTCAATTACCTGATCCGGTTGTATCATGGCTTTCATCAACACATCCATTGCCTCAGGGACCATATCCAAAGTGCTCTCTATGACATAGTATAGAGCAGATCCCTCACCTAACACATCCTTAACTTGTAGCCCAGACTCTGAAAACACAGAAAATCATGTCCTGAATACTACAGAACAAAAAAGGGGACATTATAACCAAATAGGAATTAAAGTTCCCATTCTACATGACCGAGTTTGCCCATAAATGTGGAAAAAATAAATGCCCCATTGGCATTGAAAATAATTGTACTATTACATTTTCTTGCATTTCATCATAATTTAGAGTAATGAATTTAGAGCCAAATCAATTTTTGTCTTTTGACATTGATTTAAATAATTGTATATTGTAAAATAATAAATCCTAAAATACATCCCCTACCTTATATATTGAGCTCATTTATGACTTGTTATATTGCATTACGTCATTACACATTAATGAATTTATAAATGACGTGTTATTATAAATATATAAATGACGTGTTATTATAAATATATATTTACCATCCCATTTGGCCATCATTTGGTTCCAGTCTGTCATGATTGTATTCATGAGGTCCATGTATTGTTTGGCCTCATACCAGCCTGGTGTGTTCCCCAATACAAAGTCAATGCTAGACATTGTCTGTACAAACACATCTACCCAGCTATAAAACCAATAAAAAATATTGTCTTAAATATTATGTCATTCAACTGTGTCCAACAAGCAAACAAATAGTATGAGAGTGTAAAAATCATCCATGACTCCTGAATTTTTCACTTCACTTGGAAAACCAATCATTCAAGAGACAAGTCCTCTTTTTTGAAAATATTTATTCTAGGTTTACAATAATCATTTGGCTCTAATATTACACAACCAATATTCATCAACTTACTTTGAAAATTCACTGGTCATGGCTGGGGTCATCATTGTGCCATTCAACATGGGTGCAAGTGTACTTGCCATGGGTGCAAGTGCGCCTGAGACAGCATTTATGAACTCAGTCAAGTTTAACTCGGTAAATGTATTCCATATTCCTTTAGGTGGTTCAGATGAGACATAATCGTAAAATCTTTTGCCATCACTTATCGCTTCGTCCCAGGGGAAATCTTCGGGAGGAGGGAGTGCTGAATTAGGGTTGAAAATGAATTCCATCTGAAAAAAACATTTCATATGTGAACTGATTCTACTTGAAAGTACATTTTTCATTCAATGTTCATCTATTAGATAAGGATAGACATAATATGTATATGTGTGTATGCGACACCATTTCTTGAAATTGAGTCATAACATCCCTTAAAATCTTTTTACATGTTACTACTGCAATATAATAGACACTCTGTGAGACAATTTTTCGTGAATGTTATGAAGGCCTTGAGCGGGTATATATCAAGGAGGATTGGCAGCCAAAGTGCAACATGGAAGTTTTGGTCTTATTACCAAACAAATTCAAATCATGCAAGATGGCCAATAGTTCAAATATTTTGAATGCTGATTGTGAATTTATAGCCAGATAAATGTCAGACAACAATGACGCCAGCTTTGTTGGAGAATATCGTTCATTCTCCATACAGCCGTAGAAATATACAGGCAAGATCACCAAGATCGCATTATTTGGAGATTATAGAATATTAAGTTGGAACTCTGGCTTCAAATCTTCCTTGGTTATATTATTACATATTACCTGTTGAAACATGTTAGTCCAAGCTACATATGTTTGCTCGTATAGCTCCATCTGGAGCTGTGTTCCATTGAGGATACTACACATGAACCATTGGATCTCCATAACTGGGACTCTCTTGGGAAATGTGAATAGCTCCTCAGCCTGAGAACTGCATAGGATCTCAAAAACATTCTTATCTTGCTGTGTTAAGTATGCAAGCTACAACAGAGAAATTATATGCTCCTCAGATTTGAATACACCAAAGTTCAACAACGCTGTAAAAATCAGATGCAGATTGTTTAAAAATTGTAACACAAAATATTAATTTCTGTGAAAAGCTTAGATAATCTGAAATCACATGTGAAATGTAGCTCATTCTCAGCATTTATCTCTTATTTAATTATCTGTTTGAATGCATTAAAAAGGAGATTTGTGTTTTAAACAAGATTTCTGAACTTTGATTGACTTACCTTTTCAGAGTAACCATCAAACAGACTCTGTACAATGTCAGCTCCATATTCCTGAATGTAGTATACAAGGCGGCCATATTGGCTGTTAACTGATGCAATGCCTGGAGGAAAAGATATACAGGATATAAATGATATCCTACCCCTGGAACTTCACAGACTCCAGTGCACTCTCATTAATTCATTCATCCTAGGATTTCTTATAATTCACTCATTTCTTAGAAATGTAATGAGTCATCAAGGGATGTAATTTAGAACCTTAAACCGTTAATATATCTTAATATATTATATTTAGAATGGTAGCAATTTATTGATAATTCATTTATTCACTATTAATGATTCAGCATTGAATCATTTCAGTCTTACCTCTCTGAATATCCAGGTTAGTATTCATAGCTTTGACAAGAACATGGAGGGCTCTCATCCATTCATTGCCCATTGTGATCCTGCCCAGGTCAGATACCATGTACTGTGTGCCCAGGCTCTGAATTACTGCAGATATGCTGTTAAAAACATGTAAAGTGATGAAAAATTTGTACATCAATAAGCACTACTAAAATATCTCATTTTTTTCTGCTCAAATCATGTCCCGGTGGTGGCATACTACTCATGAAACTAGCACTATTCCCATGGGTATAGCATTATTAAGCCTCATTCATATTTGATTTACAGTGGCCGTAGGCTCACAAAATCGATACAGAAAATCTACATCATATTGTTTATCCCTATATTTTATGTTTCACATTTATCTCAATTTTGGGAATCTATGGCTGCTGTATGGTTGCCATAGATCAAATGTGACTGAGGCACAACTTACGCATTAAACTGAAACTCTTGCATCAAAGCTTCACCGATTACATTCCAATCTCCTGTTTCATTGAATTTCACCAGAATGTTTTCCCATGGTAAGTCCTGTCCATCATTTATTGTACTCAGCCTCATTCCCAGCTCCTGTCCTCTCTCTATGAGACGAGCCAAATTGGCCCTCTGGGAGTATTCTGGCCCCAGAAGGGCTGAGCTGTTCACTTGTGCAAGATTAGCAACCTCAAGGAATTTGTTGAACTGAAATGTGAACATTATAAAACATGAAATGAGAACAATGTCATATTAGAAATGTGAACATTATAAAATGTGAAATGAGAACAATGTCATATTTGAAATGTGAACATTATAAAATGTGAAATGAGAACAATGTCAAATTTGAAATGTGAACATAATAAAATATGAAATGAGAACAATGTCATATTAGAAATGTGAACATTATAAAATGTGAAATGAGAACAATGTCATATTAGAAATGTGAACATTATAAAATGTGAAATGAGAACAATGTCATATTAGAAATGTGAACATTATAAAATGTGAAATGAGAACAATGTCATATTAGAAATGTGAACATTACAAAATGTGAAATGAGAACAATGTCATATGAACAATTTCATATTTGAAATGTGAACATAATAAAATATGAAATGAGAACAATGTCATATTTGAAATGTGAATATAAAAAAACATGAAATGAGAACAATGTCATATTTGAAATTAAAATAGTAAATTAAAGTTTTAAAGGATACTATTCTTATTTTTGCTCACATTAATGTCGAATAATACATAAAACAATGTAAATGTTTCATAGTAAATTATACGCTATGTGTATGAAATTTGCTGTACTGTGCTTCATAGCAAATCATTGAATGAAGCCAGCAGTATAAAAAATAAATTGAAAATCAAACTATTCTAATTCACTTACAGAAGCTATCATATCATCAGCCCTCACGTCAGCACGTATCTTCTCAATTATTGCTGGGAAGGCTAGGTTGTCACAGAGACTACTCTTGATGTTATCAAACATACTTGCGGGGACATCTACGTACATTGAGAACCAGGTCTCATTGCAGAGCTTGACTTGGAGTTGGGATGGATCAACTATTATGCTCTGTAAGGGAAATGGATTACAAAATGGGCAGTGTCTACATATTATAATTCTGGGACCATTCGTCTCAGATATGACACTTAGATACTAGGTACTGCACTCTATCAAAAAAATTTAAATTGCATGGTTGAATAAGGAGTTAGCAACCTTTTTTCTTTTTCAATGTTTCATTTGTTTAACTTTTATATGAAATGGAGAAACAAATAAAAATAGCACACTGAAACACTAAGATTTTACCTCCAAAACTTCAGGGTCGAGCAATGCCTTTATGACAGCCAGTGTTCCATTTGGACCAGACTCCAAGATGTCAAACACCAGTTGCCCGGCATTATCATCCTCAGTAACCAATCTGTAGATGTACCCAGTGATGTCTACAACATAAATGTTATACATGTACACTTTTATTTTTACTTATTTGTTTATTTAGTGTTCATCTTCCTATACTTTTGCTTCTTATGCAAATACATGTATTTTATGTTTACAGTAGTATTAGGCATATGCAAAATACAAGCTGTGTTTTCAATATATTTTACACATGGAGGTGAATGGAATGGCCCCCAGCTCAAGCTATAAATCTAAGCAAATCAAAGCATCCATATTTAACCAAAAATCACCAAAATAGAACTAAAAGTATGAATTATCTGCCAGACCTGCACAATATGTCTACAAAAGAATCTGTCATGACTCACAAATTAATTTCCTTTAACATGTTCTATACCTTCAGTCAAACCAGTTTTGTTTGTTTCTTTTCCCTTGGCAGAATACAGTAAAACATGTGTATAGTGAACACCTATGGAGGCACAAGTATGTTATCATTATAGTAATGTGGTCACTATAGACGGACGATTTTGTACAGAAGTCTGTGGAGTATGTGCTGAGAAGAGGTGTTCACGAGACACAGTTGTTCACTAGAGAGGTGTCCAAAATACTAAGGTGTTCACTAGAAAGAGGTGTTCATGAAAACAGGTTTTCCTGAACATTCATCCATTCATTATGGCAACTTACCAGGAATAATAGAAGTTGCAATCTCTAATGTGTCCATAAAATGGTCAGCCACAATCAGTAGTACATTGGTGGTAGGATCATTAGTAGTTTGGAGAACCAATTGAAGTCCACCCAGTGAGTCAAGTATGGTCCTGTAATAACAAATAAATATGTTAGCCTATTTGATACACTATAATATCACAAATACTTTTAAATTCTTAAAATTGCCGCTAATATTTTTTATAAGACTTTGGCAATCGATTGTTGTTTGTATATTCTTGTTAACTAATGGAATAATCTCATGTACGAAAAACAATTCTGTATGATATATCTCTAATAGTTTGACAAATGACCATCATATTGAAGGACATTAAGCCAGTTTGAAATTAATTTTAAGAAAATCTTTTCTATATTACATACTGTAGTGTTGAATCTACTGTCATTGTTGAGTTCAAACCAAGAGGGATGCCATTGAGTACGCCCAAAATGTTGTTCCAGATTTGGGTGATAAATGTCTCACTGAGTGGCAGCTCTTCCGCAAGTTTTGAAAATGAGTCAAAAATATTTTTTGCATCTTGGAGAATTACAGTAAAGTTCAATGGTAGACCAATGGTATTGTTAGCCTGTGAGTTCATGCTTTCAATCTAAAATGAAAGAAATACCAGACATAAATGGAAATGTCCTTTATTTTAGTAATGACATATATTATGATCAATGTCATACATTTTCAGTATTTCATACATGATTAGAAATGTCATTTATTATTAAAATGATATATTATCAAAATGTCATATATTTTCAGTAATGTCATATATTATTAAAATGTTATATATTTTCAGTAATGTCATATACAAACATGTGTTATTATGGATCAGAAATGTCACACATGATATAAATCTCATATTATTTTGAAAAAATATGTCATTCAAGTATTCTTCTTTGATATATATTTCAAAATTATAGTATTTCATTCATTCATTTTTAACACTGATGCTTCTTCTAACTTCCATGACTAAAATAATATCTAACAAATATTAAAAAACAGTGACATATTTCTATATATATGTATACTTGTGTAACTTACAATGCTAGTGATCTGATTGTAACTGAACTGATTCAAAAACATCTCAAGGGTTTCATTATCAGCTGAACACAGAGCCTTTATAAAGTCCTCTAAAGGGGCCCTATCCATATTAGGGGGTGAGTCTAAAACCCCCAGTAGACCCTCTCCAGGTGCTGTGCTACATACTACTGCTCCAATGTTGTCCCCAGATGTTGCCACTCGTGCCATCAATGCAACATACTGAAAATCATAGCCAGATAAACATGAATGAGCTCTTGAAGAAATAAAATAAAGTGTCTTTATCCTATGCCAAGTAGAGTTTTAGGGAGATAAGTTGGTAATATATCCCGTATCCTGATTTTGAGGTTTTCATATCCAGAACCTCCATATCTCCCGCTTCGCTGCATATCTTCCCGCTTCCGGTGCATATCTTCCAGCTTCCGGTAATGCAATAAAATGACTTGATTTTTTATTTTTACACCTTGTACTATTGAAATGGCCATATGCCCCTGAAAACTCTACTTGGTATAGGATAATGCAGTTATGTACGGTCGGTTTGGATATGGGGTTCATCCCTCGTGAGATATGCACATCTACCTTCGGTCCCTACGGTCCCTCAGGTAGATATGCATACCTCGCTCTGGATAAACCCCATATCCAAAACCTCCCAGTACATAACCCTTATTTATTTTACACACACTTTGTATTGTAATTGTAAAGAGACGTTATGGACGCCCTGTATATGTTATATATGTTATATTAACTCTTAACACATGTGTCACTCAACAGATTTTAACATTTCAAAATGCCTTGTACAGCAAATAAAGTTATATCCAATCATAGATAATGCACTGGCGGATCCAGAAGCTAACAGGCCAGTGTAATGGTATATTCAACATACATTTAGAGATTCATCCTAACATTTTTTCTTCATTTGATCACTGATAAGCTTTATCATTAAAATTATTAGAATTATAAAATCACTGTATATATATTGGAACAAAGATTTAAGTGTCAGGAAATTAATATTAAGGTACACCTACCTTTCCCATGTTGAGGGTAGATTTCGCTAGGACCTCACTTGCACCTAGGGTATGATTGGCTAGGTCATCTAGGGATGCATCTTTCAAGATATCCCCGAGAGATACTGTCACATCTACAATAAGATCGTTTATATCAAAAAGTTGAACATTTTTTCTTTGTATTCTGTCCTGAAGTTCATATTTATGGTTCGTGATTTTGGTTGATTTGTGAGTTTTGAATGTTTCTGTCGTATTTCGAGTGACTGGGGTTTGTTGATACGTTAATAGAGATTAGACTCTCCAATTTGAAGAGCTTTCCTCACAATCTAACATAGTATCAAACTAGCTCGTGTAATCATTTCAAATCTCTCTATAATTCATTCCACAATTTTTGGGTAAATCCTGCTATCATATTCCTCATAAGTCAGCATTCAGGATCGGGGAATTGGGGAATTTTGAATTGCTCTTGATCGCCAAAAAATGAAAGTCATTTATGATTTCTATTTGGTTTAATTGCTTCCTAACATTATGAGCCATCTCATATAGACTTACTTCTGACATTATTTGAGGCTGTGGAGGTCCAGCTGACAATTTGCTGCATAAACTCCAATCCTTGCTTAATACCTGCCCACACTGGGTCATCACCAAACCATTGTGCCAACCAGGGATCCAACTTCATTATGATATCAGCATATCTGAAAATAAATAGATAAATACTGTATAAGTCTAAATTTTGCCTATTTATTTAATTTGTGCAGATATAAAATATGGAGCAATTTTTGACATAGATAAAGTATATATATAACTTTCATTGACATCTTGTATCATTACATGATTACATTAATATGCCATAAAATCTGTTAATATTGTAAGAATTGCCTTCCATTTAGGCTGGCAAAGAACAGAATTATTTTCTATGTCTTTAAGGAATAATATATTCATCATGATTTTTTGGACAACATGATAATGAGCCAGATTACATATATGTGAACATTGTTTATATCGATTTTAAAAAAGACAATAATGTTTGGGTTTATTGCCAAGAAGGAACACCACGTAAAGTTGTCGACATAGTCCAGTTAGTACAATACTCTATTCAAGGTGCCAAGAGAGAATGCCAAGTTAAGTTCAACACAGATGATTTTTATAAACAATTTACATTTTCATCAAAAATCAGATATTGATTCAGAACTTATATGATTTCATGAAAACAGGCATGAATATCATGGGTAAAAAGTGTATTTACTGGTTCGGCTTGAATAAGGGTTTATTCCCCGAGGGCCCTAAGGGTCTGGGGGAAATATCATATTGTCCCTAGGAATAAAACCTACATTCAGTGCCTCCCAGTAAATAACCTCTATATATTTAGATCTCCTTACAGTTTTAGTAAGTATCTGTGCCTAAATGGTAGGATAAATTACAATAAAACCATGGGCGTTCAATCTAGTTGAAAGTCCATGATAAAACCAAGAACATAGTTGGAATTTTAAATCAAAATAATAATTGAATTCAGTCTTTTTAGTTGAATATTGGATTTATTATTCAGAAAGGAATACTAGTACATAGTTGAATGGTATATAAACATATTCTTTACATGCCTCTCTTCAATTGATTATTCAAAAACCTCAAATATACAAGGGCAAATAATATGTCAATGGTACTTTTATTGAGGGTTAGGCCACGACTCATACCATAAAAATTTCACTTATTTACCTGTACTGCTTTTCTCACTTTTTTACATGAAACTAATGAAAAACAAAATACTGGCATGCCAATTTACAAAAATGAATAATGAAGCATGAAAATTATTGCTTGGAGAAACCTCATTAGTGCAATTAAAGTGTACGGTGAGTAAGCAGTTTTCAAAATCACGATTATTGAGAAAAGACCTGTTTGGCAAAATACTGATATGAGCCATAATTCAAATATTGACAAAAATAACCTACAAAAGTAAGTCCCCCACAGCTAACTGGTGGTTTGCATGTATATTTTTGTAGATGTTGAAGTAAAACGATTTTTAGTATAAAATTTGATAAAACACCCGTCAAAATGAGAGAAAATATTAATTTGTCAAAACAGTCAAGCAAATTGATAAAGACGGTTTTGTTTGATAAGTGGAGCACTGTTAAATCAATAAATAATTTGCAAGGGTTCAGCTTTGCTTAAAAAAGTTCCTATATTCTGAACTTCCCACTTGAGAATAAACAACTATGAAAGGAGTGTTTCATGAGAATTTTTAAAATTAAATTATGATGTGCAACTAAATATTTATTCTTCAGGCCCAGTATTTATCAACCTTTTCTCATTTGTGACCTAAAAAACAGAGTTTTTAAAAATAAATCAAAGATATTTTTTATTAATTAATTAATTAATTTTTTATTAATTAATCAAAGATATGGAACTAAATATTCACTAAGCACATCTTTTCTCATTTGTAACATTTAATACACAAGGCAACTTATTTATTACATAAATATCTGCCTATTAAGTGAGATTGGATCTGTTATAAAAGAAAGAACTCTTATAAGTTGGGTGGAAGCTAAATTCACCCTAATACTCAATATATTTACAAATATCTTTTATAGATTTTGATGGTCTATAAAACAATATAGTTGATTTACTGGTCTATAATAGGGTATAACCACTAAATTCCATAAATGCAAATAGTTGTTATTCTGGTTTGTTTATCATTAGATATTAGAATTGTAACAATACATCAGAAATGTATCAAGCAACAGTATAACTTAGTATCAGAATAGTGAATATGTATTTGAGGCACTTATATCCAAAAATGTCATGGGAGCCTATTACCATTGAGAAATAGGAGGTAATTTTGGTAATGGGTCAGAAGTTCATTATATGCTACTAAAAAATAAAGAAAAGTACAAGTATGTTGTACCTGCTGAGCATCAAATAATTGTAATAAAAAGAACGAGGAAGTTACCAATCATAATACCACCAAGAAGGTAGTTTTTTGTTTTCATACTTGTCTTGAGTTTATTAACAAGATATACAAAAAATTACTTGGCAAAGTTTTATGAAAAACAAAAGCATCAATTTCAAGTAAGCTATGAAGTTAGCTTTAAAGAACTGATGAGTGGTTTTCTGAAAAAGGGATGACAAGATGATTGGGTTCTGTTTGGTTGTGGGTTGTTACTCTGTGAAAAGCACCATCAATTTTATAGTCACATACACTAGACCTTGGTTCCCTCTTTATTTAACATATGTATGAATTTGATTCCTGAACTTAATCTTGGTTGTAAAACATCCTTAGTGGTTTTTAGCATTCTCCCATTGGTAACAACTAACATTTATAGAACAACCATACCATTTCTATTCATAAAACATAGAATGATAAATGTGATTCATATTTCCCAACCATTCAACATAACAGATATGTTTCAATTTGACCTTGTTGTTAAAATGGATAATAAAAAGGAGTAAAACCTTGATCTTTGTTGTTAAACCATCCTTGTTGCATTTACTATACTCTCATTGGGCACAAAAAAGATTTGATTTGATTTGAAAACTATATTTATTCTGGGTAGCTCTGTCAGTACAAAAATGGTCTTCCTAGAGGCCGAGTAATAATTTACAATTATTTACAATATGTAAAATAAATATAGAAACATACAAATAGATATATAGGACATAAAGAACGATTTGAGTTAAGTTAAGTTAAGTTAAGTTAAGATGATTCTGTCCCCCCCCCTCAACGAGGATGTTTATTGAATTATTTTTTATTGAACATGTATTTACATCGGTATTGAGGCAAATAAAAACATCCAGACATTTATTCAGGATGAATAATATCTCAAAGGTTACCCTGAACTCATTTTGAATATCTGAATCGCACAATGTATCGGACATAATTTTTCAAACATATGATTCCTCAGCTAGTTTCAATTCAATCTCAGTGAGGTGAAGTTATGTGTTTAATTGTGATTCCACCAAGGTCGACTTTATCATTCAATGGCTTTAAAACTCCAAAACATGAATCTTTATATCTAATGTAATAAACTTTGACTTTTTATGTCTAAAAATGCACAAGGGCAAAAGCACCCAATTGTTGTACAAGCACCTAGTTGAAATTACCTTGCACTCAGATTTAGATCCAATATCACCCAGTTAGATATCCAACTTCACCGACTTAAAATTCTGATATCACCCAGTTTCAGATATATTTTACCAAGTTAAAGATCTGATATCACACATTTAGATATCCAATTTCATTAAGTTAAAGATTCAAATTCACCCAGTTAAAGATCAAATATCACCCAGTTAGATATCCAATATTTCCAAGTTAAAGATCCAATTTCATCCAATATCACCAAGTTAAAATCTGGACAGTTACTGACATTTCTTCCAAGACTGAGCAGAATAACAATTGAAAGAAAAAACCTAGGAAAAAATTTAATACACTTGATTAGTGAATCTTGAATAACTGTTACTCAAATCAATAGACATGTGAAAACAACACATTTATTTTTCAAAGTGAACCTTCAAAAACTTTTAAATAAAAAGTAACGTTTATAAGTATTTTACAGCAAACGGAAGAAATCAATTGCTTTTGTAAGGCTTAGTAAAACATGTGAATATGACAAAATAGCTTAAGTGAGCTCTCAAGAAATGTTCAAAATAAACAAGAGCTTCATCATCAATTGAAAGGGATCAGTTCAGTATTCTTATACCCTCCCAAAACATAAACAATTACACTTCATATTGATCACCCTCTTTAAATTTGATGAGAACAAATATGGATTTTTCAAGTGACTTTTAGCCCCTCCCATAAAAGAAAAGAAAAAAGGAACTACTTACACATTTAAATCATCGAATACTTGTGATCTTTCCAGGTTTCCGACAAATCCAGATAGCACATTGAAAAGTTCAGCCATATTCAATAACTGTTCGTAGTCAGCAATTTTTAATCCAGTGTCTGTATTAGCCAATAATTTGATCAGTTCACCAATGTCTTTCACTATCTGTGCTGCATCTTCATCTCCCAAAACATTAGACACCTGGATAGCCTATAATTCAACAAATTATTATGTAACATTTAAAAAACATATATCCATTTTTATGAACATGTATATTAGAATTCACAAATCATGTAATAATGTTGGGAAATGTGTCCCATTGTAACTATGACAATACTATGATACAAGGGATTAACATGCGAAATCGAACCACCTGCCATTTGTTACAGATGATGAACTCTGAATGACTTGTGATGGTGACATCATAAATCCATCGATTTGCTAATCAAGATACATGTATGTATTGTTATACCATGGCCAATCTACTGTATACACCAGAAGCTATGCAATGGGTAGCTGAAATGCACTTTTAAATGGTTCAATAATTACAATAAAACCAATACTATTCTTGCAATTACTTACAATGTTGATCAGTTTATCCACATCAAGTTGCTGTTGCACGAGGGCTGTTATATTTGGGATGAGGTTGTTATCAATGTTGCATAATTCCCGTGATATTTGTGTCACGCTTATCGTTGGATCATCAAATATAAAGAACTCCCCAAATCTGACAGGGTCGCATACAATTTCTATTAACTCTATGCCTTTCCCGTTACCACTGGCGAGATTAAATATCTGAAATGAGAAATAAGAAATTTAAAGATGTTCTGTTTTCTTTTTGGTTTTTGTTCATTTTTCACAATAAAACTACTGTGGCTATTATGAAAAAATATTTTGCTATTCCTGGTCAGAAAAGATGCAATATTCAAAAAGTGCAATGATTGTACAGAAAGATTTTCAGTGAAAAAGTAGATAAACCCAGAATACGAATCTTAAATACGAATCTTAAATTCACTTCCCACATTTTAGCAATTTGTCACATTTATCTAAATTGATGGCTTACTGTGTTATAAAATTACAGAGCATACTCCCAGGCTAAAACAGAACTTTCTTGCAGTATACATTATGTTAAAAAGTGTCTTAAACAAATAAATTGCTTAATTTTCCAATTAATCGATAAACCAAATTGTTTTTTTTCTGTAAGTTGAAATAATTCAATGTGTAAAGTTATCAATATTTCAAAAAGGGGATATTGCAATTTTTTTACTCTATAATTTTCCATAATGTGGGTTTTATATGGAAAATATCCAACTTTGAAAGTGAATTGTAAATTCTACTGGGACCCTTACATCTATTGATGAAAAAGGAAGTGGTTGGAGTGGTCAATACATCTTACAAGTTACAGGAGTGTATACACTTCAGATAATACCAGTCTTAGAGAATATCAGGTTCACAAAATGAGTGCAGCTGCACCCTGCAACTTTACCAGGAATTCTGTGCAAAAGCCTCATATCAAGTAGTAGCTGTCTAAGAGACCAAGGTTATCCAATGATTTCAATAATCTTGATTCTATGACTGATACATGTCTATGGATCAATGAATCATGAAATGTGAAAGTTAAGCATTTAAAATTCAATTGTATTTAACAGAGAGTAGCACATATAGGCCAAAATAATGTTAACATTGGTTCTTGACAGGACAGACATGAATGGACATTTCAACCAAATGCAAACTTAACTCTCTGCCCTTAATGGTATGTATATAATGGCTTATCATGGTTATTTTCAAGCCAACTCAATTCATAATAAAGCTGCTTTGGTAGCAATTTGCTTAACTATTAGCTCTGTCAACAACTGTGAAATATTTAAACATACAGGTACATAGTTGTTTACCCTGGGGTACTCATGGGATATTCAACATTACTACCCTCTTAACAGGACAAATCTAAATACAGTTTTACTGGAATAACCCCAACTGTAAATGTCATGAGCTGTCATAGTAGTTTGACTATGAAGTAAATGGATGCCAATGGATTCTGATCAACCCATTCTGATGGGTAACGCTCGATCTAAGGACTGTCTCTAATTCAAAAGAGTAAAGCACTCTTTTAAAGAACAAAATTCTTGAAAAGAGTAATGGTTGTTAAGTGATTTTGAATCACGATTTCGTGACATACTCTAGTACTATATATACACATTCTATTAGAATACCACATATTCTTTATTGAATCTTGTTGGAACAGGAATATGATACATGAAGGCACGTCAATTATGTTTGATCACGTATTGTACCTTAAAGTGATGCTTTTTTCTTATGCAAAACTTATTTCGTAATGTCACTCATTGCTCTTTCATAACTCTTTAGCTTATAAATATAGGTTAAAATTGGTCAAAATAAATTACAGCTACACACCAATGATATGATTAGTTGTAATGGAATATTATGTGTATTCATATATTGTATTTTAATTTAGTAAAATCTCAAATATATTTCAATGATTTTTATGAATCTTAGTAAGAAGTTATTAATGAGTTGAAAATAGGTAGCAATATACCTTTAGTAATAGCTCTGTTTCCAGTGTGTTTTAGCTTTTATTTAAGGTATTTCTGTACCATCGCAAACAAAATTGAAAAAAGTTGAAATATTTCAATTTCGGAATAAATGTATGAACAACATATAAATATCTCGGCTGAGTACACAACACAGAATGTTAAAAATATCATCATTTTCATTATTAATTGGAAATTATAATCATATAATTTACAATCATAAATAAATAAACTTCTTATCTTTCATGCTGCTCTACCTTAAAGAGGCTAGTTACACAGTAACACATGAATTATAAAATCTTACTTACCCGAGTGACATTCAGTGTCGCATTTAATAATTCACTGACTAAACTTGCAGGAAGTATTCGTAGATCTTCAGAAATATATGTCACCACTTTGTCAGGGTCTTTGAAAAATGACCGTAATACAAATGTGTTTTGTTCTGGAAAATGGAAAAAAGATGTGTTGACGTGAAGAAATACAGTTATTTTTGGTATTTTTCTGGTGCCCGTCACATGGTTAAGTTGAGCATTTTGACAAAAAAGCTTAGTAACAAAGGATTTTTGATGTGCGGCACAGGCACAAAGTCCTTCATTTTTAGTAAAATTCAACTCTGCTTTATAACAAGTATCACTGTCATTTTTTGTTTGAAAGAACCAAATACATATATGAAATCAAGAAATGTTAAAAACATCTGTTTTATTTACTGTCATGTCTTCTTGTCAGCTTGGGTGCCTCCAATGCAAAATGTCACCACCTGCCATTTGTTACAGACACAAACCACAAAACGTATTTGTTACAGACACCGGTGATAAAGAAATAATGAGATTTCTTTCTTTTGAAAGGCAGAACAAAAATATAAGGGGTGACAAAATTCCTTGAAACATTTCAATTTGTAAAATCTCATGTAATGGTTAAAACAATCAATCTCACGTGTCCCATCACAGCAAAACAGTTCACAGAAAGCCAGAAATAAGCAACTTAAAACAAAGAGACCCTCTCAATAATAATATTCAACAGGAAGCCTACCCCGGGGACGTAATAATTTATGCAGATGAACCTTTCTTTCAATAAGTGAAACCAATCTATTTAAAGGATAAATTAAGCCTTTACTAACCTATTAATTGTGTAGTATTGTCTATAATATCTACTACTTTTTCTAATGTATCCAATGTGTTTGGTAATTCCTTTAATATAGTGAGAGTCTTGTCGCCCTTGGATACTACAGGCTGTAACTGGGAGAATATTTCTGTGATCCTGTAACACATAATAATAATTTTATTGATGATTGTTCCATTTAAATAAGTACATGTACATGCAAAATACAAACAAAACAACAAAAGGGTATCATGTATAAAATATTTACACACATTTTTACCGTTGATCATCTCAAAACTTGAACAATTTCTTTAACAACATTGAGCACTACACACTGAATCTTTTTTGTTAACATTTTTATATCTGTTATTCTGTCGAATCAGTCATTCAGTTCTTTCTGTTGATATGATTCTGCATTATTATGAAAATAGTTGAAAACAATTACATTTGAGGAAATGCCATTTGAAAATCTAAGAACTGGTGAAACAGTTTATTGGGAGATATTGCAGATGGCACTGACAAGCTCAGAACCAGCTGGGGTTCAGGGCCCTGGCCAAAAATTCTTTCAAAGTCATGCAATTTGTTAACCATTCTGAGCACCCTTCTAGTGATTTGGGTCTTTTTGGGTCAAAGTTGTCCAAAGTGATCACCCCTGGATTTTTTAAAAATTGAACCCCCCTTGACAAATCCTGCCTATGGGCCTAATATATATCTTTAACCTACCTGCACTTTCACGAAAGAAACATATTTAAATATTCAAAATAAAAAGTAGAGCAGGATGAGTTCAATAAATAGGATTTAGGCAATACTCAAAACCAAAGCCAAAACCCACGAGTGAACGAGCGTGATTGTGGGGTCTTAGAGGATGAGCTTCACTTTATCACTAGCTGCACAAAAAAAACTTTGAACAGAGAGATTTTTTGAAACTAAGAATTTGATTTGAAATTGTAGTTAAATGCTTTATATATTCAGAAGGATATCCAGCGGATTAAATGTATAAATATGTGCAATATATATTACTGCTTAAAAGAAAAAGCACAAAGATCCCAATAAACTATTAAGACTATGCCTCGTAGGCATGATAGTCTAAATATTTATTAAAATGATTTAGGCAAATTTGGATATCATCCTTTCAAAAATTTAGAAAATGATTAATATTATGGGTGTACACATGTTTTAAACCCATGCATTATGGATACGCCCCAATTGATGTTTTGTTGTTATATATACTCATAACATGTGAAACTGATGTAAAGTAGTTTTGTAATCTGTGTAGTTGTAATTGAAGTTTTTTGTACACTGTAGTGTCTGATATGTCATTTATATGACATGATTATTGAGTCAATAAAAGTCAAGGCATTAAGGTTCAGCCAGAAAGTAACTTTTGGTGAAAAATTGCTATACCTGCACATGTTATTTTCTGGTACAAAATTAAGTATGAAGGCAGGCATGTGTATATTTCCTTGCTTTTTTCAGGAAAGTATCATTACATTGTCTACTTTTAGTAAACCTGCAAATAGGTCAATGGTAGCTCCTGTGTTGTCTGGAAACTTTGAAAGAAAATTTGGAAAACTAGAAAGTGTGAAATATCAGAATTTCCTGGAGTTCCCATTGACCTCTTACCAGATATACTAAAAGAAGACAATGTAATGACACATTCCTGAAAAAACGGAAATTAACACATGCCTTCATACTTTATAGTGTACCAGAAAATAACATGTGCAGGTATAGCAATTTTTATGTTATTTTCCAGCTGTACCTTAACATGCAAAATTATGCTAACCACCAAATGCCGAATGCTGAACACTGTCCACAAAATAGTTGAAGAATGTAACAATATGTCAACACTTGGGCTTGTGACAAAATAAATACCCTCCCCCCTGCCAGCAAGGAAGGTTTTTCTTCTACTACAGTTCTTTAAGATCTTTAAATCATATGAAATAAGAATTAATCTGTGTACTATATATGTATTTATAAAGTAGATTTAAATCCCATGGCAAGTACATATGTACCTGCAAGCCTGAACTTTGAGGTTGCAACTTGCAAGTCATTATTTGAATTTTCACATAACAAATGTTTTCACAAGACTGAAATCTGAAATATCAATACAGTCACACTAAACATTATTTCATGCCAATTTCAACACACAAATGCATACAATCAATTTGACCCTCCCTGTTTGATTATGACTCAAGCTTTCAGAATTTTATCTTGATTTTGCCCATGTTTTATAAGATCATTCACGTGATAAAACATAAAAATGAATGCAATATGTAATATATAACTATTTTGGCGCTTAATTTCATATTCTAGTAAGTTCGCAACCACATGTACATCTATTACAGTGTACTTAAAATCATGACAAGCCGCTAAGCTGGTACAATTGTATTAGCATGGAGCAAAAGTCTTATTGATATGCTAAATATAAGAACAAATAGGTTGCTGTTGACAGTGTAAGTAAATGTTGCCAGCTGAAAGGAACTTTAAAATTTTCCGTGAAATTTTCAAGTATTTTTCAAGTGTTAAGTTTTCCATAAGCCGTAATTGCAAAAATGTTGTACATTTAAAAAAGTGACATAACGGAGAGGAAGGGAGAATAAGTTTTTAATACATGTACATCAAAATAGGCAAAATTAAGTCTAAAGTTAAACTAATAATGATCACTATAACAACCATCCTCCGATCACAGGGCTTCAAAATCCAGAATATCTTCTTTCTTTTTACACCCTGCTGTAAGCAGTTAGCGTTTCCCCGATTAAGAACTTGCAATTTGATTCGTTGTCGCAACGCTGCGACAGCAATCATGTATACGTCATCGGTGCATAATTAGATCACGTGACTCAGTTTAATCGGACGCTTCCAAATTGGTTATAGCAGGGGGGAAGAAGGAGGTACGGATTCTGTACACCTGCTTAGGAGGATGTATAACAACCAACAACAAAAATTAATCTCCCATCAATTACTTAGATGCGAGTAGGTAGTTACCAGTTTCGCCACCAGGTGGCTGATTCGGGGGAATTAACATGGCAGGGTATTACAAAATTCGCTTAAACTTGAATATGCATCAGTTTTGGTGGTTCACTTTTCATATTACCTTTATGTATCTGAAAGTTATACAAATTAAAATATGTCCAGTAAAAGAAAATATTATCTGCCCATCACAAGAAAAGATATTTCACTTTTTGTGGTTTTACAACATAGGGTCTATGGGGAATCTCCCCGACCTAGAAGTCACATTTTCAAAGAAAATTAAATTTTTAAAGTTGATAAACTCTTTTCAAAACCACATTTCTAAATGTAATTTTACATGTAGATTCCAAATATGACATCAGTTTGACTGAATTGTGAATTTTTAATGACGTAAATCAAGATTATTTCTACTCGCATCTGGGATATTACCCTTGTTTGTACTGCCCTATTTTCTCACTAATGCAGGCTGAGTATATGGATCTTCTCAAGTCTAACACAGTTGAAATATTGCCAATATTCAGTAAAATAAAAATTCTTGATTGACTGTCGTGAGTACCCTACTTTGGACAATGTTTTACTCTAAAAATAAAATATTGATCCATCGTGACAAGAAACCAGTTCTATTGGTCCAAGGTATACAATGTTTAACTTATGCTTTGATCATGCAGGTCTGAATCACAAGTTTTACCTGTAGATATAATAACACACAGGTCCCCCATCATATTTCTATAATTATGATATATCTCTTATTAGAGGAAACAATCTGACTTATATTGCTGCATTTCTTAGATTACAAAGATATGTTTACAGTTTGCCTCTCTGCAAATTCATAACTTTGAGATTTTACATTTCATACCCGCCATGACTCAAATCTGAGCCGACCCACCCAAAACATTCATAACAATTATTGTGATATTTTAATGACAGTAACAGTAGAAGGGAGGGGATCTTGTAGCTAGATTATATGAGTGTTCAAAACCTTTGTAACACTGCCTCACATTTTTGTTTTGCCAAAGGATTAAATTACCATTTTATGTAAGTTTATAAATCTCATATATACTATAAAGTGGATATAGATTGACCAATTTCCTTTGGCATAACAAAACCCTATTTAGCATCTATTTACATGATCTTTAGTTTGGCAAGTTCACATTTTATATAAAAATCATTTGCAATTTATTTTAATATTGTGTTTTGAACAATGTACATGTATTTACTGTTTCTCCAAATAATTGTCAGATACATATACTTAACCCTTTATGGGTATGCATGTGTAATAAAGTTCATAAATCTAAATCTAGTTACTTTACATCATTATTGACCTTTCCAGAAGTCAACAGTTTTTTATTAAATCACTTTAATTGAGACAGGAGGTTGAGATTTACAGAAGAAGATGTCATTTTCAGTCAACTGATTAATGAAGTCATATTTAGGCGAATCTCCAAATACATGTACTCTTTAGCAGGAATACTTTGCACCATCAATAATCAAAAATATATACCATTATTACCACCTCTTAGTATGAAGGCATTTGTTAATTTCCTTGCTTTTTTCAGGAAAGTATCATACACTGTCTTTTCTTAGTATATCTGGTAAGAGGTCAATGGGAACTCCAGGAATTTCTGATATTTCACACTTTCTATTTTTCCAAATTTTATTTCAAAGTTTCCAGACAACACAGGAGCTACCATTGACCTGTTTCCAGGTTTACTAAAAGTAGAAAATGAAATGATACTTTCCTGAAAAAAAGCAAGAAAATACACACATGCCTTCATACTTAATTTTGAACCAGAAAATAACATGTGCAGGTATAGCAATTTTTTACCAAAATCTTACTTTCAAGCTGAGCCTTAAACCTGATACATAAACACACAGAATCCATACAGAATTCCAATACTCGTAATACTCCTATTCGCGATAAGAGTTCAGGTGGTAATTTACATAAATATCTCCCATGATGCATCGCTTTGGAAGGGACAAATTTCCATTGGCCCGCCGAACGAGTCGATTACTCTGAACGTTTCTCAGCTTCTGATCTTCCATCAGCCCTCAAGCATAGTTACATAATCCAATCTATTCAATAATCAGAAAGATAATCGGTGATTCTAAGTAACATTATTTATATTTTTCGATCTTCGATGGCGTCTGAGCAATTTCTGGGATATCAGTGACGTCACTGGAATTGGACGGCATTTTCAAGTACAGATTTCTTCGGATTTGGGGGTTATAGCTCAAAAAGCTTTGTCATATATCTTAATTACATACATACCTATCGTTTGTGCAAATGAAACTCTACATAAATGTTTAATAGAGCCGCAGTGCGGCATTGAAAATAGCACCCCTGTGTAATCCAATGGGAAAGAACCCGGATGTAGACGAAGTTGTACCATACATGAGAGCTCTTCAAACGAGAGGTAGCTAAACTGAACGAAATTAAACGTTATCGCGTATTGGTATATTGACAGAGAGCAAAAACCTGGCATCTGAAGTATGAGAAAAGACAATGTTAATGTTAATGCAATAATAATGTTTCAGGCTACATTCATTGGCATTATTGATTATGTAGATATTTGCAGAACAAGGTCAGATAATATTTTTATTACATCTGGAGAATGATCTTATTCTCAGATAATTTTGATCATGTTATAGACTTAATATACAAGGAAGAAATTACACGGCTGCATACAGGCCAGTCATGCATCTAGAGTCAAAAAACACCTTGGAATTTGAAAATACCAAACACGCTGAAATTATCAACTTTTATATGTCTTATCATAATGAAATTCAAATGGACCAGTGCCCATCCATTGATGTGTAGCCTTTTGTAAATCAAGTTCTCATTATTTATTAGTGGATGTGTCTGAAAATCTACATTCAGATACACTCTAGTGATCTCCCTTGCACCGTTGCATCCAACTGACATTTTGATTAAAGGAATGTACCCACATGAAAACCCATTTTCTCCCACTTGGAAAATCATGAAAAACTGGCATAGTTGACCAAGTTTGGGCAAAATTGTGAAACTTAACTTGACTAGCACATGAGTAAAAAAAATCACAAGCTTTTTCTTGTTGAAGAATGTACAATACAACATATAGTATTAGAGTATCAAAGTAGCTTATAATAAACATTCAATTTAACACTATTCTCTGGAAATAAGTGAGCAAATAATAGTTCGGTAAATTATTCATTGGGATTAATAGGTTTCCCATTAATCTCTTTTTTACAATTTTGTCATCATCCATGAAAAACATTAATCATAAGGATGTTCTTGAATCAAGTCTATCATTGGGCCACAGTGACATACATATCCCAATTTTACGTCAATTATTTGTATTATAGACCATTTTACAAAATACATTATTTGAATCATTTGAATCTCTTTCACAGATATAAATATAAATTTCCTTCAAGCACTTTTATGGAAATTGGAACTCAATTTGTGTCCTTATCTAAAATTGACATAACACTTTATTTTAGCCTTTAAAATAACGTACACCCCCTCCATAAGTTTGGCAACGTGAAGTCAATTTTTGAATCAAATATTAATGCCGGTTTATGTTGGGTGATTTTTAAAAATTCATCAAATTTTCAAACAAATGATTCATGAAGAGTTCCAGTTGCCAAACTTATGGAGGGGAGTGTATGCTAATACACATGTTTTTCTGAAGCTTTCATAAGTTCTTATTTGACCTTAACATTGCATCATAACAAAGATATTTGAAGTGAATAAAGTGATTTAAATATTAGTTTATGTGTACAAATGTACATGCATTTCCCAGGTTAAAAGTTGTGTGAGTTATTCACATTTACCAATAAAATGTTTATCTCATATAAATGATTGCATGTTTTACTTGGTTACATATCATAGAAAGAACAGTGAATGAAATTTTAGTCAAAAATATACAGCAAATACTGTACACAGCATGCAATCTGTTCTGAGGGTTAGCTGACCGCTATAGCCTGGTGGTATACATTTCCAAGGTCCTACACAGCAGAAATGAAACTTCTCATTGTCAGGGAACAGATATGGGCATATCAGATACAGATATGATAACCTTTTCCCCTCAAGCAGAAAGGGCAACCCAAAGCATCAATACAGCATCCAAGATTTCACACCACTTTCAAGTCTTTGATCAAGTCTCTGGTACAAGCTATCCCCTCCCTGTCATCTCCTTGCTACCTACCCCTCCCACCTAATTATATATATCTACTAAGAGTAATGCCTTGGTCACATTTGCTCCGATTTTCACTACGGCGCCTGGCTGATTGAGCATTTTGTTCAAAATTGAATACAATATTGAACAAAACACTCAATCGGCCGGGCACCGGTCGATGGATAGGAGCATATGTGACTAAGGCATAGGAGGCAATGGAGGGAGATATGTGGTAATACAAGGACTCTGTCATTTTACTATAAAACCCATCAAGAGCTACAAGCCCCTGTGATATCCCCCTCCCACTACTTGACTACACATGTATGAAAACTTCTGCCTCATAGCTAGACTTCTTGGCAATAAAACTTTGCACATAACTACTTAGCATAACACTAAATATCAATGAATATTTACTGACCTATTCCCCTTTTGTGCATCGACAGTACCACTAGAATCAACTGCCGCATCAGGGTCTGTGCATGTGCTTTTAATGTTGCATACGAATGACTGCATAAATGGTAGCACTCCGGCATTCGGTAGCGCTCTTTCGTTATATGTACCTAAAACAAAAAGTGTTTTGAACATTAGAAATATCAAAAACAGTTATATTACTAAATAAGGATGGGAACTGGACCAAAAATGGAGCAAAATCTGAACTTGTAACCATTTAAATTTGTTTTGATTTAGTGTCACATATTTTGAAGATTTAATAAACAAACTAAAATGTCTGTGTCTATTGAAGTAAAATGTTTAAGGTGTCATCCAGGTATGATTTCTTGTGTATGCACTAAACATATATTCTTTTCAAGCCCATAGCCAGCTTTTGCCAGGGGTTCACTTTTATAAAAATCACTCGCACCCCTGAACCTCTCTGGCTAGAGTCTGGTTTTTAATAATTCACTTTCACATCTAAAGGATTTGCACACTTTGGAACTAGCATCTGTACTCAGGGCATATAGAGTGGTTCATTTTCACTTCACTCCTAGGCTCTTGACTTCAGGGTAAGAACATGTATTTTCAACATGCTGACTAATTAAGGTTTACAAGTTATCATGCAGTTTATTTTGAGAAATTAAAGCCTGTTTTGATGTATATCAGTACTATATATATTTAAGACTTATTAATTGCTTCATAACCATGGTGATAAACATACTTCCTCCAGCATATTTCATCACTTTATTAAGATTAAGAGTTTATAATATACCATAACACATGTTAGTTCAAGTTAGTACATAATCATAACACAGACCTGAACCTTGATTTGCTAAAAATTCACTTTGCCCATGTATAATTTACTTACATGAAGTTTTTGGGGTGGGCTGAAGTGATGTCCTCATACCAGCAATTATCATAAAAAGTGCAATCGGCCATAGCACTTCAAGTATTAATAGCACCTAAAACATAGAATAGTATTGCAAAATGACATCATAATATGTGCACCTTTATTTTGCTCTGTTTATGAAAAAACATTGCTAAAAAAAGCAAGGGTAACATAGATGAAAATCCAAACAATAAGATGCTTTTAGCGAATATCAGCTGAAAGAACTGGGTTTTAATATGACACTAAAAAGCAAGGTATAGAATCAGTCTAAGATATTTCTACAGAAAGCAAATGGTCCATGTACCCTTTCACCCTTTGATTTTGCCTCCATAAAAGGAGCTTTATCCACATTAAAGCAGATATGAAATGGTATTTTTAACCTAAAGGAATCAATATAATTTTTTGATAGATGTATTTGGACATGTTTTCTCTTAAGTAGTGTGAAAACTATTTCACTCTAACGATCGTTATAGCTGCTTAATAAGCAATATTCGAATTGGTTGTGACGTTATTGGCCCCCACGTGATCTCTCACTGGTCCCCACGTGGCCCGTTTTGGTCCATTAGATCATGACGTCATAATGCCAAAATGTTTTGTTATTTGTTTACACAACAATCCTATGGTTGCCGTGACGTTGTGATTACTATGGAACCAATAAACCAAAGCTATATTTTGTATATGACGTTACTAATCACGTGGGGGCCAATTTGATCTATCAGTTAATTTTATTTCGTTATCTATGACCGTTAGCAGTTATCTAACATTTATTTTATAATGGCTATCGCAAGAACTCTACGGTGGGCTTACAATGGAGAAAACCGCATTTTCGTAGCTGCAAGTTGAGAAAAGCTATTTCAGTTGTCCTTTAATGTAGCATGCTCTGATACTCAGATCGTGGTTGAATAATTGGTAATAGATATAAGGGTAATTAACAACATGTACTGTAATTATGTTGTGATAAGAACAGGTAGTTATATTTCAACTTAAAAACAGCTCAGAAAAAACAGCTAAAAACTCCCCAGAGAGAAGACAACATAGTTTTATCAAATCATATGTCATTTGAACATTCCATGATAGAAAAAGCCAGGTAGTTGTATTGTATTATCTCCTTTTGCAAACCCCATGCCTCTTTATGCCAAATCCCCGGGTCATATTCTCAAATAGTGGTCATAAGGCACTACCCTATAAAAGATGTACCAAATGCTCTACTCATTTCACCATCAATACGTCATCCCCCTATTACTACATAAGAATATTAGTGTTGTCGCGATGTGCCATAATCGTACATCGATGCATCGGCAATTTTCAGTAGTAAACATCGATGCACATCGCGATGTACATCGAGAAAAAGTTTGAGAAAAGTGCACTGAAATACCGAACGCTAATGCACTAAAATATCGAACAGAACAAATTAATAAGAGTACGCTGGTACATCCGGGAACATAATACGGTGAAATGAAAGTAAAGTAATTTTTTTAGATTAATGGTTCATTTCGACTAGCTAAAACAGTTTTAAAGCGAAAGAATATCAGAAAACATTTGAAAATGAAATAAGACATGAAAAAAGGTAAGCAATTTGCGTCAATATAAGATAAGAAAGGGCGATTTTTAGCAAATTAAAATTTTTTAAAAACATCGATGTTTTGTTTCAGACATCGATGCATCGCCAGAACCAGCTTTGGCGATGTATATCGCGATGTATCGATTAATCGCGACAACACTAAAGAATATATGAATCAAAGTGCCTTTATTTTGTAAGTACTGTACAACCATAGTAACAAACCATATCAAACCAAGACAAAGGAGTTGTTTTATTGAATTGCTCATCTACACTTGAGAATTTGATGACGCTGTTTGCAGGGCATGTGTACCCGTACTTTCACATGAAAAATCACTCAGTTGGAGAGACTAATGTTGACTAAATGTCACAAAATGGGGTTTGAGACTTCTTTACTCGTGTTATTTGTAACAGCCATCCATCTGAGTGCACTTGCACTTAAATGTATGTTTGTTAACTCATTATGGGTTGATTACCATTAAGATTATTTTATTAACTAATATTACAGAGTTATTATGAAATATAAGTACCTCCCAATATAAGTCATCTTGGATTACCATGAGAAGTCGGAAACTTACTGATTTAGACTAAGAGATTAATGAGTATCAAAATGAATATTTGCACACTGTAATTACAGAAACATTCCAGATCCAGAAATCTATACAAGGGTGGCCAAAAGTATAGAAAAACCTGAAGTGGAACACCTTTGTAAGTGGAACACCTCTGTAAGTGGAACACCTTTAAAAGTGGAACACCTCTGTAAGTGGAACACCACCATAAGTAGAACACTTTCAGATATGCAGACTAATTGACTGAATGTTAGATAAACCTCTGTAAATGGAACACCTCCTAATATTGGAACACTTTTTTGAGGAACTTAATGTTTTCCAATAACACAGGTTTTACATACAGAATGTTCGTTATAAATGAATGAAGCATCACTATTTTTGGGATCTACATAAGAAATATAAAGAAAAATAGACTTACCGGATTTCTTATTCTAGATAGTAAATTTTTTTGTAGTAGTAATCCTAGTTGACTAAACAGCCCCATCTTGGTGCTGTTATCCTATGTCACCAGGCAAGTTTCACTGTCAAATATATGTGCTAGCTGAAAATACAACACACACATTTAAAAGGCTGAAAATCACATCATTTAACAACAAAATGTATGATTAGTCTTGATAATGCATCAGTTGGAGCAGTTTATTATTGGAAATTAGATGCCAAAAATCAATTTTAAGGTTTTGAAATGAATTCTTAAACAACGATGTTTAAATTAGAATATATTCAATATTTTCCAAGGTAGTATAGAAAGGCACAAGATGAAAGTGTAAATATCATCATTAATCAATATATGTCTAGAATGTGTTGTTTTTGAAGACCTTGGAGTAACCACCTTTACTGTTACCTAAACCAAAAAAGGTTCATTTCCCTTCCAGTACTTATACTGAAAAGACAGCAGATTTCAACCAGGAATGGAATGGATCCAATAAGTAACCCAGTTTCCAATATAAGAAACTACATCTTTATTACATTATTTGAATAATGAATAATTATAAATGCCATTTTTAGTATATTTTCAATTGATCAATTCATGAAGCCCTCCCCCCAGTCTCTTAATTGTGTTAAACAAGGCTTTATGATCTTTGATGATGAAGACATGAGCCTTGTATCTACAAGCTCCTAAACCCAATGCATGCAATGTATGAAAAATAATTTTAACAAAGTGTTATAATTCTCTAATTATAATAGACTATAAACAGTAAAACTGTATGCCTAATATTACATACCTTCAACTGCATAAGTTCATAACTCTCCGATTCAATATTCTTTGCCTTGTAAATATGTTTTATCTAATAGACATTGCTACGTATTTAATAATTGTAGTTACCACAAATACTTTTAAAATATGTTATACTATTTTAACCACTATTTGTGTTGAAATTGACGTACTGTTTACATCAAGTTACTTGTGCAGTTCATATTAAATCTGCATTAACTACTGAGTTGAAGTGACATTCCTTTTCATTTTTTAAATAATATGTATTATAATTTCTCCCTGAACCATGAAGTATAATAATAAACTTTTACCATAAATTCACTTTCTTGCGTTTGTATACTTTAGTAGATGAACAATCCCTTATCACATGCTGCTAATTAAAATTAAACCTAAAGCCTTATTTTCCTTCTTCACTCATACCATTACTTTTTTTAATAAATTCATGAATGACCATTCTGATACTCAGACAATCTTTGTTTGACCATTCATCTTTGTTTTTACTTATAAGCGATTGTTTATATCAACTTATGTACATTCCTTTGATATAAACACATTCAGCATTAAAGTGAACACTGTTTTCAAGATATCTTCAAAAGTAATGAAAAACTTCAAGCACCTTGGCAACCTAGTTTTTTTAAATGAAATAATAAGAATCTTTTACCTTGAGATGAGTTTAACTGCACTAAAAACCAGGTTGAGCTGAACTAGATATGTCCCTCTTTGATTGAATTTGGGGACTTGTGATTCATTCATGTCACATCGTAATGTATTATCAAAATACATACGATTTCACAATATAACTGCAAAGTATTATGATAGGAAATTTCCCAAATCCATATACCAGCTATCTATTACCAGCAATGAAAATGCCATAATTGTCTGACATATTGGCTATAAATTTATAATCAACAATCCCAAAAAATTTAGCTAATATCTTGATCACTTCTTGTATAATGTACATGTATTTTAAATTTTTTTTTAATTTCAGAACATCCTTCAATGGCTTTTTTAATACCTGGGGCTTGTGTGGCTGAGTGTATGTACTGAACAAAACGAAATAATATTGAGATTGTATTCTGGGAGCCAATCCTCCTTGGTGTATTGTGACGATACACTAGAGGATTCATAAAAACCTCTTTAAGTAAACAATTTTATCTAATAATCATAAATCTTGCTATCATTAGTATGTACATGTACTACAATTATCCAAGTGAGGCATGAGGTAAGAATTGATAACTGTTGTGAAGTATCTGAAAGCCTACTGGCAGATCTGGGGAGGATCATATCTGGGGGGTTTTTGGTCATAAATGGGCCTTCAAAGGCCTTATTTTTGAAGTTTGCCCCCCCCCTTTGTTGGTTCCCAGATCCGCCCCTGAAGCCTTATATGTAATTTGCTGCGCTTATTTTGAATGATAATGTCTTAATCTCTAAAGTAACTCAAACAATTATTTGGCCAATAAGGAATATAACATTTCAGTTTTAATCTAAGACAAATCCTAGATTAGTTAAAAGGATTGGTTAATTCAATATAATAAATGCCTTGCTAATAAAACTTATCAAAAGCTGTTGGCAATGGGTAAATTTGTTAATATTAATTAAAATTGACAAATGCTGGTTCCATCCAATAATTTGTTATTTCCATTTGTTCATTTGAGTTCTCTTAAAAGAGAGCTTCGCCTTCAGTTCATAACTAGGCTCTGCGTGCAAGGTAACCGAGTGAGTGGGAAAAGAATTTAAACCCATTTATTGACCTTTCTCCATTAAAATTTATATTGAAACTTTAAAGTACAGCCAGTCAGGGTTGAGCATTTGCTTTAACAATTTTGAATATTTTTTTCTAATATCATATCAAATGTTCTAGATAATTGAGAATATATTGATAAGAAAGGTAAGAAAGAAAGGAACAATTACATCATCAATATACTATACATTTACATTTGTACAGTACATACTTATACACAAAGTCACTGATGGCTGCTTTTAAGAACATTTGAATACATCCATAGAGAGAAAATCTTATAGATCAACAATATAGTTCAAATACTAGGGAATAAATGGTACTATAGTCCATACTAAAAGTGTTAATGTAGAGTTATGTAGCAGAGTTAAAACTAGGACTAACAATTTCGATGAATCAATAATTGGGACCACCCCATATGAAGTTCATATTTCATGGGACTTTGAATATGAAATAAATGGCATATTGGTGTGGGCCAAGGAAAAAAAAGGCCTTCAGGCCCCAATAAGTGGGCCTTTTTGGTCATTACTGGGCCTTTTAAGGCCTTATTTTTTAATTTCAGGCCAAATTTTGAAGAAAATGGGCCTCAAAATTTCAAAATTTGGGCCCACTTTTGGGTTTGGTTTTTTGCCGTTTTTTTCTCTGACTTGAAATTTGGGCCCCCCCCCCTGTTGATTCCCAGATCCGCCCCTGAGTATCTAGTATAGGAGAATAATCTACTTCGATCCCCAATTTGCACTCTGGAATCATGCTACCATACAATAAATTAAGAGTATCTATGGTACCATTCAAGCAAGGTGCTGTATAGATATATATATATATATGGCCCTATACCATATACATGTAGTACTATAACCAAAATGCTACCCAATGGTACTATTAAAAATTGACTGTGTAGATCATCATGTTAAAAGTATAAGAATTCACAAGAGATTAGGCTAGAGATATACTCTACCAATTTGATTTCAATCACATATGAAAACGTATACATTGGAAATCCAATAGCATGACTATGAGAATGTACCAAATATAAGTCCATGAGTGAATAAATGCAAAAAATCCCCAAGTCCCAAATATTGTGACTTCTGTAAGGTTTCATCCGTAAATGAGGATGATGTCAGAAGTCCTGCAGTCATTTGGAGGATTTATTTACATTTCAGAGTGCTAACCTAGAATTCTGGTGTGAATATCCAAGAAAAAATATTTTAGGCTTAGGTTACATGAAAATGTATTTGTTGTTGATCAAGTACAGTTGTTCTAATACTGAATACTGGATGGTTACCCTTTCTAGTAGTTGCTATACATAAAAAATATATAATAACAAAAAGTTTTTTCCATTAACTTGTCCTGTTGTTTTCATTTATTTAGCCTGTTGTGAGAAATTCTAGTGAAACCCCCTGGATGCCAAAACTTATCTTGCAAATTTAATTTCCCAATTAAAATAAACTTGTTTATGCAAAATTAATTTAATAGTGATTCATATATATGTCACAATATTTGAACCTTGGCAGATTTTGAATATGGTAAAAGTACAGAACTTTCTGAATAGACTATAAAAAACAAGGGTTGATTCATACATTTGAGTTGTGAAATTGGATGTTTTTCTGAGAATGGTATAGTAACCAGCTTTTTAACAAGACACTTGTAGTATAAACATTTGAATTCTAAAAATAATTTACTGCTTCAAAAGATCCGACTATGTGGTTAATATTAGAGTTAGGGTATTGATTATATATCTTTTATTGACTCTTTACTGTAAAATTGCATGACAGCAACACCAGGGACACATCTAGGATCTAAAATTAGCGAGGCCAAAATTAGATTGACGAGGTAACTTTAAGTAAAGGGAGACGGAAATTCTCATGAAACTTTATTTTTTCGGTATCGATTGAAGAGTCTGAATTCATTTTTTTTAAATTTTGGTGAGCCAGTTGCCGCATGCCTTTCAACATTTAAACCTTGAAACTCAAAGGCAAGCAATACCATTAACTGTAGATGAAACCAACATTTACAAATGGAACAAGTTCATAGAGAACGAAATGAATATGACTATTTGCATTTCTTATACTCGTCACACCTTTCTGTTTCACTCGCAATGTCAGCTCAGAACTGGGAAGAAATTAGAGAAATGTGATTGATTCAGATGAGAAATTGCATGAAACTGTGGAACTGTTTAACAAAAATTGCTCAGTGTATTATCAGTTAAGCATTTACAAAGAAATTGAAAACAGGAAAATTGTTGAATATAAAAGACATAGACATAAATTACATGTAAGATGAAAATATATCTATTATTTATACATTTCTATCAAGCACATCCTCATTTTGAACATTTGGATTTTGGAAGCATTATCTGTGTTACGAAATGAATAAGACTTTATCCCCAAGAATATGCTAAGTGTCAGAGCTTTGTAAGCGAAATCAAAGTACATTTGTATTCGAAAGTGTATGCTAAGAAAGCCATGTCAACTCCAAGTACAAGTACTAAACAATTTGAATCAGAAAATGAAATGGGTTTCATCACCAAATAAATTCATGCAGATATTTTCATTATACCAACATTACTTATCATGGGAACACACAAAGCCACTAAACAACTATTGAGTGCCTCTGTATTTAATTTAGTGTCACACCTTTATTTTTCAATATCCACATATTGTAACTGCAAAGAATGCTATTTAAAATAGATCTGTTTGTTGAGAATTTATAATAATTTCAAGATTCTTTCGAATAACTGATAATTAATAAAACAAATAATATTTTTCACATTTTATCTTATGTAAACAATTAATAATAAAAAGGAGAAAATACTATCTGTTTCAATAATTATGTTAGTTATAATCTTTAAAATTCATAAAAAATTCTAGACATACTGATTTACCTCGAATAACAGTTAACTCATTAATAACTAAAATTACAACTCAACAAAACAGTAATTTCATGATAAATTTGCTAGACCAGCCGATAAGCCAATGTGGCCTTCAGCCGCTTTGAGTAAAGGAACGAATATGAAATACTTTCAACTAAGTTGCCTCTTTTAATGCCAGTCACGCCAGTGGTACACTTAACCTTAGATTATATTATACTACTATTTGAATTTTAGTTTTTACAGTTTCAGTTGAAAAATATACATTGAAAATAAAATAATGTTTTACTGTAAATTTTGGTAAGGCTTTAGCCTCGCCAGCCTCAAAGATAGCTACATGTAAGCCCATGCAATGAGTTATTGTACCCCCAGGGGGTTCACTGTATGTAAACCTTGACAGGGATACTCGGCACACATGGGGTACCTTTTTTGACATTTGATATATGG